GCTCCTGCTCCTGCTCCTGCTCCTCCTCCCTTCTTTTTTAGTTTCTTCTTCGTGTATCTGCCTATCTTCCCATCGAGCTGTCCTTTTCTCGTGCATTAGCACGGTCACGCAACTATATCGCGTCCATGGAAGCGTGTTTCTCTTGTTCCCGCAGTTTCACCGTCGGAATCGCTGGAACGGCTTTGATTCGTTTCCGTCCTATTCGCCTCGAAAAACGCAGTTACACGCTAGATTCATTATTCGTAACGATAGGGTGAGGAATCGTCGCGCAGTGTTTACCGTCAGCATCGATCAACGATCCGTCGTATTCTCCTTCTCTTACAGTCGCGAAGCAACGCGGTAATTTGTTTATCGTTTAGAGCGGAAATCTTCTGTAATCGCGACGAACCACGTTCGACTTTTTCATTTCTCACGGGGCTTTTGTTCGGTATACGATACTATAATAGAATTCGTGGAACATTTACGGAATGGATTAATTAAAAAACATGACCATTACGCGGAGGGCGCAAAGAATAGGGTAGCAGGAGCGTACAACAGCGGCGTTGACCGACTCGTAGAACGGAGGGAGGGTATATGTATACGTCGCGTAGCATGGCATGACATCGATGCCACTGAAACTCGTATAGGCGTGTTAGCTCTACCAACACGGTTGCTCGTGGCTCTCGCAATGTTCCACGATCACCGCATACGTAGGTACTAATTGTGCGGCGTAACCAGCCAAGCTACATTGTCTGGCATTATGTGTACACGACGTACACAACCCTCTTTCTGACGAATCTGCACAGTTTTTCAAAAGTTTGCAAATGCGCATCGAACCAATTTGTTGGGCTTGTCGTTTGTTTCCTACTCCACTTCGTTTCGTTACCGACGACAGCCCATTATACGAGGAATCTCCGCCATCTTGGAAAATACGTATCGCTCGATGGTTTTTTGCTAATATTTTGTAAACTATACACGTATAATTTCCATACCTTTTATAACTCTGGTATTTTACAAATCGATACTAAATCGATTGTAAATCAGAAGCATTAGAATTTCAGTATTGCAAGAATCGCATCGACGAGCTCTTTTATCGTACAAGAAGAGCAACCGCTCGTTGTTTTTCTCCGCGAGAGCATAATTGTTACAAATCGGCCGTCAAACAAGATTAATGTTTCGACCGGTCGTGATCGCACATCGGTGCACAAGAAAAGATGTAAATTCGCTCAAACCGAACGATTCAAATACACGTTTGTTGAATCAACGTTACACGTTACTAATTTTCCTACCTCGTGAAAACGTATTTTATTGTCTGAAAATTTAAAACGTTCTCTCCCGGCTGTCCTGCAACGTTCGCGATGGAAGCTCGCGCTGAAATTGTGCTGCATTTTTTACTCTGTCGTACAAAGAAATGATTACCAGCGTCAACTGCGGCGGGTCTCTTGTCCTTTAAAAGAATGCTTAACGCGGAATTTTCTACCTGGAATTGTAACGAGGTTACATAGCCTCTGTTAAACCGTCGAGCAAGAAACGTTCCTTTGTTGAGGCAGATAATGGAGAAATCGTAAGAAGATCGTTGCAACGTCAAAAATTTATGTACTTTTCTGGGTCGTACAATAATTTGTTTATCGAGTTCGAACCAAAACATTTATGCATCCATCGGAAACACGATAGATACAAATTGTATATAATAATATTTTTTGGTTTTTCTTGACCCTTACGATTCGGTCACGACCTAATCTCTGTTCTGTAAACCGATACTATCGAAGGAAACGGATCCCCTGCGACAAAAACTCCTGGGCGGCAGGTCTCAAGGTTTTAAACCCGTAAGGGCAATATGGGCACGGGGAGTCCCAAGGCTTCCCGTGCGAATACAAAGAATAGAAAGCGAATGGAGCAAAATGACGAAAGTAGAAGCTAGAAGCGAACGAAGAAGAGGAAGATTAAGTATGCGGGGAAAAAGAAACAACGAGGGAAACGGTGAGACTGGAAACTGAAAGAGAAAGAGATCGAGACTGTAAAGAGGATAGAGAACTATATGGAGGTACAATAGAGCGAATGCAGTGGAGACGAAGGCGAAAGACTGTGCTCGAAGAAAAGGCAGGTAGACTTTGTGTGCCTGTAAAACTCCACGGACCTAACGCAGATGGAATCAACCAATACAGCTTGCCATGAGCGTCGAATCGTCAACCCATATTTACGGTACATACTCGGTTCTGTTGCGCCAACTACAAGCAGGTGTGTCTGTCGACCATTTAATGTCAGGTCAAGATTTGCGTACATACATACATATACATGATGGTTGGTCGCTTGGTCATGAACGTGTATTTCGAAAGTATCCAACACCGATTCGGACGACAAGTATTCAGCAAAAAGGAATATTTTTATTCTCAGTCTCGATCTATGCTCTGAAACAGATTGGTTAGGTAGAATGCAATAGTAAAAAATTACTTAAAATTTCGTCGAGTCGAAAATGCACGAGAATGTTTTTCGAAAGCGTTTGGACGAGCGTTTATCCTTCTTTTTTATACCGGTGTAGCCGTACAGGAGATAAGCTGTTTTACGAGTGGAACGATCGCGAAAAACGGTGTTTACGTTAATCCCTCGTTAGACGTTTTTTTAGAGCCGTTGGAAAAAAAATGGGTAGAAGTTTAGGGGGGGACAAGTAGAATGCTGTCGGTTCCCTGAAAGATTACGCCAGTGGCCGGTCGTATTGGCGAGCTTGTCGAGTTCGGAGGGGGGTTAGAGGGAGGGGAGGGGGGACGATGATGCCTCGGTAAACGCTGAGCGCTCGAGAGCCCACATCGATGCAGCGTTCAGCCATTTACTAGAGAATGCTATCGAGGACTGGCATTAATTTATATTGCCGCTGTTCCGAATGCGTAACAAAGCGTGCTCGTGCTCGTGCTCGTGCTCGTGCTCGATTCCGTTCCAGTTTCAAGCCATTCCAGGCCGCGTTCTCGACATTCACCGAATAAAATATTTATCTTTCGACGAACAAGAAAAAACTATATTTTCGTAATATTGGACGCGTTCCTTGCTCGGAACGACTGACTGCTTTTTCCAAATCTCCCGTCCTCTCTCTGTCTCTCTCTCTCCGCGAGAATCCTATCTGCTAGGTTATACATATACAGCCGTAATGCGGTGCCTCTTCTCTCAATGTACACAATATTGACGCATGCGCCGCACAGCGAAACGCGAAAACTGTCTGTCCTTTACCGCCCAACGCACATCTGCGTTCTCTTTTCTCTTCTGTTCTCTTTACCAGCAGTCTTCCTCCTCCTTCCTCCCGTTCGACGCAACAATCATCACTCGCGGGATTATTTTGCCACACAAAGAATTCGTCAACAGGAATATGTGCTCCGAATATAGTTCATTCACGGACTGTACAGCTGTGCATTCGGACACTTATAGGTATTGTTTCTTTTTTGCGTTATCCGTTTGCGTTTCACGATCCAAGACGGTTAGTACCTCCTTCGTTCGGTTAATTACGCAATTGTTGATTTCTTAACCGTTGACAATTTGTTTGGTTAATTCATTTGCTTCAGGGTCGCCGTTAACGATGCATTTAAGTATTCTTGATAACGCGTTTATTTGTTCACTGCCTCTGTTCTTGCGCTGGGAATTTGCAGAGTAATAGGCCGATCCACGCGGACGAAACAAGTAGACATTTTATTGTATTAACGCGACGATCATCGCGTCAGCTGTATGTACCTACCTACATGGGTGACAACGCTATATTTATGGTTCTATTTATCACGATTAGGGGTGTAGGGACGGGAATAAAGAATATCGAAATCGGTACGACGTTGCATGGACTCGGTACGAGAGATGCAAAATGGGGAAACGATTTTTCACTGTACCGTTAATAGTAGCGATGTATCGTTTATTTAAATTGAACTTCATATCCCGTCATTGACGGATCATACGTGCATGTCGTGTAACGTTCGCAGATACTGTCGGAAAACTGGTTTATTACATAAACGTAGTTACTTCAAAGCTCCTTTCTAACTGATTATAAGGTATTGCACCAACGTGTTTGTCTTCTTTATTGTATATTCCAACGCGGCGATTATCGACCCTCATCCTTTTTAAATAAATTTTTAGAAACCGTTAGCGAATAAAAATTTGCATTCGATAAAAAATTGTTTAAAATAGAAAAATATGAAACGTGGATATGCGTAGTTGGTTGCATCCGAAGAACCGAAATGGCGTTGCACAGGCACGCAATTGTTTTCAGAACAATGATAGAAAGCCATAGATCATCGTGGTTGAAATGATGTTTTGTGCAGTTGCCAGTTAATAAATTAATACACCGTTTTCCAAACTGTTTTCCACTGATGTGAACAAGTGTTGCGCAAAAATTCATAATTAATCATTAATGCAGACACAGTGCTAACGTTCCAGCATATTTATGGTAAAAAGAATTAACATAAAGTAATATGTATATGCCTTCCTTCAAAAATTCATAATGTACGTTAATCATAATCCCCGCATTTAATTTTATTTGTCGCGATGATTTTTTTCTATCTAGTCACATTTTCTATATATGTATATTTATTTGAGTAGCCTTGGATGTTTTAAATGGAACGCGTAGGAGTTATTCGGAATGGGCAAGTTATGGGAGTCGCTGTTTATATTTCGTATTTTAAAAATCAAATAGCCGTAAAATATGTCGCTCTACCGTAAATATATAGCGAGATAAAACTCGTTCCGTGGGTAAAGTTTGGGGAAATGCTCAATTAAAGTTTCAAGGTGTGCGATATTTTATGGAACACTCTGATACACGGATTATTTAGTTTTTCGTTTTCGAGAGAAGACGAACGAAAACACGTACTTACTTACTTACGTATGTATGCACGCGGAATTTCAGATACGCGCGCACACGGCTCCAGAAGCTTTCGGGTTTTCTTTCAATCTCTCATTTTCCACTTCCACGAACACGTGCATATTTCTCGGAAAGCGAGGGGAAATTAAACAGCTTTCCGTTTCCAGTGGCAGAAAAAAAAAAAACCACCGTTGAACTTGTTAGTCGTGCATTTCGCATATTTACCAATTTATCTCGTTTCTCTGGGTACCTTTACCATACAATGCGGTCGTTATACGACGGGGTTAATAATGCTAGATACCATCGCGGCAGATACTTTCGCGCTAACGGAATTCCTAGTCGTTTTTAGGCATGCATGCTTGTTTCGCTCGATCGACCGATTCAATTCTGCGACCGAGTACGTGCGTGCACGTAGCTACTTTTATCGTTATCGCATTCAGCGAAACGTGCACTTTTTAATAAAATTTGATACGTCGACCAAAACGACAATTTGCACTTTTCTCGATACAGAAAAACACGCTACCGTAATCGTTGAATTAAAGCGAGAGCGATAAATAAACATGTGCGTCTTGTTACCCGCGGTTTTTTCCTTTCCTACGGACTCGGGATAATTTTATTACTTACAAATAATATAAAATAACAAATCCCGAGATTTATTCATAAATACAGAACGACGATTTTATCGGATGGATAATTATTCTTTATTCGGCGATAAATCTTTCGCTTTATTGACAAATTTATTGGAACAACGTCTTATTTCTCATTTGAAATGCGAATGAACGCAATTAATAAGCGTAGTAGATAAACGATGCTCGTCTATGGATAGTTTATCATAATTTAACAGCAATACATATTCAACAATGATATTTCCAGTATTCTTTTAATTAATATGTTAGCAAATTAAACTGTTAAGTCGTTACAATGTTGTATCAATAGACATCCATTGCGATGTTAAACTTTGTAGGTTCGTTCCAACGAAATTTTCTTCCGATAAATCTTTATTGGAATAATGATTTCGACAAGAATTTATTAGAACAACTCTGCAGACTCTGCTTTCCATTTTGTCCCCGAAAATCGGAAGAATTAACATTACATAGACGATTATCGCGTAGCCGGAAATTAAGGTCGTAGCAAACCGACAGAACTGTCGATCGCGAGGCAAGGTTTCAATATCATCCGCCTACCTACTTGGGAGGTAAATGTACCGATAACCGATCGAAAGAAATTTTTACGATTTCGAAATATGCCGTAAAATAATATCGTGACTCGGTATCGCAACGAACACGACAAGATGGTCGAGGTAGGTCAAGGTGTTCCTTCTGTCGCCAGAGATCGTGCAGTTAATTTCTGTCGACATAACGATCATTTAGAACGGTAACGGTAACGTGGTATTATTTCTTTAGGAATTCGAATTAGAATTATTCGTAGAGAAAGACGATCGTTACCGATATGTTAGAAGAAACGCGCGAACGAATGGTCGACGCGTCGCGTGAGTGAAAAATTGTCGCCCGTAACAAAGATTCGCAATGCCTAAGAATAGGTATGCACGAGTACGCCGCGTACAAAGTTAGGAAGATTGCGTTTACCGACCGTTGTTTCGACCGAGCATGATTGGCAGACGATCATAGTGGTAATCCGTGGTGAATAAAGAGAATGGCGGTAGCGAGGACGGTGGTGGGAGACGTAGGCGACTGGCGGCTGGCGGCTGGCGGCTGGCGGCTGGCGGCGAACAAGGGGAGGCTGAAGGGAATAGGAAGGGGAAACGTTCTACTCAGTAAGCGATGAGCAGCCGAAGTTGGCGTAGAGTCGAGTGCACGCCGAACCGGCGACGATCCCTCGACCGTAACTGTATCGTCGGACTGGTTGGCTGAATCGAAGAAACATATTTTCCCGGGACTCGAGATGGCTCCGATGTAACGTAAAGTGACAAAGCGTTTTCTTCGTCGTCGTTGTTGCCGTCGTTGTTGCTGTCGTTGTTGCCATCGTCATTACCGTAACCGCTGTCAGCGTCGAACAGTATCGCTTCTTCTCTTTCTTCCTCTTCGCCACCGGACAACCTGTGACCAGCGAAAGAAACAAACCCGAGCATCTTCCACGGCGCGTCTTGGACGATTCTGCCCCATTGTTCGGTGCCATCTTCTTTCGTCTGTTCTTTTTTCCATTCGTTGTTTCGCTCGAACGAGCGTTTTCGTTCGCTTACGCAAGAAGAAGAAACGAAACTTTCTTGGATCGAACGAACGCGAGTGTGTGTCGCCTTGTCAATGCACACGTGATATCTGTGCTGTGCTTTCGTAAATCAATGCGTCTTTATACGCGCGGTAATTGCGTTGCGTGGGTGCGAGCGTGCGAGCGTGCGTGCGTGCGTGCGTGCGTGCGTTTGGCTGTGTGGGGTTGTGCTCGTGCCCGTGCTATTTCGCGCGCGTCAGCCTCGTGAGTGAAATCGCCGGCAGGGAGCCCCGGAGTATTTATCGACCTGCACGAGGTATTGCGACTACGTTCTAGCTACTGTTACGAGACCGTACCGTTACTGTTCGTCACATTGGTAAATTGAGTCACGCGCATTACCTACCTACCCCCGAACGGATCAACGGAGTTACAAAGAGACTTTTCCAAATACCGATGCTTTTTATCTTTGCAGTTGAGTTCTGCACGGCATGCTTCGAACCACTTTTCCGAAAGATAACATGTCCATTTTGCGTCCCGTACGTTTCAACGAGACCCAACTTTTACGCCCGCGACGAGTCTGAAACTTGTGTTCGGCCAACCCTAGGAAAAATTTTAATGGGAGATTCTAGAGGCCAAAATAAGACAAAAATCAAAATTATCAATTTGTTGATCGAGGCTTCGTTAAAAAGTTATTAAAAAATTAAATTAAAAAATTTCAAATCATTCGCGAAAAATTTATTTTCGGTTGCAGGTGTCAATTACAATCATTTTTGGTGAATAGACGTACCACCGAAATCCTATACACTTTTGAGAAAAAAATTTCTCACCGAAAATATACTGTGTGGCCGGAAATGTTTCTATAACTTTTTAACGAAGCCTCAATCAACAAATTAGTATCCTTCATTTTCGTCTTATTTTGGCCTCTAGAATCTCCTATTAAAATGTTTCCCAGGGCTGACCGAACATCCGGTATACATATTGTATCTAAAGCTTGTTGCGCATGTGGCAGCAGGTTGAACGTTAGTCTCGAGTTTTCTTGCCTTCCAGTTCGTCGATTCAACCCAATCAACGAATTTTCCGTAGTTGCACGAATTTGAAAAGATCATTCCCAGCGATCGGATACACGTATCCGATGAAGTAATCGAACACGTACGCGCGAACACGTAATTTGGAACGTCGTTACGATACGATATAATCAATAATTCCAAATTGTCCCGACGACGTGTTTGATATTGTCTTCGTATTGTATTTACCCACTGGATATCGGGGAAACGATATCGTCGCGTTATCGCGACGAATATCCAGCGAATCGATGGTTATCGCGATCGTTGAAATTTAGCAAACCTTTCGACGTTTTTCATACAGCCTTTAGTATTCGTCTCTGTGGTCGATGATCGTGGAAATGGTTTTGCAAGTAACTGGTGTAATCGATCGAACTAGAAAATACCGATATTGCATCGATAATTTTCGATCACTTTTGGGAAAACGTTAAAGAGGTATGGACAGACCAGTGTGTCATTTAAACGATAAATATTTTTACACGCGACCATTGTTCTTTTACGACTCGTTTCTTCCGCATAATTTGTATAAACCGTCGACTCTCGAGGCGCGCTGCTGTTTTATTCAAATCGTTTACATTTGTATACCAAGTCGTATCAATAGCAAACACTCACAAATATAATGATACGTTGTATTCGAAACATTTCCCTGGTGCTTGACGTTGCATGACATTGCGGATCATTGGTCGTTTCATAAATTTTCATTCCATAGGATTTCATAAATGTCATTTAAAATTGCTTAAATCAAGCCGTGTTATTATTAACGTAAAACGTAAACGAGACCAAAAATCACGAATGGGATTTTATGAAATTGACGGAACGGTTTTTCGAAAGCTGTCCGTTACCGTCTTGTTTCTTTTGAAGTTTGCGCGTAGAACGAGGAAAGAGGCGAACAGAATTGAAGACAAGAATGGTCGTGTCGTGGAGGAACGTCGTTGTCGTTGGGTCTCATTCGTCATCCGCGTTAACGTACCTACGTTCGTTCGCTAGGTCGTATCGTTGGAACGCACCATTATTTGCCCATACTCTCGACATTGAATTCAGGCGACGAAGCGTCGACATGCACGTATGTATTTCCTTGACCATTCGTTGCTCCGCTCGAACACGGTGCTCGACGTTTAAATCGTTCTATTCTTCCCTTATCCATATTCCCTCCCCCCCCCCGCCTTTCGTCCATCCCTTCGAACTCGACTGCAGCGATCCCCTTCTTTCTCGGTGTAACGTTCGTTCTAGCGTGGTGTATAGAACGAAGCGCAAACTGGTTTTCATTCAGCAGAGTGTAGAATAGTCGTTGAAATGCCATCGTGTACGCGTTATCGAGTCATTTCCCCCCGCACATTTTTTTTTCTCATAAAAACGCGCGCAATCGTTTACTCGGAATTTTGCGAACCGTTTTTTTTATCGAAACTGAACTCGATTCGTGGAACGCGTTCGAATTCGCTCGACCAACCGAAACGGAAAAGATAACGCGTGTAAGTTTCCCGCGATTTGAGAGCCACTGCTTACCCCTGGCGAATCGCTCTGTTGGCCGAGTCTACCGTCCCGATATAATTAGCGTGTTTAGCTCTGATTTATAACGACGCTGGAAACGCCTACTGTCCATGAGCCGCATCGCCCATGGGATCGACGCGCGTTCGTATTTGTACGTACATGTAAGTACGCGCGTCGCTGTTTGATGGCGGATTACGGATATACTACACCCGTCGCTCGACTATTTTCTCATGATCAGGCAACGACACTGCGCGCGTGATGATCCTATCGTCATACCGACGCGTCTACGTGCCACGTTTTAAACCACTAACTTTAGGCGACAGTCTCATGTGAGAACTAAAAAAAAATCATTTTTTTTTTTTTATTTCATTTTTTGTAAGTATACGCAGAGTGTTCGGTCACTCCTGGGGAAAATTTTAATGGGAGACTTTGGGAGCCAAAATAAGAGGAAAATCAAGACTAGGAATTTGTTGATCGAGGCTTCGTTAAAAAGTTATTAACGTTTAAAGTTCCGCCTGTAGAACGGCAATCTGCGAACAGCTGCGTGCGCGTGATAGTGGTTCTCATTCAGCATGAGAAACTCTACTTTGTGACGTATCGACAGTCTTACAGTTTTATGAGTGAGAATCCGTTCTACAGGTGGAACTTTAAACGTTAATAACTTTTTAACCAAGCCTCGATCAACAAATTGCTATTCTTGATTTTCGTCTTATTTTCGCCTCTAGAATCTTCCATTGAAATTGTTCCCAGAGGCGGCCGAACACCCTGTTTGTGCAGCCGTATAGTTCCAGCGAGAGCGCAAGTGTTCAGGCGTGCAAGAATGTCGCGAACAGAGTGACTGCTACAACCTTGACACTCTTAAGGTTATATACCTATAGAAATATCTGTCGCGATCGATCGAAAGAACGTTGAAAATAAGAATCAGCGTCGGTTGAATACCAGTAGCTTAAAAGGAGAAATCATAAATAATTTTGTCAGATATAGTCGAATACGCCACGTTCGTATTATTATTAGATAGATGTACGATACGGATTACGGAGGCGTTATTATCATCGAGAACCAGGACCGTGCCTAGGTTTTCTGGCGCCCTTGGATCGTTTCCTTAAATTTTCGAACACCGTGGATAGTTTGCAACGACAATCAGTGTTTGTGATTGTCGGGGGCTTTGAGTTAATCGCGATCGATATGGAGTGTAGCTATTATAAATATTGGTAGATAGCAACGATAGCAATAAACGGTAGCTGTTCGATAATAGCCAGCAGGAGTTAAATTTATCTACGGTACGGTGACTGAGCTTCGATAAATATTATCGTTGCTGTCGGTAAACAAACGATATTATCGCGACGACTGGTTACGCGGGCTTTCCAAGCCTCGAAAAACGTGGGCTGAGCGCTTAAAAAATGCGTCGGGACGCGCGTAACGTCGAGGATGACCGAATACATATCACGAACACGATTACGCCTCGCGTCGGTAACGGAGTAAAGGACGGTTGGTCCCTTTGGCATTCGTAGCTGCGTCGAAGACAGTGTTATCGCAGCAAACCATTCGTATCATAGAGTTCTCGAGATCTAACAATCACGGCGCACTCGACTAGAAAGGAAACAGGCTTTCGTCATTCCGCTTTCCACGATCGTTCAATTATTCAAGGGGGACTATCTTGGCTCGGGTCCGCGTGCCAGTCACGACGGACAAGTGTAATGGAATATTAACTTGTCGTAATTTGAATTCAATCCCGACGCGGCGGTATCGTCGTAACCCGGATCTACCAGTTGGAGATTCTGACTGATTGCGACGGAGAGAGATGAAGAGGGTCGCCGCGACGGAACAAAGCTCACGGACGGAAAAGCTATTATACGTTTATTTGTGTCGCGAAACGCGAATCGTCCTTTGCCAGACATCGGAGTAACAAATATAACAAATTTAATAGAATCTGACATAGACCGAACACGTAACGCCTACACAGCCTTCTTCGAGTCGGCTGTGACACGTGCGAGAGAGCCTAGAGTTTTTGCGCCAGTATTTACCATGTTATGACAGTGATTTGAAAAATGACTCCAAGGTCAGTCGTTTCGTTTCTTACCGTAAGCAGCGTATTATTCGAATCGTAAGGATATATCATCCAAGTTATCTCGACGAAACCCTTTTTCTTCCGAATCTATGGAAGGGTAATATGTAATAAGAAAAGCGATAACGATCCTAGGCCCAGCGACGGGAGTTTTATCCGTCGGTAGTACATATTGAAACGGTTTAACAGACGCGCGCTATTCGAAGCGACCGGAAGGACGCGATCGTGTCGAATCGATCTCGTTTAATCGCAGAGTCGGAACAAGAGAAAGCGCGAAAAGCCACCGGGAGGGGATGAACGTTGAATAGTTTAGTCTTTCTCACGCGGTTGACACCGTCTCCGACGTCGACGTCGACGTCGACGCCGACGCCGACGCGATTGGACCACGGCCAAATGCCACCGGTAAAATTAATCGTTCCCTGACACGAATTCCCCTCTAAGTGGGAATACCAATTTGTAGTCGAGGAACAACGATTCGATGGGATTGGTAGTTAACAGTTAACAGTTATGTTCGACAGGACGGTGAAGAGATAGGCGCTAGAAAGGTGATTTCGCGCAAGACGATCCGATCGTTTCGTCTCGTTGCATCGTCGCAAAAGCGACCATATGTCGCGATCGTAATGTTTAACAATGTATCGCTTCGTTAAGGGTATAAAGAATGTTAACGTTTCAAGATCGTTGTTTTAACATGGTCGAACCATTTTGCTTTCTCCCTTTGTAACCATTCTCTTTCGGTTGTACAAAAAAATTGCACGCGTAACTTTCACTGTTGGATCCGAAATCATCTGGAAATTAACCGTGCGTTACTGTACTCGGTGTGTCTCAGAGTTGTGCTAATCTTTTCCTGTATTTAAACGCTCTATCGTAACTTTATGTTCTTTTTCTACCTGTCTATATTTGCTTACTCTCTCTTTGGTCGTTTCTCTAACACCCGTTACTTTCCGCATCAAAGGGTTTATCCCATAAAGAAGCAAATAATAATATAATTATAATTAATATAATTTAACTAGGTTCTTTTTGAATTTAGATCGCAATTACATTTTGCAATTATAGTTTGTGGTATAATTCGATCGTAATTGTGCACAACTCTGGTCTACCTGCGCCAGGTGTCCCCGTTTAATTGTTTTCGTCCGGGAAGAGGCCGAGGCGGGCCGAAACTCGAGAATGCGCGTAGGAAATAAACGCGCGAAGAAGCAACGAAAAAGCATGAACGGTTTCGTCGCCGCAAACGCACATCGTAACGCGCCTGAAAGGATCGTGTCTTTTGATTGCAGGTCGAAACTACGGCGAAGTGCAGAGGTGGTACAATCGTCGTTTTAGCGTCAAATCGAGAGGAGAATACACGCTCGGGACTGGCAGTTCGTAAAAGGACCGAGGGAAGATACGTCGGAACCGCCTGAGGAGACAGGAATATTCGCGGGATTAGGGATGTCGTTTGTGCAAAAGTACGAGAAGGAAATTTAAAGAAGCCGACGCGCGATATCGGTGATCCGCGGTGGGTGCGCGAGTGACCGGTAAGAAAGAAGTTTAACGACGACGACGAACGAGGGGAATCGGTAGTGGTCGGTGGTGCGAAAAAAAGTGGTCGTTTATCGAAAGAAAACGAGAAAACGGAGGCGGCGGAGGAGGAAGAGGAGAAGGAGGAGTTTCGAGAGACGCGAGGGTTGTGGAAATTTGAGAGGAGGGTAGGAACGAGAGTATTCGTGCAAGTCGAAGAAGAAGAGGAGGGCCGTTGGAGGAGAGAGAAGAGGAAGAGGAGGCGTAAGCGAAGAAAAGGGCGGATTTCCGGGATATATCGCGAATATCGTCGGTGGAGTTTAGCCGCGAGACAGTAAGTGATGTGTTCGATGGACGAGGCGCGTCTCGCGGGCGGTGGTCGGGGTAAAACGGACGCGTGTCGCGCGTGGTGCGATTGCTTGAAATCGGTGAGAACAGGCGGGCAGTCGGTGATCAGGCTGGCGGGCGCCGGGGAAACGTTTCAAAGGGCATGGCGACCACGCCACTAGGCGGTCGCCTCCCTAACGTAAACCGCAAAGGACCATCTCCGTTCGTCGGTGGTGGTGGTGGCAACAACAGCGTTAATTACGGTAACGGCAACAGCGGCAACAACGGCGGCAACATCAACAACAGCGGCAGTAGTAGCCACAACAACAACAATCACGCTAGCAAAAATAACAATCACAACAACAACAACAACAACAACAACAACGTTGGTCATCGCAACAACAACTACAACAACAACAAGAACCAGAAGAACAAGAACGTCGTAAGCGGTGGTAAGAACGAGAATTGCGTCGACGGCCACGGGGGGAAAGCCGGTGCGATCGAGAACGGTGTCGTCGATCCCGGCAGTAACAGCAGCGGTAGCAACAACAACAACAGCAGCAGCAACGGCAAGAACAACAACGGGAACGGGAACGGGAAACAGAACGACAGAAAAGTTGGTGGTAGCAAGTTTGGAGGAGGAGGAGGTGGCGGTCGTCAGACGTCGAGGAAACAGGAACGAGGTTTACTAGGAAGGGAACATCGAGAACATCGACATCACCACCATCACCATCACCATCATCACCATCATCACCATCATCATCACCATCAAGGTCGGGACAGGTCCTCGTCGTCGTCGTCGTCGTCGTCGTCATCGGGTCGGCAGCGCGATACTAAAGCAAGCACGGTGGCTACAAACACCGATGAGCTGGATCCGGCCGCGACGAATGCGACCAACAACTTTGAGTACGATGACAACGAATGGGACATTGGAATAGGGGATTTGATAATCGACCTTGATGCGGACATTGAGAAGACGAGGGACGAGAAATTGAGCTCAGGGACAGGCATGGCTTCTACGCCTGCCTCGGCAGCATCGGCTTCGAATACCACGAATCATCATCATCACCATCATCATCATCAGCTTCAAAATTCCGCAAACGGTTTAAGCTCGACGAACTTGTCTTCGTCCGTAACGTCAGCGGGCCCAAACGGTTGCGGACAGTCGTCTAACTCGTCGTTGTCTTTGTCTTCGTCTTCGTCATCGTCTTCGTCGTCGTCGTCCTCCTCGTCCTCGTCCTCGTCGACGTCCTCCACGTCGTCTTCCTGCTGCCTGAATTCATCCGGACGGTCGAACAGCCCCGGTAACGGGAACGGGAACGGGAACGGGAACGGGAACGGGAACGGAAGCGTCGTAAGTAGCGCCGGTGGAAACGGAAACGGTACCGGGAACGCGAACGGTTCCTCGTCGATCGTTACGGGGACGGGTAACAAACAGAGCAACGCCGTCGTGAGTGGCGTAAACGCCGCGCACGGAAACCCTGGTAATCCCGGCAAAATGGCCGTTGAACACTCGGCCACCGTCGACAAAGGCCTGAAAATGAAGATCAAGCGAACGAAACCGGGCACCAAGAGCAGCGAGGCGAAACACGAGATCGTTAAATCGAACGAAATGAACGGGACGGTTTCGTCGCAAGAGTCCGGTAACGGGGGCGGTTTAGTATCCTCGAGCGGTTCCTCTTCGTCCACGGGGGGCTCGAATTCCGCGTCGTCCGGCTCGGGGTGCGGACAGAACGCACAGAACTCGGATTGCACCGCGGGAACTGGTGTCAGCGGTGGTGGTGGTGTTGGTGGTGGTGTTGGTGTCGGTGGTGGTGGTAGTAGCGTCGCCGGTGGCGTCGCCGGCGGCGGTTCCGGTGGTTGCGGTACCGGTCCCGGTAGCGGCGGTACCGGTGGCGGCGTCGCCGGTCCCGGACCCGCCGGTACCGTGCCCGGTGGTGTTGGAAGTGGTGGTGGTAGTGGCAGTGGTGCCGGTAGTCAGTCCTCGTCGTCGAACAAATCGAAACCGAGTCATTCGACGGGTTCCGCCGGCGGGACCGGAAACGCGACCTCCTCGACCGCGGGATCGAAGAGAGGATCGAGCGGACATCGTCGGGACAAGGCGCGGGACAAGCACGAGAAGCCGCAGAGCAACCACGCGTCGCAACAGCAAAACAAGCCAGAGATGAACGGGGGGACCGTGAGGCCTAGCGGCGCCGTGTCCGGCGCTGCCAGCGGACAGAGTCAAACGTCGAGCGGACCGGGACCGGGGCCGGGGCCGGGGCCAGGGCCAGGGCCAGGGCCAGGTTTCGGTGCCGGGAGCGGAACAGGGGCGGCCGCGCAATCTCAGGGACCGACGGCGGCCGCGACCGCCCCCCAACAGACCCAGGGACCACCGCCTAGCTCGCGGACAGGCTTCTCCGTTTCTCAAGGGCCTAACCCGCCGTCTAGTTCCGCCGCGGCACCCTGCCCGCCCCCCAGTCCGGCCAGCGCGACCGCCGTCGGACCGGCCGCCAAGCCCGAGCAAACCAAACTAGCCGCGGTACCCGGTAACGGACCTGCGATCACCACGACTACCGACGACGCTATGGATACCGCGGCCAGTCCTCCGCCTCCCAAGAAACTGAAGACTTCCGCTTCCGAACCAAAGGTAACGCTTTGCACCCTCCTCCCTCCTCTCCCTCTCTCGAATGCTTCGCTATCACTCACTCTCGATCCTACCGATCCATCTTGATCTATTTATTAATCCCATAATCGTGTTTATCGTTTTACGAACCACCGCCAAACGCTTTCTTGTTCGTTTATTTAAACGCATCGAGCTTAACGACGCGCGGATCAACGGAAAACAAAAACACACACGCAGTGTGTCTGCTGCTGTCTGTCTGTCGGTTGGTTGTCGTTGGTTGATCTGGGCCCAGGTCTCTCTCTCTCTCTCTCTCTCTCTCTCTCTCTCTCTCTCTCTCTCTCTCTCGGTTAGATCGGTATCTTCTTTGGTGTCTTTGGTGTCGTCGCCCAGTGGTTCGGACGAAATTGGGATGGTCGAGAACGCGGGAGGTGGGCGGCTGTTACGAGTTCGAGTCGTGGCTCGGGGACTAGGGGCTGTTGGCTTGGGGGACGGAAGCGGCTGGGGGTACGCGAAGGGGGTGAAATCAATACTCTGCGGTCTCCGCCCCCGAGAGTACACGGACGAATACATAGAAACAAACACGAGTGCCGGCGAGACACCGTAGTCGACCGGCTAGCCGGTCGGCCACCGAGTTTCTCGTCCCGCCGCTACCCGCCGCGATTTTACCTTTTCTTCCCGCCTCCTGTCTCCTTTCCCCGCCATTCGTTCTTTCGTTTCCGACTTGTTATTTCCTGGTGATGCTGCGACTCCAACATGCCTTGTGGTTCCTCTGCTGTAACCGGGCTCATGCGATACCGGAACCGGTATTTTACGAAACACCTTCACATCGAACTTTTTCAACGACTCTGCCCGTTGCAACCAAAATAAAAACAACTTATAAAATGTATTCGATTAGAAATAACTGTTGCAAGTGGTGTATACAATTTTATCTCCACTACGATCACGTGCATAACGCAGTGTTTCCTGATGGTTGGTTTTCTGAATCGCATCGGGCTACGGGACCGGTGCTTTCTGTTCGTTCCCTGGTATCTTGTCGAAATTGTCGACTCGTACGGTCGAAACTCGCTGCAGCCCGCTGACAGATGGCGCGAAGCCCCGCGTAAATCAATATTCCAACGACACATATATGTATACATATTATATTATGTTTCGAGATGCCCGTTTGTCTGTGCGTGCTCGTTGCGTTATCTACGCGTATTCACTCGTGGGTCAGATACGGTAATGCCTCGCGGAATCTCCCGCTTTTCCCTCGCGTAATATACCATATAGTTATCTCCACCACTTAACCTCTCGTAACCCAAATTATATTTGGCTTTCGAAAAAAATTTGACGATGAGATCACCAACAAACACTAATTCCAAAATATAAACGATAATCCTGAACGTTGGTCCGAATGGTTAGCGAACGTAAAGACGTTGGGAAGAAAAAAAATTTTGCTCGTCGTTCGTAGATTTCGTATTAATTATCGATGGACGAACAACTCCTATCTATGCAAAGCTTAAACTTACTTAACGACGTGGCTGTTGTGTGTTCGCGCAGACTGTAGTCGAATCGAGGCGGTTGTTGTAAATAATGAAATCGTATTTCTGCATTAAATGCAACGAACCCTGCGGAAGAAAAAGCTTCGTTCCACGGCGTGCCACGGAAGCGGTAATTACTGTTGCGCGAGCCAACGATAATTGTTCTTCCATTTGTATCCATCGCCCCGTTGTATTCCGTTCCCGCGTTTCTCCGCGTTTCTTCGAATTCTTGCGCTTCGACCGTCCTTTCTTGGTCGCGGCTTTCTCGCCACCTTTTACTTACTTTTTTATTCTCTCATCGATGGAACAAAGAAGAAAAAAGAAAAGGAACTTGCGTAATTTCGGCCGGTTCACCAACATCGGACCAACGATAATTGACGGCGTAACGGCATTTAGTTTCAATTTGGCCCGTCACCTTTCTTTAGAATTAATTCGCGTAACTGAAAGCGACAAACCCTCGTCGTGACCCCTTATTAATCTCAGTCTAGCAACGTGGTCTGACCTCTGTTCTACAAATATTTCAATATCGTGAAAAGTCCTGACCCCGATGTACAACAGCGATAGATTTCGTGTGAAACGACCCGTGCAGATAAGAGCCGTCGTTTGATTCCCCGCCGGCGAGCAGATGTGTATATTCGGGGGGGGGAATTTCGAAGTTGGTTGCGTGCGTGTCCTCTGTAGTTGAACGCGCGCCACATCGTTCGGTAACTGGAATTAGGACGTTTCCCGTTATTCTCGCAAACACCGGTAATCTTTTTCCGATAATCGTTGGCTGGCGTGCCGGGCACCTAGGATCGCGTACGAACATAAAAGTACGAATAGGATAAAGTAACGGACGCCGGCGAGTAAATGCCGGGTAATCGGCAAACTGAAGCAGCGCGTAGGCCGATTAGCGGTTTAAGCGCGGAAATATAAGCGGCTGTATCGTTTGACGGTCGAGTGGCGATAAGAGGACGGGGAAGGGAGTAATGGCTGGCCTAGGGAATTACGCATGGGCTACGAGAGTAGGCGGAAAAGAACGTTACCGGTGGGGAATGGAATTGGCTCGCGACGAACAATAGGAGGACAAGCGTCCAAGTCCAAGTCGAAACCATGTCTCCGGAAGACGTCTCGAACGAGTCCGGAACTCCGACGACGGTATCGATCCGCTATCGTTACGTTAGTCAAGGTCGAACACGTTTAATAGGGGAAAGGATTCTAGTTGTTGGCTAGCATAGAATCGCGTTATCGATGCAAGGTTAGTGTTAACCACCGATCGACGTTTCCGAATGTTCCATTAACCGAAATAACGCGCGTCATCGTGGAAGACTAAACCGATTATTTGGGTTTCTATGCATCGTTTGAAGGAGCTTCGAGATGCGAGTCGAGCACTCGTCACGTGCACGATTCCGATCCATGGGATTTGCCTCGGCAGAGTTCTGGGCACAATGTAATCTGATTATACGTACTTGCATTGCAATCACGCGATAATTACACCATAACGTAAAAGTACATGCTTTAAAGATCAACGATTACGATTGGAATCGGATTTGAGAAATCATAATCGGATGCATATTTTTATTGAAAGGTCGGAGACCCCCCAATCCGCAGAAAAGAAATCTCCAACGTCGAATAGCGGCGACACGGTGATGGCAGGGTTGGCTAGCAATCCAAAGGTCGTGGGTTCGAATTTCCGTTGTACTCTCCTTCTTTACATAAATGACAATTTGTCTAATTTGAAATGGGTTTCAATTTCTGTCGAATGGAGTCTCGTCTCCCTCGAGGTATCTCGAATTTCTCTTAAAAGACGGGCGGCAAACTGGAAGCAGAAAACGGGGCTTGGGCTGCAAAAGAGTCAGTCTCTTGTGTATTGTAGGAGGACGATAGCAGCTGTAGTTTGTTGCTTCCGTTACAGTCGATTGGCAACGAGCACGAGGAGGTGGTTTCGGTTTTCCACATCGAAGGTGTGCGTTTCGCTCGTTTGACAGACGGTCGTGCGATCCCGTCGCGTCGGCTCGATCCGCGGAAACGAAACGTGGCCAAGACGAAAGGAGAGGAGGCTAGGCTCTCTTATCGATTGCTCGTTGAAGGCGCAGCTCGCATAAATCATGCTTATCGCGATGAAAATTATGCGGCGCGAAGTACGTCGCGTGACAACGCGACTCGACCGAGGTACGCTTATTAGAGTACTAAACACTGGTGCACGCGACTACCACGCTTACGCGCAGAGACCCGGTAAACTGCACGTGTGCAACCGTCTGCGCTATAGAAAGCGACCAATTTGTTCGTACGCGAGTTTCCTTGTTCTCGAACTTTCCGACCTGTTTTTCTCTCGATAAACGTGTAACTCGATCCCGATTGTTCCAGGCAAACGTGTACGACCGGTGCAATTTTCAATATTTGGGGGGCATTTTTTCACCTAACCTGTAGAATTTTCTAAAAATTTCCGAAATAAAATCGATAGTATCGATGGTAGAATAAATAATTGCAATGCTTCGTCTGGCGTCGTATTAATTACTCGGGAAAAATCGTTCAACGAGTCTGTGAAAGGTGTAGCGAAACGGAGAAATCATAAAACTGTTGGTACAGACGGGCAACAAATCGTTCCGTAACAACTTTACTGTTAGGAAGAGTACTCGAAGCAAGTCATTTTCCACCATTTCGCGTGGGCACATCCATGGCGAACGGTGGTATGTATTAGCCGTTGGTACACCTGTAACAACTGGCTTACGGTTGCACGGTTTTACCAGACCTTCGACGGACTTTCCAAACGATTTCATGAGTAATTAATTCGAAAATAGACCGTTGTTCGTCTCGCGTCGATCAAACGACCATTGTTTCTCGATTATTTACGACGGGATGATATTTGCGATCCCACCGCCCACGATGTTACAATTAAATGATATTCGAAACTAATGCTGTTAAATCCGTTTTCTCTCGTTTAGAATTCGTTCGTTTTTTTCGTTCGTCCCAAGAGCGCCAAGAGCTGCTAATAAATTCGGCCTTCGGGTGTTCATCAGAGACCACCGATTAAAAGCCACTCGTTCTTTGACTCTTCCGCGTTAAAAATTGAAACGGTCGTCCCGACGAATAAGCTTTTTCGTTTCGTGCGTCCATCTTTACCGCTGCGTTGAAAAAAATGATTAACGACGAACCACGAGCGGCGCAAAAATGATTGACGACGAACCACGAGCAGAGAGAGAAAGAGAGATGGAATCGGACGACAGTGAAAGTATGTCACAGCCTCGAGGAAGCGCGTCCTCGAAGCTATCGGTTTTCCTAATCGACGAAAAGAACAAGTTTCGACGTTAATTCGAGGATCCGTCGTTTTCTCACCCGCGTATTTTTTCTTCGATACAAACTGCCCGAACCCCGGTGTGTTCCTTTATATTAAACCTTTATCGTTCAAAGTTTCATTCGTAAACGTAAAACGTGTTCCCAAAGAAAGAAAAACATTTGTTTTACGATCCTACACTCGTGCACCTCCAGCCTAGCGATTTAAATTATTTTTTTCTGTCTGTTTTACATGTTCCTCGTTGCGAATCCCTGTCACAAACGACCGGTAAACGTTCGGATAGTTTCTAATATCGCGACCGATCGATTCCGTCGTTTCTGCCCCGATCGCGAAACGTATCGAATGCACGGCGAGCCACGGATATAGACGGCGAAACCCGTATCGTCGGCCGGGATCGTTTTCGATCGAGCAAGCCGCGCGTAAATGCGATTCGACGATGTACATGTAAATTTTGTTTCCAGGACATGTCCGACGTGTGCGTTGGGACCAGCGTGGGGACCATTACCGAGCCAGAATGTTTAGGACCCTGCGAACCCGGTACGTCGGTGACTCTCGAGGGCATCGTTTGGCACGAAACCGAAGGAGGTGAGTTTCAAGCGACACCGGATATCGCGAACGATCTTTCGAGCCCGCGTTCTCGGACACGACGTTCCATTTCGGTTCCTCGAACAGCGTCCGAGACAGAGACTATGCGTAACACGAGTCTGGAAACTAATGGAGGGCATCGCGAGGAGCCCGACGCGAATGAAAAAAAAGACCAATTCCTACGAATCGATCGCTTCTGTAACCAGCGATCGTATATTTTTAAACGAATCGAGCCTTCAAAGTTTTTATCGATGGAAACAATAACGCTCGCGTTTGATAATAACAATGCAGAAAACATTGTTACTGTATTTGAACAGTGTATTTGTTATTTCCGATCTCGAGGTACAAAAGCGATAAATTTAGTCCATGCCTGGCAGGCAGCGAATAAGGCAACTTGTCGTGTCGGACAGCTATCGAAAGTAAGATTGTCGTGGCTCGTCGACGGGTTAGAAGTACACCACGCCGCGATCCTTCTCCTTTCCATCCTTCAGTTTCCACTCTCGCTTCTTGCATTTTCTTCGTGCCCCTTCCCTTATGGCGAAAGTAACCTTCGCGATAATCTTTCCGAAAGGAATTGCCTCGTCGTCGTCGTGGTCGTTCCATCTTCACGAAATCCGCTTTAAAAACACCTCGTCGTTCTCGCGTCAGTGTCCTGTGATCCCTTCTATCCACGGTTTGGTCGACCAAAAAAATAAAAAGCTACGAGAAATTTCAACGTTAAATATTCTCGTAAATTATTAACCATACATCGTCTAGGTTTCGACGCAACGTGCGTGCTGTATCGGGGTAGAAAAGCTCGTTTAAATGTCGCCCGGGCGGGGGCACTCTTGGGGTATTTCCCTTGTTAGAGACTCGTAATCGCGTATTCACGAGTATGACATGCATTGTGGAAAATTAATCCTGTCACGTTCCGTGAGTAGTTAACACCAGCTGTTACGAAGCGCAGTAATCCCCGGATAACTAAAACGAAATCAATTTCTCGTCGTTTGGGTTATCCGAAGAGCAGCGTGTGTCGAGTAACGTCGTTATTTACGACCGAAACGTTTCCCTTTTAGATCGAATATGGATCGCGTTGTTAAATCGTTGGCGGAGAGGGTATTGGAACGGAACTCGGGGTTTCCCGCGTGTTCAGAGCGAGCGTTTCTGTTTGCAGGTGTGCTGGTGGTGAACGTAACGTGGCGAGGTAAAACGTACGTCGGTACGTTGCTGGATTGCACTCGTCATGACTGGGCGCCGCCGAGGTTCTGCGACTCGCCGACGAGCGATCTGGACGCCCGGACGCCAAAGGGGCGCGGTAAACGCGGAAGAGCAGCGGCGAACACGACGCCGGGCAACGATCTGAGCAACTTCACGGAAACGAGGAGCTCGGTGCACAGCAAGCTGCGAAACGGCGGCGTGAAAGGGCGCCGCGGCGCCCAGGGATCGCCGGCGGCGAGCCCGAGTCCGGCGGCGTTCGTCCCGCCGCGGCCGGATCCAGCGGCGAAGCGGAAATCCCGCGGCCCGGAGGAGGAGGAGAAGAACAAGAGGCGCGCCCCGCCGCCCACGCCACCGAGCGGATCGCCGCCGGCGAGCCCGGTGTTTCTCGAGTGCCCGGAACCGAATTGCAACAAAAAGTACAAACACATCAATGGACTCAAGTATCATCAGAGCCACGCGCACGGCTCGGCGGACGACGACGACACGAAAGAGGGGATCACGAGCATGTCCGAGAACGACGAGAGCAACATCGAGGCTCCGAGTCCGGCTACGCCCGTCAAGTCGCCCGCCGACAAGCCCGAAGGGACACCGCTCAGGCCGAGCAGCCCGCAGGCGACCAGTTTACCGCCCGAGACGCCTCCGCCGCCCTCGAGGGTAGCCTCTCCGGGAATAGAGACGACCGCGACCGTTCTCGCCACCGACAAGAGTATCGTGAAGCCCGGTGTGCTCAGATTCGGGCAGGACGACCTGCCCGCCCCGCCGTCGACGATACCCACCGCCGCGAAGCAACAATCCGTGCAACAGCAGCAGCAGCAGCAGCAGCAACAACAACAACAGCAACAGCAGCAGCAGCAGCAACAACAACAACAACAGCAACAGAACCAATCGTCGTTGGGTTGTTCAAACTCGCCGCAATGCCCGAGTCCCCGACCCAGCCAGTCGCCCAGGCCTGTCCCGTCGCCGCATCCGAGCGCGGGCATCCCACAGCCGTTGAATATCCCTCAACCGCCGCAACCATCCCAGATGTCGCAGCACCAGCAACAGAATCCCCTTCTGCAGCAGAGCCAGCAGGGTTTGCAACCCGGTCAGCCGTCTGCCTCGCAGCAGCTCCAGTCGAGCCAACAGTCGCAACAGCTGCAGTCGGCCGTTCAGCAACAACAGCAACAGCTGTCGTCCGCGCACCAGTTATCCGTGCAGCACTCGCTATCGGCGCAGCTCAGTCAACTGACGCAGGCCCACGTGGTGCAACCGACGGGATTGCAGCAGCAACAGCAACCGACCGGCCTGCAGAGCATCGCCAGCCAACATCCGGGTCTCCAAAGTCTGGCCGGTCAGGTGTCGCAACAGACCGCGGGTCTGCAGGCAGCGCCGCCCCCGCAGCCCGGGCATCCCAGTCAAGGCGTGCAGTCGCATTTGCAGCCGTACCAGAGCGTCTCGTTGCACGCCAAGATGCCGCAGTTCAAGGTGAAACCGACCGCCGCTCTGATGCCAGAGCAGGACAAGAGCAAAGATCCACGGGCGTCGAAGCCTCAGGGCTACAAGAAGAAGTCGAGGAAATCGCCAGGCGGCAGTCCTCACCCGTCGCCGTTGGAGGCGCCGATCGTCGACTCGGCCAGGGACGACGTCCAGAGTCCCGCCTATTCGGACATCTCCGACGACGCGGCGCCCGTCCTCGAGGCGGAGCCCACCGACAAGTCGAAACAGATCCAAGAGAAAGACGGGAAAGCTACAGCTGCTGCCCATCTGCCGGCTCACTTCAGCATGTACCCTTACTACGGGCAACCGCCTTATCTGGTGCCTAGCGTTCAGGAGAGCAAGCCCATCGATCAGAAGCCCACCGATCTCGTCCCGAAGCAGGAGATGAAGCCGCTGAACATACCGCAGATGCCGACGATGGCTAGTCTGCAGAGCGTCGTGACGGAGAAAGAGAAGAAGGAGATGAGTCAGTCGGTGCCGCAGCCGCAACAGCAGTCGCACTATTACGGCGGTTACGGCAGCTACATGCCACCCGGGTATCCGTACCAGCCTCCGCAGTCGGTATCCCAGCAGCAGCAGCAACAGCAGCAACACCAACAGCAGCAGCAGCAGCAGCAGCAACAACAACAACAACAGAACCAACAAGCGCAAGAGCAAGAGATGCACGAACAGAAGGCGAAGATCAAGCAGGAGCCGCAGTCGCAGCAGGCCAGTTTGAAGGACAAGCAGCACGAGAATCATCAGATACTGAAGGAGAGCATCGAGATGAAGAGCCAGATGAGCCCGTATCACGTTTACCACGGTTCTCAGAGTCAAAGGGCGGCGCCGCCGCCGCCACCGCCCGGTCCTATGCAAGACGACCGAAGGTATTACCTGTACCCGGGCGACCAGAGGCGAAAGGAGGAATCGAACAAGCAGAGTCAGCAGGCGAAGCCGCCACCGCCGAGTCCGAAGCATCAGCCGAAGCAAGAGAAGCCGCAAGACCTGGGCAAGAACGAGGACTCGAAGAGCAAGCAAGAGGGCGTCAAGCCGACGATGGAGACGCAGGGCCCGCCGCCCCCCACCTCGCAATACGCGTACATTCATCCGAGCTACATGCAGCCGCAGCACTACGGCGCGCTGCCCTTCGACCCTAGTCATCCCGTCTACCGAGGGCTGAATCCGATGCTGGTCCCTGGACCGTACTCCGGTAACCCGTACCTCCACCAATTGCCGAGGTATCACGCGCCGGAGGATCTGAGCAGACCGCCAGCCGGCAAAGCGTTGGATCTGCTCCAGCACCATGCCAATCAGTATTATTCGGCGCACAAGATACACGAGCTGCAAGAGCGCGCGCTCAAGTCCCCGACCCCGAAGACCTCCGCGGCCTCGGCGAGTCCCTCGTCCGCGGGCCCGACGCCCTCGCGACCGCCGAGCGGGCCCCCAAGCTCGGTGGGGGGAGCCGGAGGGGGCGCGGGACCGGGGCCACCTCAAGCACAGGGTCAACAGTCCGCCAGCAAGCAGCAGAATCAACCGGGAGGCCAACAGCCGCAGCAGCAGTCGCCCGTCGACGGTGGGACCGGAACCTTGCCAAAAGACAATAGATCGCCGCCTCCGCAGCGACACGTGCACACGCATCATCACACGCACGTGGGCCTAGGCTATCCCCTTCTCCCTGGACAATACCCCGCCCCTTACGGAGGTAAGCCTCTCGTCAGACCCTGACAGTAAGGCTCCCGACACGACCCGATCGCGTCGCGGACCCAACTCGAGACTTTCATACTTTGACTCACGGTCGAAAGAAACCACCGATCGCTGCCGCTCCCGCCCCCTACCCCTACCCCTCCCCCTCCCCCTCCCCCTCCCCTCCGCCCTTGTCACCCCAACGATCCTGCTGCTGATAAAGCGCGTGACCGTCGAGAGACGCGCGCAAATACTCTGCAGGGATTTTCTCGTCGTTCGACAAAACCACCCCCTCCTCCCGGGATTAGGCTGCCCCGGACGACCCCGCACGATTTACGGATAGTAAACTCGTCCGATCCGTCTATGTAAGCCTGATCGTGTTAATCGTACGTACACCATATTGGTGCATGCGGAATGCGAAGAAGGTGTTGTTGCGTCCCCGAGTGGTGACGAACGGGAAGAAGAAAGTTTCTTCCCTCTATCGAGAGCGCGTCGAGTCCGTTCGATTCGTTGCGAGGACGCACCGCGCGTCTCCTTTCCTATTCCCGTTTATTTCTTGGCACTTTTTGTAACGAGATTAAACGCCGATCATATTCGACGCGTCGACGCGATACGGGACGTCTCGAACGAGCACCGATTATCGACGATAAACGATATACTATATGCGTGTAAATAGTTTTTATCGAGCGTACAGTTTGACGACAAACGGTGAAGGACAACGGCGAACCGCGAAACCTGCGTTTAGCTGCGCCAGCGAATTGCGAGCTGCATTTTTTAATGAATACACGCGCGATAGGTTCGTACAATATATTATATTATGTAAATACACGTTTAGACGATTCGTTACTTAAACTACGGACTGAATATTTTCGAAAATATCGGAGCGTGTGTACGACAGTTAAGAATAGGTACGTAAGTGTCGCGTCCTGACTGCCACGAGGCTCGTAGGATGCATAGTTAGACGTATAGTTCAGACTGTGATAATTGCTAATCGTCGTGCTCGTTTTCCGGCACGAGAAAAAAAACAAACGACTCGACGAGAACCCGTGTTCGACTCGGAAGAAATTTCCGCGCGTCGTTTCGGGCGTTTCGTCCGCAACTGGATGTCGGAGGAGTTCCCGATCGAAATTATATCTCTGTTCGACGACAACCGCCGCCGACGACGACGATCCAGACACGAACGATCGATCGATCGAGTTCGCGAACCACGTCGGATAACAGAGAGAAAGAGAAAGAGAGAAAAAGAGAAAAAGAGAAAAAGAGAGCACACCTTTTTTCAAGTTCGAAACGGAGGACGAGCCTTCGTCTCGTAGTTCTTCGGTAGTCTTCCACGAAGGTTTCTTTCGTTCGAGAAAAGACTTTGCGTCGCACCCGGTAACCAAACGAAACGCCGCACAGCTTTTCCTCCGTTTCCGTATTTCCTCAAAGTTTCGTCACGCCCGGTCTTGGTAAACGCGCCTTCTTCTTTCGCCCTTCGACGTGATGCGACAAGATGATCCCCCGTGCACGAAACAACCCAACACGTAGTTGTCACTGCCAGGATGTCCGCGGAAACTGGATCCGATCGCGCGTTACCCACGAAACTTCTCCGTGTCTCTCCTCTTTACACGATCGTAGACTCTTTTTTTTTTTTTTATTCTTTTACGACGTAGACGTATCGCCGCCACCGCGAAGAAATATTTTTTAGCACGCGTTCGCGTAGTTTTATTCCGCGCGATCGGTATTCCTTATCGACGCACGATCGTTTCCTTTCTCCGTCGTTCCTTCCTCGCGCACTGCGCGTCTTTGCCCGCGGGCAAACCTTCGGGCGCGGATCGTCGCGCGACATTTGTAGCGTTTCCTTAAGCCGTTCGAACGAACGACCGTGCTTTTGTTTTTTCCATCGTCGGCGAAACATTGTTCGACGCTCGCACGTTTCGCGTCGATCCGTTCGGATCCACGGGCAAACCCGCCGGCTTATGCCTCCGCCTCTACGCTTGTACGCTTCTCGGCTGCCGTTCTCCCATCCCTGTCGCTTCCACTCGCTTTAACTCTCGTTCCCACGCGATACTTGGGCTGGAGTGGCGCGGAATCGTCGACAACGTGCTGTTCCGTTCGGAGGATTTCGCGTCTCTCGAGGACCGCCGTTATGACCAGAGATGGGCAAACTCTAGGTAAACAAACTTGAAAAAATAAAATTCCATTCGTATCATGGACATTCGAATACCAGATTGCGTAAAACGAAAATGCCCAAGTCTGGTTCTCGGAGTGGTCGCGAAAGACACGGATTGGGACCGAGATACTGGATTTCGTTCGCTCGAGTCGAGTCGGACGAAATCCAGAAAAGGTCACCGGTTTTCACGCGCTCCGTTAACAACGATCAGAGGAAACGAATTAATGGGCTCGGTATCTGTCTGTGTGTGTTACAGCGGCAATGCTGGCGAGTCAGCAGGCCGCCGCGGTAGCCGCATCGGTGATCTCGCCATTCCCGCCCAAGTGACCCGCGGCCCCCGGTCCCGTACTAGCTGCCGGAACGACCGGACCCACCTCCGCACAAACTCACCACACGCCTCATCATCCGCCATCGGTCAGCGCCGCGACCGCTGCGGGACATCCGCACTCTGCCACCGCTGGCAGGCAATCCTAGGATGGCAGCAAGCATATGCCAACTAATTCGAGCCTGCTACCTCTTCGTTAACGCACCATCGATTGCTCGACGGCCATCGTCCAGCCATCATCTGCCAACCACGGCCCGCCAGCCACGGCCCGCCAGCCACGGCCCGCCAGCCTACGCGCCTCTTCTACCATCGAGATATACGTATATTCCTTCATCTCGCGAGCAGGACCGAGAGGGCACAGCGACGCGTTCGAATCGACGAACGTTCATCGGCTCTCGGGAAACGCTCGACGCTACTCTTTTGACAAAAAAAAAAAAAATTAATCGATCGCGTTTAGAGTAATCGTTGCGCGCGATACAGAGTGGGACAGATTTCGGAAGGATCGAACATTGTAAACTCTGCGTCGGGGGACGATCGTTCCGCGTCGGAAACGCAGAAGGTGCCCGGGAAACGAGAGTGAAAAGACACCGTCGATCGTTTCCACGGTAAAAAAAAAAAACGGAAAAAAAGAGTAGCGATTGTAGACCGTAAGCGACGACCACGACCCGGAAACGGAGAACCAAGACGCGTGCGTCGATTCGTTCGCGCGAATGCGATTTGTTGCACGAATTTAGGACGTATGCTAGCGACTTTCGATGTACATATACATATATCCGGGAGAGCACGGATCGTTCTTCCGCAAAGTGGACTGGGTTCGGACGCCCGGAAAGTCGCTAGAGGCGATCTCGTTTTCGGACCGACTGCCCCCCCCCCCCCCCCCCTCCCCCCTTCCCCCCGCGCGAGAAAAGAGGATTTCGAAGTAAAATCGTACCGCCTAGGAAGCACCGAAGATCTTTGCCCGCGACTACTTCCCCGAAGCAACGTTTTTATCGCACGTAGAAACTTAGGAGAGCGCGCGTGGGAATGGGAAACGACGCGTGTGCGTGTGTTTCGCTCGTATGCGACGAATGTTCGAACGACGGACGTTTTGCGCATAACGGTGAAATTATAGATCGTTGTATTTTATTGTAAAAAAAAAAACCGAAGAATTGCGACGAGCACCGCAGACTCGACATTTTTTTGTAGAGAAATTGTGCGAACACACGGGACGGACGACACGATTTGATGCATGTGTCAGTGACGATTATCAAAGAAAAAAGGATTTAAAAAAAATGGAAAAAAAAGAAAACAGAAAAACGAAAAAAAGAGAAGCGAAAGCGAAACGGGAGTGTGAGTAAGGAAGAGAGAGAGAGAGAGAGAGAGAGAGAGAGAGAGAGAGAGAGAGATAATGCAAAGATACTTGTCTCGCAGAACGGTGTAAGCGAGAGAAGAAATCAGGATTCTAAATAACGATTAACGCGGCGGTAGATGATTGTACATTGAATACGCTAGAATGCTGTTTGTTTACTAAAAATAACGGTAGTTAGTGGTGTGTGAATATAAAGAGAGAGTATGTGAGAGAGACGGAGACGGAGAAAGAGAGTAATAACGAACGGGAGAAAGCGTGAGAGAGAGAGATACGAGCGGAAAGACAAAACGGATAAGACTATTTAACGAGAAAAGGAAGGAAAAAAAATGCTATTAGGTATATACTAATGCCGCCGTGGTACACGCGCATAGTATCCTGACAACTACCTAACGTTAGTTCAGTAACGATTATTATTATTGTATCTTTTATTACGATTATTCATTAACAATTATCGGTTACATTATTTTATTATTGTATCGATGAGAGATGGAAGCGTGGTACGAACGATCGGTGAAACGCGCGTTGCCAAGAATCCGAGAAATAGTTTTATCGTGCCGTGCATAGTGTCGCAGAATGCCAAATAAAACAAAAAGAAAAACAAAAAGAAAAAAAAACAAAGAGCAAGGCGTTGGTTGTTTTAATTCGAGTAACAATGGCGATTCGTTTTTTGACCGAGAAATGCAGAGAAACGCGGGATATTGTCGTCTCAGTTTTAATGAGACGTTTCGAAAGAGAAACGGGCAGGCTTTAAAAGTAAAATGCTGGTGCTGTGCTGTGATTTTTATAAAAAAACATACGAGACGCGAAAAGAGAGCAAAAGAAGACGGACGATCTTGACGAATTTTTGTGAAAATATGCAGATAGCCTAAGTACCTGGACCTGCCCTGCGCTCTCCGCAAACGTAAAACTCGTGTAGAAACAATGAACGGAGAAAAACGGATAAATCGAGAAAAAATATAATGGGAAGACGACGTTATACGGATTGTATAGGCTGTAAAGTGTATTTGCTTTTAAACGAAATTTAATATAGATCGTTAATCGCTAATTACAAGAAGAAAAAGGGGCTGCCTCCGATCGTCGATTGCTGTAGATCGTTTTATTCGCCGTTTCGCAAACTTTGTCCAATATTAATGTAACCCCCGTCGTATACTGTAACTGAGCTTCGTCGTAAAACGCCTAGACAGTTTAGCTGTGCGTTACATGCATGCAAAACACTCTCCTCCTCTTCTTCGGGACGTACACGTTGAAATTCGTTACGACTACGGAACGACGACCGACGACCGACGACCGACCTTTTTCCTCCAAGGTGTGTCATTCTTGTTTCGTTTCTTTACACTTCCATTTTTGTCAAGTCATTGTTCCCGGTCTCTCGTACAATTCGGCTCCCCCTGCAAGCGTGAACGAGATAACAAATTGTAATTAACGATCGGAGACAACTTCCGGACTAAGGATATACTCTAGCGTGTACTACGTATTTGCCACGATGTTGCATAATTAATTGCGAAAAATCCTCGAACGAGTAAACTAAACGACAACATATGGCGGACTGAAATATAACGTAATGTAATAAACAAGGACCCGTATTCTCGTTTCCTTTTTTTTAGAATGATAAAAATAGTGAGTCGTTGCGCTTTATATATTATACACTTCGAATATATGAATATACGAGTAACATTACGTACAGAAAGCAAGTACAGAAACGCAGGCATCTTGTCGTTAAATTGTAAGATATTGTGTTCAAACTCCAGAATGTACTCTGATCCCCTTCCTCGGACTACTATATATTAAATATATTGTGCACTATGCTCCAACTTGTCCATACGAATAAATATATTGAAAAATCTCACTATATGGTATACTCGATCGTTACTGCTGCCCTGCAACGCGTTTCTCTCATTTAAATCTATTATTTTTTTAAAGAGAAAACCGTAGACTGCTTTGCATTGGGATTACTCACGTATATTTACCGATGTTTCGAGTATACGTAGTATTTTTCTCAAGTAAAAATAACACAAAAGTCTCTTAGCATAGGTGCTGAAAGAAAAATCTCACCTTGGCAGACACGATTACAAACCGTTTTGCCGATCACACAAAGATAGGAAAGTAAATACCTTTGTCAAAAAGTGTGTAGTTATGACATGAACTAGAGAGAAGTAAAAATCTATAGTTCGGATGATAAAAACACGTTTGCTGAAGTTTCCCTCCAAATTTGAAATCAATCGATATATTAGATCTTGAGATATCATGTTCACCAGTGTGTAACAAACGTATTCCAATCTCTCTAACTTTGTTAGTTATTTTTACAAATCATTTACAAAATTTTACAATTTTTTCAACATTCTAAACCGAAATATTAAATACGTTTCATTGTATGTCGATGGACAAAGGATTCAGTTACAGACGGTATCGCGAGGTACATACATATATGCGTATCCTAATTGTACATAGTTTTGTATCGTGCCAAGAGTAATATGCATCAAGTTTAAAATCTTTACCTTACAGATTAATACTACCTCGAAGCTTATTTTCTCCGTATAGAAATAATAAAACGATATCATAGGACAGATTGTATGTACATATGTACATACATGTAAGTACGTAAGTAGGTTATGTTTCATATCCAAAACATTTGTTTTTCGAAAAATATCTAACATTCTGCCATGCGAAAGAATAGTAATTACGTACGTGATAAGGTATAATTAAATCACGGAAAAGGAGCTTCGACCGAGGCTTTTACACATTACTCGTATAAAATGGACGAGATAGAATACAAATTGGAATCGAAAGATCCTGTTTTGATATCGCACGTGAGTTCTTCGCTTTTTGTCGTAAACAATTTATTCTTATTGCAATGCTACATTTTCGTTTTGTTCACAGGCAATATCGAAACTCATCGATTCGATCAAGAAAAAGAGAAACGATCAAATCACAAACCCCGTTACAAACGTAAAGAACTGTAATCCTAGGAATTACCGTAAAAACAATTTTATTCTTACGTTCTGTTAATATTACTGTTTCTTATAGATAGCAGAGTTTAAACTGTTATCGATAAAGCGAGATAGTACGGACAACGTGCTTAGCTTATCCGTTTGTCAGGCATTAATTACGCTAGTTGAAAATGGATTATGGGACATTAGCGAAGCTCTGTCCACCTTTGCATCGAGCCTTTTTTCTATAAAGTATATAAATATCGTTTAAGATGTTTCTTAACCTTTTTTACTTTATAATAAATGTACTATATGGTTTAGAAATTATGCGGTTGCATCCATAGCTATCGGTCGCTTATTAATGTTGGATCTAAAGCACAATAAGGGGGAAAAAACTATGTATCCGTTTAATCTTTACGCGCCGCAACATCCGTTCATAATTATTTTAAATCAAGATAAATGTAATTGGAAAACTGTATTAAATCAAATAACGTTTGTCACGAATCACAGGGATCCACAGTATGTATAGAGATATATGTGTATACAGTGTATATGCATATGTACTAAAAGTCTAAGTATATTTCAGAATTAGAGAAAACGGTATAGAAATGTTGCGCCCTGTATTTCTGTATGTTCTATGTAATCCTTCTCTGAATTCGTTGGATTGCTGTTTGCAACCAGTTTGGCAACTTTTAATCGAGTCAAAACACGGTGTACGCTTGCGGACAGAAGTTTTACTCTGGTCATGCACAACCGAAAATTGCGTTGTCGTTAATACAAACAACAGAATTTTAGAGCTTACTGAAAAAGCACTGTTAGAGAAGGATGTAGAATATTGTACTGCTTTAATGCCAATGATCGCATCTTTGACTTTACGACTGTTAAAATACGGATCGGATCCAGAACCAAATTTTTACATGTTATCCAATATTATAGATCGATGCAATATTCACATAGGAAATCTTATGTTAGCACTTATGGCAGAAATAATTACTATATGCCCTGCCATTTACCTGTATAAAGCTTTGCAAATATGTAAGTATTTTAAACACAAGAAGTAGTTTAAGTTTTCCTCGGAAATTTTTGTTAAATTATGTTACAGGCATGACGATAACGATCAAAATGTCATACAACTGTATATTTTTTAATACTCTGAAAGCATCCATTTTGAAGTGGATGGCATACCCGTCGGTACTATGTTCCGATGCTTTGGATATGGCGACAAATTTAACCAAGAGAACTTTTATCGAGCCACAATCCACGAGCGACGATACCGTGTTCACGAGTAAAATTTTCGAAACGTTTGCTTGTTCCGATTCTTACGTTCAATTTTACGTGGAGATTGTGCGTTACCTAAATGTCTGGAATTCAAACGATATTTTATCCTGGTTGAAGAATATGTCGCACATACCGATCGATTTAAAAACTAAATGTAAACTATTGTTGTCTGGCCTCTTTTTACAAACAACCAATTCAGAAGTAGTCGAGCTATGTTGCGAGGTGCTTGTTGATATCAGCGTTAAAAGAAAAAGTTTCGAATCGCACTTATTATCCTTGGTTTTACATAAATTGATCAAGTCTAGAAACAGTACAGAATCCAAGTATTTACTACACGTCTTACCAGAACTTGTAACTATGAAAGAAAACTTTCCGATCGTTATTCACACACTGGACACGTTATTAAAAGGCGAGAAACAATTAAAATATTTCACGATCGAATTATATCTGAAGACATTGAGGAAAGAACCAAGATGTTACAGGTTCGTTTCACCCGCCATAATTCGTTTAATGAAAAACGATCATTCCTGGTATTCGAATGCAACTTGCGCAAGAGCCATGAAATATATTTGTGAAAATCATCCTGAACACGGGGAAGCGCTAGTGCCATTGTTATCGCAAATATTAAATCGCTCCACGGATACAAACGGTGGAACAGCAAGCGCGCTTACTCTTCAAAGTATTTCTGCTCTCTGCAAAGCTTCCATAACGGACATTTTTTCCACCTGGAAGGTGTTGGCTCCGAAAATGGAAAAAGAGAAGCGTACCATTGTTTTGGAAAGTCTTTGCGAACTGTTCGGTGACGTGACTTCCTATCCATCTTCTCAATCCGTAAAAGAATACGATGAATTGATCGACGATATCATAACGAATCTGTGGAAATACGTCACGTACAACGATGTAAGAGTTATTAAGGCTGCGCTTAATGCGCTCAGTTCCTTTCGCATCGAGCATATTCCTCTAAAAACATTACCAGAGATATTCAGATGCCATCTTGTATTGCCGGCAGCACACGCTACCACTCCACTCGATGAAATTAAGAAACCAGAGGATGTACTCTCGTACATACCAGGTTCCTGTTGGATCGCGATGCTTCAGAAAGTAAACAAAGCGGCTTTATCGGCGGCCGGAGAACTTTTGATTTCTTTCATCACCGAAGAAGTAAGCGGCTTCCGAACAGGAATTTACCACTGGCCGCAAGGTGACCCGCAAAATTTCAAATATTTACCAGAAAAAAGCGTAATACGAACGATCGGCGAATTTTTAAGACGCGCCGACAAATCTAGTGCCAACAATCATCGTATTATTATAGAATGCTTGCGAATATTTGCTCACAGATATCCGAAACCGCTACCGAATATAAATTGGAGTTTTCTCAACGACACTGTCGATATATCTCCCGACGCTAAAAAATATGTTCTTTTCATCGGATGTCATCAAGCAAGCACGTCTTCGTCAGCCAAAGCTTTAGTAGAAAATTATCTATTAATGTATAAGTCTGTTGCTGAATCGGATTCCGTTTTGAAAAGCAACGAGTACCTTCTATTATATTCCTGTCTCGAAGATTTGTGTGAAACCATGCCACCGAATAGCATAAAACCGTTTTTAGAAACCACATTAGAATATGTAACTGAAAAAATTAGTTACGACGATGAAAATGCCATAAATGCGTTCTGTTCTATTATGTCCTCGTACGCTCGAACCATAAAAAACAACAAGGTACACGACGGAAACTCTGCACTGCTTCCTAGTCTTTTGGAAAATCTATCGGATAAGATAGATTTAACGCACAATCGTTTCGAATCCTATTTTACAGCAGCCTTAGAATTGCCAACAAATTATTTAGAAAGGATGACGTCTCCTAAAGTATGGTGGGACATAACGCACAATAAATTAAGAAACGCTATCGCAATTAAAGCCAAATTGGCTCTAGAGAAACGTTTTGAATCTCTCTTAATGTGGTTGAACGAGGTCATCGATGAAACTACATTTATATCTAGGTGAGATTATTATTATTAGATTTTATTATTTAACTGTTAAATGATAGAAATAAAAATAAATTTTATTACGTCTATTGAAGCATACAAACATATTTTCTCGAGACTGTACAGAGGGTGTACGCTAAACTGCAATTTGAAAAATGCACTACAAATTGGATCATAGATTTCATGACTCAGATTCAAGGACTGTTGGTGGAATCACCCTCAAATCACAGTAATAAAATAGAATTTTTTTGTAATGTTTTATTCGTAGCCATTATCAGTTTGTCCGGTATAGATTGTATGTTAATGAAACAAGATGTATTAATTACATCGGAAAATGTCCAAGCAAAACTATTTCCTCAAGCTCTCGCAATCCTTTCCGACAGACAAGAATGGAAGCATACAATTCCACAGGTATTTACAATTATTTACAATTATTCGTACATTGTACATTGTACAAGTTTCAAGACCATTCCTCGAAAAAGGAATCGTAACAAATCTTTTCTGTATTATACTTTTCAGATCATGGAATGGTTAAACTACACGAGAACAAGTACTGTTCCTAATATGTATAAATTTACATTTGATCGCTCGTTGATTTGCTTGAGGCACAATCCATACTATAAAGATGTATGGACTAAATATTTATCCATTAAGACTCAAATAGAAATATAAAATTATAAATGAAAAATGAACGTGTAATGTATTATTGGAAAAAGTGGAAAAGTAGTATTTCACTTACATGTAATGTCATATGACACCGTGGTCGGCAGTTACGAACAGATATGTCGTCACATATGTTGTATGTGACACTTTTCATAATGCTAAACGGATGTCTCGCTATTGTCCAAAGTCATAACTGTTAATGTGTTGGGGCGAGATCCAGTTAACGTTTGGTCTTCCGGCAATTTCATCCGAGGTTCTAATATATTCCGTTTCGTTTCAACATTTTTCTTTATGGGCGTACGACTTGGACTAGATTTTCTACTGCTCGGATACGATTTTAATAAACGAGCTCTAAAAAAAACAATTAAATTACCATAGAAATTAAACCCTTTAATCGTCCATCCCTTGACGGTCGCGTGCAAGCATATAATTTCAATAATTTTGCACGTTTTTTATCATAATTACTTTAAGCAACAACAGAAGCATCGTCGTTCTTCGTGTCTTATTAATTTATGAAAAATAAGATCTGTGGTTTTTTCATCGGATTTCTTCTCAAAACAATGTATTTTAATTTTTGACGATACTTACGAATCCATTAATTTAAGAAACAATCTTGTATATACTTGATACTCCTCGTCCCCAAATTCTGTTGGATCGTGTCTTGCATGTTCATACAAATCACAAAATTGATGAATCAACCGTTGTCCATTTCCATTCAATGGAGGAGCTAATGTAGAAAGCAAATACGCCCTCAAATTTTCAGTTGGATGCCTTTTTAGAAAATTATCGTATTTACTGATTTCAGCTTCTACATAAACAGTTTATAAATTTATATGCTGAAAACATTAGATCGTCATAATAAATTCATAAACATAGTTACCCAAAGATTTAACATCATCTACTACTTTTAATCTGTAATAATGAGGTGGAACCTGTGTTTTAGGCGTCACGATAAATCGTGGATCGCTAATAAGTTGCGGTTCATACTGAATTCTTGGTATTACTTCTATTCGCCTTTCAATCTCTTTCTTGAGCGACTAAATAATAGAAAAAGTACGTTAATCTATCAATATGCATACATACAGAACTTTCATGCATGGATTGAATCATTATCGTGGAAAGTAAAAAACAATTAAATGTTGTGTCATTTATTTCCATAAATTAAATTTGATAACTGTTGATAGAAATGTTATATACGATATAACCTTTATAAACAAATCGTACCTTTCTTGCATCGTGTCCAATAGGAATATGAGGGCCACGACGCGATCGTAAAGTAAATCTCATAATTTGTCGTTTTGCAAAAATGAATAGCAATAACATCGTTAATACTCCAGCTGCAATAAATACCACTATTGTCACGCCAGACAGCTCCTCGGTCATGTTTACGTTGCATACATTCGACTAAATCCATATACGAATGCATTTCTCAAGTGTGTACGTACGCGCTACATTTCATTTCATATTTCAAATATTCGAATTGCAAAGAACAAAGAAAAATATTCCACCATTTACAAAAAATGCAATTTATTAAAAATACAATTTTTTGAAATTTACAATTTCTGAAAACTAAAGAGAAAGGTGTACAAAAAGCACATACAAACTACAAAGTTTTTAAAATATTTTTTATGGGTCTCTTAAACAATGTTTGATTTATATTAGCTATTTCCCATAATAAATACTTTTGCTGCTCTGAGAAATTTGTGTTTACTTTTACGAACGATAATACAAGTTTTCCAAAATTTTTCTCCTTAGCAAAATCAAGTGCTTTCTGTGACAATAGTTTTACGAGTTTATCATTCGTCACAATATCCGTTTTAATAAATATTAAATTGTGTAGAATGGGAAGATGCCAGGACTTGAGTTCTTTTGCATGAGATAAATATTCCCTATGAAAAATAATCACCATTCGTTAATATAGTAAAATACATTAAAATGTAGAGAAATAATAGTAGTCCAAATACCCACGTAATTAGAACAATGTTTCTTCGAGGTTCAAAAGCATTTGCTATAGCATTAACGATTGTTACTTCTTTTAAATCAACATTTAGTAGAGGAATAAAAATGAATTTCTGAACATCATCCGGAAACTTTTGGACACATTCTACGATAACAGATAATAGTAACCTTGATGGTTCTTCTAGAGCAATTATCTACAAAAGTGATTGAATAACGTCAATTTGTTTTTACAGTGCAAAAATCTTTGATCATCTAGTCCTTACAGATACAAAGTTAAATTATTTATTATCGAACCGTTACCTTTGGTAGTAACAAATGACTGAGAAAAATTGCTATATATTTCATTTGTTGTTCTAAAGTCATATTATTCATGGAACAACAAAAATTATAAGCACCCGTTATACTCAATTTCTTTTTTAATTGACAAACTACATCCACAAGTTCTTCGTCTACTAAATTCTCTAATTGATTTAGATCTAATTTTCCATTAGAACACTCTAATCCTTCAAAAAGACATTCTACAATATCAGACTTTTGCGTAGTTGTCTGTTTCTCTGTTTGATCAAAATTTTTTTCCAATTGCGTAAAATAAAATTGAGTAGACGGTTCGATATCATCGAGTATCATGGACGAAGCGTTATCATCTTTGCTGCTCTCATCTGTAATTTCTTCTTCGCTTGTGTACATTTCTTCTTCCTTCTAAAATTTACATTGTTGCATATTATTGATTTTATTTTTCATTTTCATCGATAGATACCAACCTTCCCTCTTACAATGTTCCATAGAGGATCAGCCTGGATTATATCATCCTTTAATTTTTCCTTAATTACTTTTAACTTTTCTATGGTATATTCTGACAATGTATGGTCTTTTAAAACTTTATTTTGGTTCATATTTTTAATAATAACTCCCTATATATGGACAAATGTAAGGAATACTTTTCGTATGTTTTTAGATTTGCAAATACCAAGAACTAATTCATGTATGATCGTTTTTCGTTTGAAATTAACATTTAAGATAAAAATTACAAGTCAATAGTTCTAAAATTTCAAGTAAATTTAATTCGTGATTCACATGATCGAAAAGAAGCACCGAATTTCCCATAATGATCAAATCTTGTATTTTAAAAGTTTTGTGCAATGTTAAAGATCGAGAAATTCATAAAAGAACGTGAGATAATAGCATGACTGTTACAAGTACCTACATACATATGTATGTATACATATACAGGTCCATTTGATCTGACCTATTAGGGATGAAAAGCAAGAATGTAGTAATATGCAAGATAAATTGTTAAGATCAAGTTAATTTTCAATAGGCCGTACGACGTAAAATACGCTAGACGTCACTTTCTGACAATTCAAGCGATGTGTATCATAGAATCGCGATGATAGTCGAGAGGTTAACGTCGGAGTGATAGAGTGAACATCGAGCAATACGATATTCGGGAGTTTACGTCAAATCAAAGGATCACAATTCTCTTCAATTGTTTTAACAGGAAACGAATTAAAATATTTTAAATCAGAAAGGTTACATATATGTATTAAGTAAAATACAACATCCTCTTTCGAGGTATAAATTTTACAAGCGAATATTTACTTTAAATCGTTTTAATGCACCGTGATCAGTGAATTTTACATTGTATATGTATTTCTTAGAGTCTGGCATGATTCATGGCAACCTGTTGCAAACGTACTTTTTGTAAGAATATTTAAGTAGAAAGCAAAAAGCATATGGATGGAATTTAGCTTAAAGTATTTCAAGTATTCGTCATGTATGTAGCTTGCTCATTAATGCGTATATGTACATACATAACAACAGTACATGGTATTGTTTCCATAAATGCAAAACTGGTTTAATTAGTGGAAAACCCAGATCGTCGCGAGGTCGTCGAGTATCAAGCGCGATACACAAATTTTTCAACCGTACTAGAATTCGTTTGATCCGTGTTTCTTCAATTTTCATTTTTTCCCCTCGCAGATGACGAAACACGTGATTAATACGTGATTATTTGCATAAACTTTTGTATTCCAGACGATGTCAGTGTGACGCGTAGCGTATTTATTATTGGAAAACGTACGTTTGCTCGATTGTAAAAGTCTCAAGAAACTTACTGTTATCGCAATTGACATATATTTTGAAGAAAAAGTTTCGATATGCACACAGGTTGGCCAAAGACAATGCAATACCTTGTACAATGCATAATGTGCGTGTAAACGAATATTGGATATCGGAGTGTGGATAACGCAAGGTTTTGTAGTTAAAGAAATTAAAACAAGGGACAGAGATAACGTGCAGGAATTTTTTTATAGCAACAAATGATCGTGGAGAAAAATGCCGATATTTTCGAAATTATATCGTAGATTTCATATGTTAACGACCGATGCGATACCCGAGCCGCCACGAATAGAAATCTCAGGAAATACGCATAACGTAAACCCAAACGATGCAAATGACAGAACCAACGTGGAATCGACGTTTGTGCCTGTCGCGTCGGAATTACAATTCGAACGAAACAATAAAACAGCATCGGACGAAAAGAAATGTTTGCCAAACGATGCAGCACCTACGAATACTCGTTCTTCCAAGACAGAGGAAAACTTTGATGACATAAAATCTTCGGCGACCGATGCGAAACAGCATACGAGACCGAATGTTAAAACAAAAATGAAACCGAAACAACATAGGTATTGTAAGTACACGCAATGAAATTGTAGCTGCACACTACATACTTGGCGCTTCTTCGTGTCGAAACAGTAAATATCTAAACGTTAATTTTTTCGCAGCACATGTTGTCAATTACAACATAGTTAATTCAAACGGAGTGCAAATTGGCTCGACGACCAATTATATTTGCAAATTTCCTACAAAAAGTGCCGCATCGGCGGAAGAATCATGGTCGAAATCAAAGATAAGAGAAATGCCCGTGGAGGTAGAACGTTTATGCGCTTGTACCAAGGAAATTACATTGAACGATATATTTATTATTAAAACTCACGTTGGACGCGGCTGGAAAGACGTTGCCAGAAGGCTGTTATATTCGGACGGTCAAATCGAACAATTTGAAGAGAATTATAGGTCCAGAGGAATAAGTGAAGTAAATTAAACTATTTCTCTGTTGCAATATTAAATTTATATCCTATAAATATATCCTACTAATTATTGTCTTTCAACGAGGTTCTTTTTCCAGGTAATTTATCAGATATTTCTTGATTGGAAACAAGCTAACACGAAAGACGCAGAAATCGGGAATTTGATAAATCTGTTATGGACTTGCCAGGAATATGATTGCGTAGAACGGTTAGTTTTCGCTCATAAGGATTCAGCTTAATATCTTTTAATTGTACACATTAGCTAGAAAAGCATAAGGAAATCATGTTTTGCTTGACAATTTTTTATTTAGATGTATTATTGCATTTATTTACTGAACAAAAAAAACTGTCTCTGTAGTAAAGCACTATATACAAGATAGTTAATAGTATATTAATAGTTTTTATACATTTTCGTTATATAATAAAAATAAAAATAGTATTTACAGTTACCTGAAAAATTTAAACTACATGTTTGGATATTTTTATCTTACTATATTTACATACACTTTCTTTTTTAATATACGTATAAAATTTAATTAATATTATATTTAGAATTCAATATAAATTGAAGACCGAACTCTCTTACATTGCCATTGCACTTGTCGATCGGACATGCCTTAAATTCTGACAAAAAATGTCTTCTCTATGGTAGTAGATCAATGGTGTTTTCTTCTTGTTTTATGTCTACTTTCTTTTTAAAAATATGATTCTTACAATTTTCAAATTCATCCAACATCTCTTCAAGATTTTTGTTTCCATCCAGGACTAAAACTGGTGCTGATACATTAAATAATGTCTTATGATAAAGCCATTCGTCGTGAATGCTATGTATTTGCTTCAAGTATTCCAAGGATACAGCAGTTTCTTCCTTTCTTGCTCTTTTCTTCATCCTTTGGTGCACAATTTCTGGAGATGTTCTTAAATAAACTGTTTTCAAATAAAGGTAGTAGTTGGTTAATAGTACGGAGCAGTATTTTGCATCTGTTCCGCGAAAGCATAAATATGTATTACCTATTAAATCTGTTTCTATATTAGCATTTTTTATACACCAATCGTACCAATCTTGCAAAACCATAACTTCTACATTGCTCATCATCTTTGTACGTTTCATATGTTCTACAAAACACATTCCACTGTATACAGACCTCTCCATAATTTTATATGGAAACGGAGTTTTGTACGTATGAAGTTGTAACATTGTTAATTGCACATAGGATTGAAATAAGAAAGAATAACGTGCAGGCTCTGTGTATAATAATTCCTAAATATTGTTAATACATATTTGTTAATTTCATTTTATTTAATACTACTATAAGACGCCAACGAAATTAAATTTATAAACACTTACTAGTAAGTTAGTTCCACCTACATCCTGCCAAAGTTCCACAGGTTCTTGTAGAACTGTTGTATTATTTAATTTTTTAAAATGACTTATGAATGTTGTTTTACCACTTCCTATATTTCCTTCTATGCATACCGTAAATGGTCGACGTATTAACTTGCTACGATTAGTCATTTTTGTTAATACAGTGACCAAAGATTTACCTTCAAGAACAACATAGACAATTTGAAGTACAGCTTAAAACAGTTCATTATTCAACTTTGATGATTTTAAATACCTTTAAACTTGTACAGTATGTACTATTTACAACACAAACAAACTAAAAATGCCAGTCCTCTTTAATTAGATAATTGAAGGAGATGTAAGCGAAGAGGTTGAAATTTTAATAATTCCTCGAAAATAAGCACTTGAACGAGTTCTGATTTTAAGAAAATCACGTAAATGCGAACAGATACATTATACTTTGAGTAGAACAGTTAAAAGATCACATCTGTACAATTAATTTAACTATTATGCCGAAATAAATAACACTGCTTTACTGTACCTACAAATCCCGCGTTTTTCATTGTTAGTTAGAGAGGGGATAAGTAGTTTGGTACAAGAGCTTTTGGCACTGCTTACATCTCTTTTAAATATTTTCAATTATAATAAGGTTATTGTATGATTAATTCAAACTCACTTATAAACATCATAATTTACAAATAAAATATATTAATATGTTTTCCTTTTTCCCTCGTTTATTTTACGTATTATGCACGTGTAATTTATATCATACGGTATGATTCGTCGAACGTTGTACCTCGAACCGGTCGAACCAATGATGCAAACAGACGCATGCCCTCTTTCTCGATTCTCCGAAGCTGCCCGAAGTAATTTCGGACCGCTTCGTGGAAGTCGACAGAGAAAGGCTCACATTTGCCTTCTCGCTCTGACTTCCCAGGCATTTTTACTTTCCGACCTATGTAGGCGCGCATAAGCAAAGTACCCATAATGAAAAAAAAATTTTGTAAAATTTATTTTACGGAAATACACGTTTTAAGACCTCCTGATCATATTTTAATTACTGAAAAAAAAGAAATTTTTTTTTTATTCCCATGTATGAGCACACATATGTATATTATTAATACGATTTTTGAAAATAAATAAAGTAAAACTTATCTCATTGAAATTATTTCTAGAAGTTGAGCTGACGAATACCTAGAAAAAAGTATTGGACAACATTTCATTTTGATTTCGATTAAAAATGAAATTTATATTGTTTTAAATTCGCAGCCATTAGCTCGGCCATTACCCATAATGAAGAAGTTGTTCTTCAAAGGTAACACCGATTACCAGGTCTCACCACGAGGAGGTTGCTGCGAGTGAAGACCCAAAGTGAGACCGATGGAACAAAGTTCGATCAATCTTCCTTTTTACAGACTTAGAACTAACGCATGACGCAAAAAAAAAGATGCCAAGTAATTACTGTTCTAAAACAAAGGAGGAAGCTAAATTGTGGGAGACGCGACACGACGAAACGCGACACAATACTGCACAGTGCAGTAGGAACATGAGGTGCGACACGTACCGAATAGCGGGTCAAAAGGGGCAGCTCGTTACCTCTTAGCAAGTCCAATTGAAGGGGAGGAGAATCGACGCACCAGACACGGGTTCCCCATTTCTCCAACGCGTCCTGCTGGGAGCCCGTAGGACCCAACCCGGGACGTCTTACACAGGAGAGAGATCCTGAGTCGGGGCTACCGCAGACAGGAACAGGTCCCCTCTACGGCCGATGACTCTTTCCCTAGAATTGTCTCACCAGAGGACGGCAACCGACCCTTCGAACCATCTAAACGGCCGATCACTTGCTTTCTACATTAAAGCAGCGGTGACCGGAGAAACGAGACTGGAAAATAAGCTATTAATTCATTCATTACTTGGCAATCTACGCATTAAATAAACTAATATACAATATAAACAGAAAATTAACGTCGTAGGTGGAATTAATGAGATTAAAATGGGAATTGAGAAACATAGGAAAGGAAAAAAAGAAATATTCGACGTTAATTTTACCATTCGCGCCGCGCCGCGCCGCGCCGCGCCTTAAATTTAACGGTAATACGCATGAATCTTGCATCCGTCGTCCTCTATCTAAAAATTGATCTGAATAAAAACTAAAATAAAAATTAGTAGTTATAGACACAAATTAGAACTAATTATGTGAACAAATATAGGGACAAATATAAATATAGGGACAAATACAAATATACAACCAAGAACAGGATAATTAAAAAAATAACAACCCCACGATGAAAGACAATGAGGAACAAAATAATTTGAAAAATCACAACCCAACGAAGTAAAGAATGAAGAACAAAATAATTCGAAAAATAACAACCCATCGATGTCGAAAATAAAGAACAGAATAATTGGAAAAATATCTACCCAACGATGTAATATATGTAGATAAAAGCTGAAAGAAAAAACAATTGAATGAATTATTGGAGAGAGGAACACAACAACGAAATATTACATCCCTATATATAAATAGAAAACACAATAATGGTATTAATTATATGAATATAAATATATGTATGTATATACCAATCGGCGACACCAGTCAGCATCGCAGAATCAGAGAATCTGAAACAGAAAGAAAAACGCGTGACACTACCCCCGGCGGTTCCACGAGTACTGAAAAGAGTCGGTCAGTTGTGCCCGCTTTTATGCAGTCAAGCCAAAGAATCAACGAACCAATCAGCAGCCAGTCAGCAGTCTTCCGGCTTCAAGAAGTTCTATAAAAACCGTGCCCCCTGGCGGGCCCGCGGCAGATATCCCTCAACCACTAAGCAAGACGGACCGTATCGAGATGAAGAATTTAATTGAAGATTTCCATTCAATCAAAATCGAAGATGGCGGCCAAGAAGATGGTTCACGAGCAGCGGCCAAGGGACAAAACCGGTCTTTTTAAAGACCAAGAAAATCTCATTTGTGGGAACCGCTAAACTGAACAACTTTTATATTTAACAACTCAGAGACACTTTACATCTCTGTTTTGTAACAACTTTTATATTTAACAACTCAGAGACACTTTACATCTCTGTTTTGTAACAAGTTTTATATTTAACAATTCAGAGACACTTTACATCTCTGTTTTGTAACAACTTTTATATTCATATTGAATTGATATTAAGTAAACATTCTTTGCTATAAGATCAAAAAATTATTGTTTGAAATAGTAGAACAATTAGAAAATAAATCGTTTAAAAATAATTTCGAAAGTCTTACTCGATAAACTATATTCAAACGATTTATTTCCAAAGTATTGTTTTATGTCAAACATGATCAGGGGGTCTTGAAACGTGTATTTACTTGTCAATTTTTCATTCATTATGAGCTTTGCTTATATATTTGTGTCTAGATAACTTGAATTTAAATTCAAATGGTAATGAAAAATCAATGACGCATGTTTGTACATTATTTTTTAATCCTGGACTCGTTAATGGTACTTCTCTAAGATTAGATAAGGACAGTAATGGGGAAGAAAATTTAGTGTCGGTGCCTTCTGGTTCGTAACATTTAAGCTTTTTATTACAGTCTCTCATCATGTATTTCATAAAACCTCTCCTTTTATTCATTCCTGATTGCAGAAATGCATATATAATTCTAATAATTTTTAAACTTATTACATTGCTCAATGGATAGGAATGGATTGCTCTATTTGTACAGGACAAATATATAAACGTCGAACCAACAAGTCCATAAAATATGCAGGATAATTGCCCATAAGAAATTCATCTACAAACAAATTAGGTACATTAGCTAGTGCATTAGTGGTAGCAGATTCTGACCCCTTTAAGCATGTCTAATATTTCAACTTCGTTTTCTTCCTCTTCTTCTTCTTCTTCAGTCTCCATTTTTATCAGTTTCTTCCGTGTACATTAGACTATTAACATCTCCACCAAATTTAAAAATTCTGTTTATGGAATGTGTTGTGGCACGAGCTGCATATTCCTGTAAAAACCCCAATGGAACAAGTATTTCTGCAGATGCATTTGTATAGCCATTTATATTGATTTCTATTATGCTTAATATTTTTTGTCTTACGGTTTTAGGTGATCTACATAGTATTCCAATGACTGCTCTGTCCAAGGTGTAAAATCCACTCAACCATTGTAAAGTCGCTTCTATACAATACTGTCGATTACTATACCTTTTTCTTGTTATTCGTCGTAACTTTAAATAACCAAAGAAGTTTCTAAATGTACCACGTTTTACATAATCATTGCCTAGTAATATTGCAGCTAATGGCAGTGTAGATTGACTTAGACCTCTATAAGAATTTAATAAGTGTTCAACTTTATAAATTTTACAACGTTTCGTGTAACCATTTCCAGTTGAACTTTTCACCGTGTAATTGTCCAATGTATCAAATGGTATGTACAATGTCCCAAACACATAAAAATCTGAATCATAACTCGATACAGGACAATTCAATATCCTTGCTACAGTAGCTATAGCATTATCAGCTTCGAATAAGCATTGCACATGACGAATATTCTTCTTTCTCATGACATCTTTGAAAACTTCCTAAATATGTAAAGGAAAAAATTTCATTTTCTGTTGACAGATCGGAGAAAAAGATGATGCTGTACGAACCTTTTCTCTAGTTCTAGATATAACTGTTTGCAGTTTCTTATCCTCGCAACCACAATCGATCAAAACTAATGGTACTGCATTGCACTTTATCAAATCGTCAAAAAAATCCGATACTCGTTGAGCGTAATTATCGTAATCACCGACAAAAACACAATTGCACTTGTACGAATTATATATTTTACAGCTAAATAACTAAATACATATCACATGGCTCGAATTATTCCAAATAACGATCTGAACGATTGTTTATGAAAGTTATTAAACCCGGAATACCCATTTTGAAACCTATTTATTAATTTACACTTTTCTTAATGTTTCATATCACAAACTAAGTTCGTTATGCGTATATCAATATTAGTTATGCATTTTTACATAGGTTGCATGTAACAGGTACTCAAATTTTGTGTCATTCGTTATTTTATTTGAATCAAAAGTTTGTTAAATATTATACTTTGACTACTTGGATAAATCAAAGAAATACAAGAGCTGTGCATAATGTTTTTGCATTGATCTTTACGATATTACAAACCGGTATAATAAAAAATAAAATTAGATAGTATACTGATCTTGCATAATTAAGTGCATTGACGGGCGACAATACTAACGACGAATTTCCTTCCTATACATATAGACAAATATACCATGTTCAGTTTTATTGCATAACTTGTTCCATAACAGAGATGTAAAGTGTCTCTGAGTAGTTAAATATAAAAGTTGTTACAAAACAGTGATGTAAAGTGTCTCTGAATTGTTAAATATAAAAGTTGTTACAAAACAGAGATGTAAAGTGTCTCTGAATTGTTAAATATAAAAGTTGTTACAAAACAGAGATGTAAAGTGTCTCTGAGTTGTTAAATATAAAAGTTGTTACAAAACAGAGATGTAAAGTGTCTCTGAGTTGTTAAATATAAAAGTTGTTACAAAACAGTGATGTAAAGTGTCTCTGAATTGTTAAATATAAAAGTTGTTACAAAACAGTGATGTAAAGTGTCTCTGAATTGTTAAATATAAAAGTTGTTCAGTTCATTGCATAAGTTGTTCCCACAAATGAGATTTTCTTGGTCTTTAAAAAGACCGATTTTGTCCCTTGGCCGCCATCTTCGATTTTGATCGAATGTAAGTCTTCAATTAAATTCTTCATCTCGATACGGTCCGTTTTGCTTGGCGGTTGGGAGATAACTCCCCCGCGCGGGCCTCAGGGGGGTCTCTTATAAACTTAGGTGAAGCAAGTGCCGCCCTATCGGAGTGTCGCCCCCAGCGGACTGGCTGCTGATTGGCTAGGGATTACTTTTCTCCGACTGCATAAAAACGGGCACAGCTGATCGACACTTTTCAGTACTCCTGGAACCGCCGGGGGTACTGTCACGCGTTTTTCTTTCTGTTTCAGATTCTCTGATTCTGCGATGCTGACCAGGAAGGATCACCGTTTGGTATACATGTAATTATATTAATACAACTAATCCCAACATTGTCTTTTTTGTTTATATATATATATGTATATAGGTGATGTACTCTATTTGGGTTGTTCGTCTCGTTAATGAATCAATTATTTTTATTTCAGCTTTTTTACATCGTTTTTTTACATCGTTGGGTCGATATTTTTTAAATTATTCTGTTCTTGGTTTCTTCATCGTTGGGTTGTTATTTTTCCTCATTTTCCTCATTTTCCTCATTTTCCTCATTTTCAACATCGTGGGGTTGTTATTTTCCAAATGATTCTCTTCTTGATTGTATATTTGTTTCTTTGTCCTTATATTTATTATTTATTATTAATTAATTTGTTTGTTTAACTACTAATTTTTATTTGAGTTTTTATTCAGATAAATTTTTAGAGGGAGGACTTCGGATTCATCTGCACGTAAGGGCATTAAATTTAAGGCGCGGCGCGAGTGTAAAAATTAACGTCGACTATTTCTTTTTCCTTTCTTATTCATTCCTATGTTTATTTCAATTCCTTAATCTCATTAATTCCACCTACGACGTTAATTTTCAATTTACATTGTATATTATTTTATTTACTGCGTAGATTGCCAAGTAATGAATGAATTAATAGCTTATTTTCCAGTCTCGTTTCTCCGGTCACCGCTGCTTTAATGTAGAAAGCAAGTGATCGGCCGTTTAGATGGTTCGAAGGGTCGGTTGCCGTCCTCTGGTGAGACAATTCTAGGGAAAGAGTCATCGGCCGTAGAGGGGACCTGTTCCTGTCTGCGGTAGCCCCGACTCAGGATCTCTCTCCTGTGTAAGACGTCCCGGGTTGGGTCCTACGGGCTCCCAGCAGGACGCGTTGGAGAAATGGGGAACCCGTGTCTGGTGCGTCGATTCTCCTCCCCTTCAATTGGACTTGCTAAGAGGTAACGAGCTGCCCCTTTTGACCCGCTATTCGGTACGTGTCGCACCTCATGTTCCTACTGCACTGTGCAGTATTGTGTCGCGTTTCGTCGTGTCGCGTCTCCCACAATTTAGCTTCCTCCTTTGTTTTAGAACAGTAATTACTTGGCATCTTTTTTTTTGCGTAATCTAGTGTGTAAAAAGGAAGGTCGATCGAACTTTGTTCCATCGATCTCACTTTGGGTCTCCACTCGCAGCAACCTCCTCGTGGTGAGACCTGGTAATCGGTGTTACCTTTGAAGAACAACTTCTTCATTATGGGTAACACCGAGCTAATGGCTGCGAATTTAATACAATATAAATTTGATTTTTAATCGAAATCAAAATTAAATGTTGTCCAATACTTTTTTCTAGGTATTCATCAGCTCAACTTCTAGAAAAAATTTCAATGAGATAAGTTTTACTTTATTTATTTTCAAAAATCGTATTAATAATATACATATGTGTGCTCATACATGGGAATAAAAAAAAATTTCTTTTTTTTCAATAATTAAAATATGATCAGGAGGTCTTAAATCGTGTATTTCCGTAAAATAAATTTTACAAAATTTTTTTTTCATTATGGGTACTTTGCTTATGCGCGCCTACATAGGTCGGAAAGTAAAAATGCCTGGGAAGTCAGAGCGAGAAGGCAAATGTGAGCCTTTCTCTGTCGACTTCCACGAAGCGGTCCGAAATTACTTCGGGCAGCTTCGGAGAATCGAGAAAGTGGGCACGCGTCAGTTTGCCTTTGTCGTCTTCCCGAAACTCCACGAGCTCACGTACTTACTTACGCGTATCTGGCATGAGGGAGTGTGCACCCGACGGTGCTTTTCTGGCATCACTGATTTGCTGTAACATCCTAAATTATTACCAACGTATGAGTTTACAAATACTATAATACGACTTAATGCAATTCTGTTTCATTATATTTGGAATCTGATACATAAAAATATGAAAAAAGGTCACATTCTTTTTGTCATTTGTGGTATAAATTATGCGGATTGTTAAAACAAATGATTAAATTATATTACCCCACATTACGTTTTATTATGTTTTCCTAAGTATTGTTAAATAATAGAATAATTTTGTTGCCGAGTTTCTCGAACAAAAATCATTTTTGTTGCTTTGATTTTGTTAATTAATTAAAATACAAAGAATAAAATATACGAGGTTGAAAGAAAACAATCATTATTAAAACCTCACGTATTGTGATCACGTTTACTGATAGATATGGATTTGACACTAGTCAGTAAAGAGGTACAAATGGTACAATTAACTTCAAAAAATGATTTGGTAAATCAGTTTTGAATGCTGATAAATTAACGATCGGTTAGATCGTCTTGTAGTTTTCATTGACGATTATTCATTGGAATTTTGCGTTCTGTTCCCTGTCAAATAATTATAAACTTTTGAAATTATGATTTTTAAAAATATTTTCTATTATCTGTAACTGATATGTAGCAACAATGTTAATTGTAAGTTGTTGGTATACAATTTTTACGCTTTTGCACTTTTAGGGTTCATTCCTAAAGTATTTACGTGGCCAGAGCAAGGTTATGAGAAAATTGAATATTTAATAATTGTTAATTTTGCGGCAATCGAATTATAATAAGGACAATGCGAAATTTTGTGAGCGATATTGTAATTTGGTGAGTTTCACTTATAATTTAAAACAATAATAATGTTAAGTATTAAATACATTTCTTTCCAAACCATAATACAATAAATTCTGGCTTGTTTGTTGTCTTCTATGCAAAGAATTGTGCATTACAGTCTTGTTTGAATTTTGCTATAATACATTTATATAATTTTTTTATAGCTTATTGCTACTACTTTCGGTGAGCCTTGTCTTTGGAGTTAGCGAAGTCATTAAGTCTCTTGTGAATAACGGAGACACATTTTTAAGGTCTTCCTCCTATAATTGGATTATTCGATTATGTTTAAATTTATTAAGTTATGCCACTGTATTATTGCCGGGTTACCTTATCTATAAATATGTGCGTCGTACCAAATATATTCAAAGAGGAGGTAAATAAAAACAGTTAATAAGTTTAAAAAGACTTGTAAATTTTTTTATGAACTGTATATATATTGCTTTTGAGCAGGTAAAGGATGTATTCCCAGGTTGGTACATTCGTGTTTTGTGGGTCACTGTGAAACAGGACTTCTGGACTCTTCTTACACAACTACACCATCTAATCATAATCAGCGTACTTTAGTTCAGGAAGCTTTACTACTCCTATATTGCTTCTTCGGATTGCTAGTCAGTTTTTTAACATGGGGTTATTTACAAGAGAAGATAATAACCCAAGTATGATTCCTTTAACAGATTACACAGGCATTATAACATATTACAAATGTTGCAATGTAATATGGTCGAATACTGTTTTTGTAACTAGATGTTTTTATAACGTGAAAATATTCATTTTTAGGAGTATGTGAATGCTGCTGGTAACAAAGATCGTTTCCAAGATTCTCAATTTCTAGTGTTTGTAAATCGGATTCTTGCATTTTTAATGTCAGGATTATATTTGATAGTTCAAAGGCAACCTCAGCATAAAGCACCTCTTTACAAATATGCATTTTGCTCTTTGTCAAATATCATGAGCAGTTGGTGTCAATACGAGGCTTTAAAATTTGTTAGCTTTCCAACACAGGTGGGTGTAATTTTTTATTTTCTTCTTTCATTTTAAGAACTATGTTTAACATCTGCATTTATTTCCAGGTATTGGCAAAAGCTTCTAAAATCATTCCAGTGATGATAATGGGAAAGATAATTTCGCATACCACCTACGAGTATTACGAATACGTTACAGCTATACTTATTTGTATCGGAATGACTCTATTCATGTTAGATAATTCTGATTACAGAAACGGTAAAATGTCTTATTTTCATAGAGATAGATGCGTTAATTTCGTTGATTGTATTTTAATATTTTTAGGCGGAGCTACTACTGTTTCTGGTACTACTCTTTTAGGAGGCTACTTACTGTTAGATAGTTTTACAAGTACTTGGCAAAATGCGTTATTCGTGGAATATGGCGCAACAAGTGTACAAATGATGTGTGTAGTTAATATGTTTTCCTGTTTATTAACTGCCATGTCCTTATTTCAGCAGTCAAGTTTTCCTCTCATACTTTCTTTCATGTCAAAGGTGATTTCAGCTCTGTCTACCGGGTTATGCGTAATTATAATAATAATCGTTTACGATGCAATTTTAACATTTGATTGTTATAGTATCCTGGATTCATTATGGACTGTTTACTCATGTCGATTTGTTCCGCAAGTGGTCAGTTATATATTTTTTATACAATTTCTAAATTTGGGCCAGTAACATTTGTGATTATGATGACTCTTCGACAGGTAATAACTTTGTTTCGCATCTGTGCTACTAGAATATATCTTTATATAAAATGTTGTTTCTTCTTTTAGGGTTTGGCTATATTGTTGTCCTGTTTAATATATCATCATCGCGTAACAGCTATTGGTATATTAGGTGTATTGTTAGTATTTGGTTCAGTGTTTTTACGGATATATTGTAACAATCGACTGCGTGCTATTAGAAGACGTAGAGCTGCGGCAAATAGTATAAAAGATTAATTACAAAACTGAAAAGTATAGGTGCAAATTCCGTAAGACTTGTATATTTTTTTTTGTTTTTTTTTTTTTATATACGAAATATTTTTGACTTCAAGTCATTAATCATTTTTATAAAAGTATTAATAATGTTGTTTCTACGTTTGTTTTTATACGTACTTTATAAACAATTGATAACCTCAACTGTTTATATATTATTCCATAATATACTTTTGAGTAGAGTACTTTTAAAATATGTACTAAAAATGATTTAATCAGGAATGTGTATTATTTATTTGAGAAGTATTTATTTTATTATAAATACTAGGTGTAAATATCATGTATTATTGTATACTTTTTAAAAAAAGATGTTAATAAAAAAAAGGACGCATCTTAAATTGAGTGTTTATGTCTATTTTTATTATGTTTTATGTACATATTTGCATTGTCGATAGTTCCTTTGACTAAAACGATTTTCCATCTGTTCACTGCCTGTAAATAATTGCAAAGGTACGAAAATTAATTAAATACTCACGACTTTTACGTCGTTTCTATTTTCTCCATTCATATATTGTATACATTATAACATTTACAGGTTTCTCACATAAAATTTCAATTATTTCGACGTTATTTTGATGTATTTGTAAAGAGGATAGAAGGAAACCAAGGTATTGCTCACTCTTCGGGAGAGGGAGGACGATAGATAGCTATAAGGCACAAGATGGAAATAATTAATTCGGATGCCAAGAGGACTAGTTGTATGCTACAAAGAATTACTTCCAGTCGCAGCACATAATTTTGCCAGATCAAGAAGTACAATGTAGCTAACGAGCTAGGTACGGTTAAAATAACTCCGATAAGAATTGGTAGTCCGTGTTCCGTCAAGTTTCCTTTTCTTCCAAGATAGATTCTGGCACCTTCGGTGGTTATAAGGAAGAACAAAAGTGCAAACTCTGTTAATGTCGTACTGATACCAGGCGAAGGTAAGTTTGCAGCCTTGAAGAATCCCATGCCCAATTCACAAATGGCAAACATACCAAAATAAAAGGAATTTAGGTACATAAGAATTTCGTACGTTAAAGAGGAACTGGCTATTGTGGGCATCCTACCAAACTTTTATCAGCATACAAGAGCCATGCATGTATCAGGTCTCGTGTACCGTAAAATTATTCGGTCATGGTTTCTTCGTTCGGAATATTCTCTGTTTTGTCGTAAATATTCAGAAATATTTATCTCTTTTTAATGCAGTCGAACGAAATACTTTTACCATAATCCTTTGTTTTTCTTCGTTCGATTCCATTAACTTCTCTAAATACACTGCATCATCGTTTTTTCATCGCTCGTTTGCATGCCAAGTATCAATTTACTTTTAACCGTAACAAATTGAATCGAGGCCCCTATAATACGACAACATTCTCTTTATCAAGATTAAATTCACGAAAAGGGAATATATATACTTGTTGAAAATTTTTTTCCGAATATGTCATAAATGCATAGATGCATACGTACTAGGTTCAGAAATATAATTATGTTGTTAACATTATCTCGATATATTATCGGAAAAGTCTGTTTTAGGTAAAGTACGAGCAACAAGCAGATTTGGTTAGAAAACTGTAAACATGAACAAATCTATAGGATATCGAGTGACTGTAATTATCTTTTCTTCTTGTTTCTTCGAAATACCGCTCTTTCGTTTTCTATTCTCGATGCAACATGAATGCTCCAATCACACAAGATCTTGTAATAATTTATAAGCAAAGTATATACGCTAGTTATTTATTCTCATGAAACGAGAAGGGTCGACTCGAGACTCGAGGAACCATCCGGCAGTGTTACCAAACGGGGAAAGAAGAAACTCGTACCTACCTTGAATTGAATTTGAAACACGTATCTTGGACACGCGATAGATCAATGGTATGTTTAGAAAATTTTACTTGAACGTTTATTTTAAACATAAACGCGTACGGCATTATTGGATCTCGTGACGATTTTGATTACGCAATATGCGTGCATTGCCTTAATGGAGTTTTAACGAAGAACGTATTTTTCAAAGTTATCGGCCCTCTTTACCACAAGGCGAACGGTAGTGTATAATTATAATGGCATTTTATTCGAACCTTTCAAGAATACTCCGCTCGAGCAAATTTCGGCAAAATAGACGAGAAAATTGGCATAGAAGAAATTGCAAGTACACGGCACCGATTCGATTTTATCGCACGTTGGCGAGACGTATCAACTTCGAGGGTTCGAAACGAGTCGTTCAGGCTATTCTTATTCTTTCTTACGAGCCTAAGCATCAAGCAGAAACGCATACGAGTAAATCGTTGATAACCGACCCGGAACACGAAGGTTTCTTCGGTGCAACCCAGAATGCTATTTTAATTCTGGCAAGAATGTTCGTTATAGGATCTATCGTTACCGGATTGGCTATCGCGTATTTGATCACGCGTTTCACGCGCGGACATGTCTTCCCTACGATACTTCGGAAAAGTAACTATACCATCGAAATAGAAATGTACAGTAGTGCCCGTATAAGTGACCGGATTTTTGCCCACATAACTGACCGTGGTTATCCCCACCAATTCTCGAGCGTAACTTGACGCCGCGCCGTGCCGGTCGTTATCGATACATTGTATAAAATATTATTAATATATTAAGTATATATTATTAAAAATTATTGTAATTTACAATCATCGTGGCCGGTCACGTGCTTGGTCATTTATGTGGGCCCTATTGCGATCATTAATTTTATTTTTGCTTCGTTCAGACTGTTTCTCTTACGATACCATCGAATTTTTAGGTATCGAACTACTCGGTCCGATATTTATAAAGTTCGGTCAATGGGCGTCCACTCGGAAAGACTTGTTCCCCGAGGATATTTGCTGTACGCTTTCGCAATTGCAACGTACCGTCTCCCCGCATTCCTGGACCTACACGAAACAATTGCTCAAGTCTAGCTACGGTTCTAATTGGAGGAACATATTTGTGAAATTCGAGGACAAAATACCGATCGGATCAGGATGTTGCGCTCAGGTATAAGCAGCAAAGGGATTTCGAACGCTTTCAGTTTGCAAAATAAAGATGCACCGACACGTTATTTTTTCCCAACGTTCGATCGACAGGTGTACAAGGCTTGGGTGGATCTGAACGCTCGGGTCGAAGTAACACGAAAGTCTCGAATACCTACGTTCGTGCAAAGTAAATTAGAAAGTCTTTTTCTCTAATACTAATACTCCGCTGTTTCTGTCGTAAGATACACTCCAGGACAAAAAGATGGCACATGAAAATGAATATTTTAATATGTTTACATCTATGAGCATGTTTATAGATATGTATACAGGGTGTTTGGCCACCCCTGGGACAAATTTTAACGGGAGATTCTAGAGGGCAAAATAAGACGAAAATCAAGAATACTAATTTGTTGATCGAGGCTTCGTTAAAAAGTTATTAACGTTTAAAGTTACGCGTGCAGCTGCGTGCGCCCGCGCGCGATAGGTTGGTCCCAGTGGTTCTCAGTGAGAAAACTGTAATGCTGTCGATACGTCGGCTGAATTTGTAACGTTTGGTAAACAGAAATTACAATAATTTGGAAGTTTGCTATCTTTTTGTTCCGGAGTGTAGACGGACGGACAGACGGATGGGCGGATGGGCGGAAGTTTCAATTTGACGAAAGTAGTAATTTCAATTGTTGCGCCGGTTCACGGTACCGCGTAGTTCTTAAAGGAATCTTGTTACAGTTATCGAATACCTGAATCTCGAATGGATGATCACTTTCGTTGGTAAGTACGACGACGATGAAATTCAACAGGATACCACGCACAATAGGAAGTTGCAACCGGTAGCGATAAAAGTTCTGCATCCTGGAATTAAAGGCCAACTGAGGTACAATGGTCCCGATATTGTATTTACATAACGCAAATAAATTCATTCCGTTGAATATTTCATCGACTTTTCTTTCCGTTTTATTCTTTTTTTAGACGAGATCTCACCATTATGAAGGGAATTTGCAAATGCGCGACGTACATCGTTCCACAATTGCATTGGCTCAGTCTTCCCGATTGCATCGACGAATTCTCGCAGATAATGGAGAATCAAGTGAGTGTCTAGCAGGGCCCGCAAAATTGTTAGAATGTTGAAGCTCTGCTTTCTAAAGCCGACGATGCTCCTTCCGTTTCACCTTAACCATTCATCTTTGTGATTCTCGTAAAGGTCGACATGCATCTGGAAGCGGCTAATCTGATGAAATTCTCGAAAAATTTCTCCGGAAAACGGGACGTAGTTTTCCCACTTCCTTACACGAATTTCACGCAGCGTGAGATACTCGTGGAAAGTTTTCACGAGGGCACGCCTATTTCTGATTATCTGGAATACAACGATACCAAGTTTCAAGGGAAATTAGCTAAACTAGGGATCAGAACGATCTTGAAAATGGTGGGCGATCGTTCAATTTAATATTCGATCGATTTTTTATCGAGTTCGTTGGCCGTAAATGTTAAGAATTATCGGGAACGACCGGTCGGTTGTGAATTACAGGTATTTAGAGATAATTTCATTCATTGCGACTTACATCCTGGTAACATCTTAGTTGAAACAAATATCGAGCCAAGCGGAAGAATCTGGGCCTGGCTTTGGAGATTTATCGATCCTGATTACTTGCCAAGATATCCGCGATTGGTCATACTCGATTGCGGTTTGGTAGTATCGCTGAACGATCGCTGTAAACAAAACCTTAGGGACGTTTTTCGTTCGGTATTGATGGGTAACGTATGTACAGATTACTCCACTATTCTCCCCGTTCATTTTTTTATCCATTCAAAGGACGAACATTTCTTTTCGAATAGATTCTGACGTTGTTCATTTTCAGGGTGAACTGGCGGCGGAGTACATTCTGGATCATAGCTCGCAAGCGTCTCTAGATCCAGAGGGTTTCAAGAGCTCGATGCGCGATATTGTCGACTCTCATCTAGAAAGCAACGTCAATGTAATTTTCCAAACGTTTGCAAATGCATTAAAAGACACGAAAGAAATTCGAAATGTTGTTTTCCATGTAATGATTTTTGCAGGTGAGCGTGAGCACGGTCGTGACCGAATTATTTTCCGCGATGGTTCGGCACCGAGTCAAGCAAGACGGATCCTTCAGCAGCGTGATTCTGAGCATGGTGGTGATCGAGGGCCTCGGACGTAGCCTCGATCCGAATATCGACATATTCACGGAAGTTTTGCCGTTCATTTTTACTAGCCCGCTGTACGACGGTTGAGCCAACGCGAATTGTCAAAATATTCAGTTGTGGTAATAATTAGAAATTTCAACGTTCGAACGATCGTGATCGATCGCTGATAATAAGAGGAATTTTTTTAATTCTTCGCTTACTAACAACGAGTTGTTTTGTCGAACACGTTTGGTCGGCTAAACGCCGAATAAAGAACCACGCGAGAAAATTCTTGCTTTAACGGCATCGCGTTAAACGAGTTCCGAGGAGGATTCCGATTTTAAAGCAGACCACTGAAACGTGTAATCGCAACGGACAGAATTCCGGCGAGTGACCAGTTGTCCGTGATCGCTTCCTGGTTGGTCAACATTGGTCGATCATCTTCGGTGTACCGATACGCTGGCCATACGCGCGCGCGTGTGTGTTGCGTGTCCGCTCGAAACGCGCGAGGGCTAAGCATAGGTGTACCGCGTGTGCGTGTGCGTGTGCGTGTGCGTGTGCGTGTGCGTGCACACCGACGCGGAGGTCAAACTTTTGTCGGATCGGAAACTTTCGCGAGAACGGTTACATTGCAGAAAACGCTCATTTCGCACGGTCAGTAAATTAATTATTTATTTCGTACTACGGTACGCGACTAAATAATACTCCTGACGTAATAACAGCACAAGTTCCAATTGTAAACTCGTTCTTTTGGTTTTTCCTTTCAATGCTCGTCTCTGGTATCGTCTCTCTTAATGTTATCGCAATCATAGAAGCGTGTTGAAACTAGCGGCTCGAAGCATTGGAATTTAAAGTTACGCTTCGAAACGTCAAGGTCGCGAGCAACGATACGGTAGACGGTTACGAACGAATTTTGTCCGTTTCGACTAAAAGTACGCGTTGCACGGTAGAAAACCCCCGTAAATCGAAAGCTAGTTAAAATCGATGCTTCGAAATATAAATGGGATCATTTCTCCTGGCTAGATCTAGCTTGTTCTATGCAACTGTTTGGTAACACGCACGAGTCAATTAATTACCAGAATAAGAAAAGAAAAAACTGTAGGTCGGTATGGAAATTTACGAGAAAATTAAGGATGACATGTCGGTCACATCGGTACGGTGATTCGTCGAGAAGTCCAGGAGGCGCATCAGTCGGCGTGGGCCGCATTTTGAAGCAGGTTGTTCTAATTCGTTTATTTATTTAACGGGCAGCCTTTGGTATAATGAGAAATAATCGCGCAGTAGAGAGTGTAACAGGCGACGCAGGTTGCAGATACTGGACGACGTATATGTGCCAATAGCGATTTAATAAATATCGTATATAATTTATGATAAATGATCTTTAGTTTAGAAATGATGTCCGGTTTTGTTGTTTCAATTACTGGAAAGAAAGGCAGGAATGTTGTTTTCCATTATCATTGAAAATAAAATTTGCTCGGGTACGGTTGAAGGTGGGTGAAATTCGTTCGCCAGGTGAACCGCAACCATAACCGCAATGTTGTATCGCGCCATCTACCGAGCGTGTCGCGTTCGTTCTCGGTTCGAATCCCCACCATTCCGAGCTAACCCCTCCGACGATGATTCGGCCTGTCCGTGGCCGTAGTCCGGCGGAGCATGTAAACAGAGGACAAGGAGATAAGAGAGTTCGTCTCCGAGCGTCGCCGCGGAACGGTGACGGACCGGGCTTGCGGTATCCGCTCCCAGAGCTTCTTTCCGTCGTCTACTTGCAAGTTTAAAGGAAACGACGAAGCACGGAGCCCTGTTCGTTTGCCCGGCGCGCGCGCGACCGCTCGATTGATCGAATCGAGATCTATCAACGGTTGGACCGATACATCGATTAACGGCAATTAATGCTCGTTTCGTATCGGTTGTCTCGCCTCGTCTGGTTCCGTACCATCGGGGCGTACTCGTCGCCGGCGTGCGAACCTTTGCTGGCTCGCTCGCAAATTGCCGAGCACACGATTGCTCGAGGTTGATCCTCTCTCTGCATCTCGTGTTTCTCCTTTTTCCTGTCCGGCGCCGCAGTTCTTCTTTGGCAGCGGACAACAGTCGCGAAACGGTCAACGGTAATAACCGCAAGCGCGAAATTTCCGAATATTACCAAGTCGAATTTCTCTTCATCTTCTTATCGGTCACGGTTGACTTTAACGCCGGTGCTACCACCTCTACCATCACCACCACCAGCGCCTTCACCGCCGCCGCCGCCACCACCACCACCATCATCGTCACTGCCGTTACCATTGCTACCCATCATCGTCAGTGACAACGACGGCCACGGGCGACGTTTGGTGTCTCTTTTTAACTGTCCCTCGGCTACGTTCACCCTCCGTAAGTACAAGAACGTTTCGTTTTTGTTTACCGGTCGATCGTCTGCCCACCTGTGTGATACGAGCACGCGAGTTCGACGGGATCGTTCGTATTTCCGGGTTCAATCTCTCTTCGGACGTTATCTTCTTCGGACGTTGCTTTACATTCGCGCGAAGAGAAATTATTTGGCATGGATCTTTGCGTAGAGGTTATCGTGTTTACTACCGCGGCGGTCATCTGTGACCGCTTTGAACGTATCTTTACGGTTAGATCGAAACGCGGTTAGGTCGAATCTAGCGTCAGTATGGTAGCATCGCGAATACTTTTATCCGTCGTGCTGTAACTTGAACAAACGTCAAGAATATATCGTTGAACAGGGAAAATTGGCATGGCAGGCGTGTTAATGCGAGTCGCGCGAGCACGAGCACGTGTGCTAGCGGCAAACCGAGGTATACACCCCAAACCGTGGGAATGATTATGTTAAATCGAACAAAGCGGTTGTTCGAATCGATGAAATTTTTCATCCATCGATCGATCGTTCGTTCGTTCGTTCGTTCGTTCGTTCGTTCGTTCGTTCGTTCGTTCGTTCGTTCGTTCGTTCGTTCGTTCGTTCGTTCGTTCGTTCGTTCGTTCGTTCGTTCGTTCGTTCGTTCGTTCGTTCGTTCGTTTCTTCGTCGATGATAAATACATGGAGCTTTTCCTATGTGCCGTTACTTTCGTTTAACAGGTACGCGGTGCAGTGTAGCGGATTTATTTACGCGTCTGTATAATGGTAACAAAACGAAAGAAAATCAAAACTATAGCGGAGCATGAAAGTACGTAAGCGGGAGTGGGATGTAATGCGGAAGGGAAGTTTAGTCGCTTTAATTGCGGGTCTTCCATTCGTTTCTCGCCGTTTCTCGAGACATTATACTTCCATAGTTATTGGAAAATCCCATTTCAATTAATCCGACAGTGCTTCAACGACTCGTGCGTGAAATGCTATGGGCAAGTGTTTACAGAATTAGAACACAGGGTCCAAACGACGGTTATCGAGTTCTGTTTCGAAATCGTTGGGCAAAATCGATTCAACTACTTAATATTTATGGATTTCGAATAAGATTGATAACTTTTAATTATAATTAGTAATTCTTTTTTTTATCGAATTATTCCAACGTAAAATACACGGATCAAGGAACACACTGTATCGTCGTTCGTGATAATGCATTGCGAAAGTGAGAACTGTTCGTTTAGTTTACGCTAACTCGCAATTCTTCATCGCGAAAGGGGAAGATCGTATCGTCGGACTGCTGTTATGTTAAATTTAAAAAAAGCACGGTAGCAGACATCGTCGACAGATTTAAAGACGAATATAGAATCGGGCCACTTGCACAATGCGACCAGGAATATTCTTTTTTTTATCTTAGCATACATTACAAATATAAAATTATTTTTCGACATTATAGATTTAATTTACCGGGTACAAAGTACTCTCCTCCTTTTGGTAGTCTATGTAATAAAACAAGTCTTGTTATTGCAGGGATTAAGAAGCCGTATATATTAGCAATATATCAGCAAAGCAAATAGAACGAAGCGTTTAACGTTTGCAAAAGATTTTCGAAGAGGAGTCATCGAGGAACGATACTATGGCAAACAGCAGATTTTGAAGCCAGTATTCAGTTCATTTTACGCATAATTAACCAGCATATACATAGTTGAAGTTGAAGGTGCTCTATTGTCCGAATACGTCTGCAAGTTGGTTGTAATTAAGGGGTAAGATCACTGTAAAAACCAGAAATAAAGCCTTTTTTTGCGTTTTTTTTTTTTCGATGGATGGAAAACTAAGAGGATAATGATATTCGTGTCGTTAAGTGTTAAAAAAAAAATACTTATTCAAAAATAGTACAATTCTCTCGGGGCGTGTTTTGAATTTTAGGCGGTCTGCGGCACGCAGTGCAACTGACGGAAAAACAAAAAATTTTCTCTTAATCTACACGAGTATAGCGAAAGAAAAAAAAAAATCGCAAAAAAAACGCTTTATTTCAGGATTTACATTGGTCTTACCTCTTAACCACGTGTCACGTGCGGTTGTAATGTAGAACATAGTTAAACTGCGTGCGATGGAACGTAAATATTCGATTGACCGACAAATACGTCGCGCTAATAAGATAACAGGCGTTTAACTTTCTCGGCTCACGTTTATTACGGGAACGAATCGAGATTTACGTAACGTTGTAACGCGGCTCGTTGTACGGCGTTTAAACATTGAAATTATACGACGGATTTTCGTATTTACACCGGTGCTTGTCGACCGGTAATTGTCGTTAACGAGTGGCGAAGAAGAGATTACACCGTGGCAACAAGTTGCCGTTACGGATGATATACATAGAGAGAATATCTATCGGTTATCTCTTAGGGACTCGTTCGTTTAATTGGCGCGTGGAATAGTCGTTAAGCTGAAAATAATGTAACACGAGGTAAACCCCATACGCCAAGTACTGTCCATCCGTTTTCTAACGATCCAAAGATCCATTTTCACATCTCTGTAACCTCCAAACTTTGAATTTCTTTGTTGTTTCTCTTACCAAAGTTAATCTTTGTTTGCTATTAGACTAGACAGCGATGACAGTGCCGTTTCATTATCTTGGCACACAATTACCCACAGACACGTGGTTATCTTCATTGCCATACCTCTGTATAGAAGCATACAGGGTGTACCGTTTCAAAGTTGGTTCTATTGGCACCACTTTGCAATGTCAACTGTTTGTAGGTCGTATCGACAACAGAATTAAGTCAGACTCGATAGATAATGGTTACGCGACTCGTGTTAAGTTACAGAGGATTTATTAGAACAATTAATTGCATCCGTAGAATCGATTGTAAATTACTAAATTTAGCAAATAGGACTCGCCATTGTTTCTTTTTCTAGAACGCGTGCACGAGTATAACTCGGTATTAGAGAATCTCGGAGGCTTGTAATCGCCTTTTATGTGGAACGAAAATATTTGTTTCCCGATTTCCCGCGCTGCGCCACGCCGCGCCACGCCGCGCCACGCCGCGCCACGCCGCGCCACGCCGCGCCGCGCCGTTCGATCGTCCGAGGGCTCGCAATTTTACGCGTATTTTCACTGCACGATATCACCGCGTACGTGGTCCCCTAATTAGATATACGTGCCGCAATTAGATGTTATACGGGATCGAGCGGTTGCTCCTCGACGCGTGTAACAGCTCGGAGATTAGAGTCGCCGCGAGAGCACCGGGGTCATCGGCGACGACGACACGCGTTATCGACGCGTTGCAAATAAAAGAAACGCGGTCCGTAAATAACACTGGGGCAGTCAGTCAACCTCGAGTAGATGCAGAGGAAGCCACGCACCCGCCGTGACATTTTTTCGTCCTTTATTATCCGCGGTTGTGTGCTGCCTTCTCGTCGTACACGCGTAGGCGTACGTATACAATGTATGCGCCTACCAGAGGTGTTGCAAACGCTTTAATATTCCAACGGTTCTAGAGAAGCTCTTCTGGTCACGTACCTACATGGACGATAGTCGTTTAAAAAATTGTGCAAAATAATTAAATTAAATAGCCAAAAGATCCGTAGATAAATTTTAATTTATTTGTTGCAACCGAGATTGTTTACTTTCCGTTGATCGTTCGAAAGTCGTGCCCATGTTCTGGTCACGGCTGATTTTATCGATCACGGTTGGCTTCTTCTGCATCTTGTATCAAGCGTGTATCGCTCGCAAATCGAACTACAAGAACCGACTCTATCAATTTCCTGTTTCGTACGTGTTCCTCCGCGCTCTGGATAAAACCACCTATCTATGATTTATGACTTTCGCCTCGACCCTCCATGTACTTACATAGGTACGCTGTTCGCATTTCACGCATCTGCTATACACGCGTTGTATTTGTCGCTTGGACTAATTGTGAATTATTCTCGAGTAAAAGATTCATTTTTACGGTTGATTCGCGAGAAATCTTTCCGATCTTCGAATTTCTCGATGTGCCGCGAATGTCTGTAAATACATATGTAGTGGCAACACCCGACGTGTCCTAATAATTTTCGTTTTCGTAGGAGTTCCGGCGTAGCGTTTCAAGATGTTACTTTCGAGCGCCTGGTTCGAAGTTATCGCAGCGGCGCTCTTGGCGATATTGATACTTGCCACCGGCTATCGACCTGCCTGGTGGTTCTGGACCGGAACCTGTCACAAGACAAACGGTGGGTTTTGTTCTGGTGTTGCAAGCACACGTGGTGTAGAGACCGTAGGACGCGGGAGTTTGGAGTTTCTTCGGTCAACGAATGATTGAGGAAGCGCATTAAAATATAGTACATATAAAGCAAATAATATTCCGTTATTGCGGGTTGCGTTGCAGTATCGCCTCAAAGTATTCTTGGATATTGTGTCTCAATTATATCCACTATCGGAAGAATTATGAAATACATATGTATGTACATATGTATATATTTTATTTCTGTTCGTGTTCTTAATGAGTTACCGAAGATTAGATTCGTTCAAGTCTACGGGCTTTATTCGTTCCTGTTTCTCGCCGTATATGCTTTATCGTCGTTTATCTCGAGAGCCATAAGCGACCGGCAATTAAAACATCTAGGAAAGTTAATCGGTAAATGTCAGTGTCAATGTCATGGTCCAGGCGTGAACCAGCGTAAATAAGTATCTTAATAGGGACAAAATTCTGCGTCTCTTTGTGAAATAGGATTAATAGACGGCGGGCCACGGAAGGCTTCCTTCCTTCCTCCCTTTCTTCCTTCCTTGTTTCCTTGCTTCCTTGCTTCCTTGCTTCCTTTCTTCCTTGCTTCCTTCCTTCCTTTCTTCGTAGCGGCGCGTTCGAGACGGTACAAAAGGAAAGAAAGCAAGGAAATTGTACTTTATAGAGAGAGAGGAGGTGTTCGAGGCGACCTTCAATTTGAAGCGAGCGACGTCGCGTGTACGGTCACGGTCCCCTTTCTAAGCGTGGAGAGCTCGTGGTTATGCGCGACAAGGTCGCGCCTGTAATCGCGTCCTTCAACCTTAGAAACGACTTTCTTGCGCTCGTCGAGAAGAAACCTTAAGGTTCGAGCGTAAAGCTCTCGCTCGCCGACGTAGAAATCGGATTCTTTCCTGAACTCGTGGCGAACTAAATTAACAGTTACTTTTTTCCCCACCTGTCTCTTAACAACATTTAATAGTATGTTGTTTTTTTTTGCAACAGCAGCCACCGTCCAAGAGAAACAGCAAAGAAAATTTCAAACGGTGTCGGACGTACCAGGACCCTATTCTCTACCGATCCTTGGAACCAGGTGGATATTTTCTTGTTTCGGATACTATCGACTGAATAAGGTTCACGATGCTTACAAAGGTAAGAAGTTTGGCCATCGTTGTCGGTCCCCTTATTTTCGACAATGTTCGAGAAAGTTTGTGGCAAGAGTTTCGTAATTAATCTGGATTAAGAGGATAAAAATAACGGACGGAGATAATTATAAATGCAAAGCAATCCGATCGTGAGATCTTTCTTTAAGCGACAAACACGTGGAACAGAAACCGGTTGCGAACCGAGATAAAACATGGACGGCTACAACTGTTAACAGCTATTAATAATATGTTATATTTGTTTCTTGAAAAGAGCCAGCACGTTTTACTTGAACGTTGATACGTATCGTATAGGGTATTTCGTATAGTAAACGTATGCATAAACGTAGTCGTCACCGATGTCCCAAGAAAACATAGACTGTTGTAATCTATTGGCTTTCTAGCTTTGTATCTACATTTGTTGTTGCACTCGCTACAAGTGTCTTTCCGTAAATAATGTTTTAACATAGCGTGTCGTTTATCATTGAAGAATAGATCTGAATCAACGATACGGGCCGGTGTGCAAAGAAGAGGCATTATGGAACTTCCCCGTGATCTCGGTGTTTTCCCGACGCGACATCGAAGCCGTCTTCAAACGAAGCTCGAGATACCCGCTTCGTCCTCCGCAGGAGGTCATATCCCACTACCGTCGCAGTCGTCGCGATCGTTACACGAACCTTGGTTTAGTCAACGAGTGAGTAGTTGCCCCGATCCACGGTTCACGCGTATTTTAGTAGACCGCGAAAAACTGTGCAATCTCCGCGCGTCGGTTCATCCCCGATTCGCGGCTCGCGGCTCGCGGCTCGCGGCTCGCGGCTCGCGGCTCTGACGTAAGCCTCGACGAGAATTCCGGTCGATGTAAAAAATTTAAACGAACATGCGACTCGATAGACAGGGGCAAGCGTGGCACGATCTTCGGACCGCTCTTACGTCAGAGCTGACCGGGGCCAGTACCGTCCTTGGCTTCTTCCCAGCGCTCAACATCGTCGCCGACTCGTTCATCGATTTAATTCGTCGACGAAGGACGGGGCACAAAGTGGCGGGTTTCGAAGAACTCGCCTACAAAATGGGACTCGAAAGTAAGCTTTGGAATCGTAACCGATGATCGATCGGCGGTACCGTTACCCTCTGCTCTTTCGCTTTAGGTACCTGCACGCTGATCTTGGGACGTCATCTCGGTTTCCTCAAGCCGGATTCTAACAGCTCGGTCACGATGAGATTAGCGGAAGCTGTCCGGGTTCACTTCACCGCATCGCGCGACGCCTTTTACGGCTTGCCGCTTTGGAAGTGGCTGCCAACGTCCGCTTACAAACAGCTGATCGAGAGCGAGGACGCTATATACAAGTACGTGTTCGCGCGTATTTCCAGAAACACGAGGAAATCGTGGGGTAGAATAATGCACAGTTCACTTCCGAACCGAACCAGAACATTCATTTATAATACTAAGAAAGAGAACGGAAGATAAATAAATAATCTTTCGAAAAGTGGTACCAATCCATTCCTTTCGGGGGGATGAATCGTAAAAAGTGAACTGTGCATACACATACGATTAGCCATTGTCGCTAACAAGTGCCGGGGCGTCGCGTCGTTCAGTATAATTTCAGACATCGTCGACGCTACGATACAGGAGAAGCGCGACGATGCTAAAGACGAATCGGTGGAAGCGATCTTTCAGTCGATTCTACGGCAAAAGAGTCTCGACGTGCGAGACAAAAAGGCGGCCATCGTAGACTTCATAGCGGCAGGCATTCACACGGTAAGCCAGCCACGATCTCGCGTTTCAAGCAGCTCCTTAAAACCGTTGTAATATCCTTTTAAAGATTATTTTTCTAATTCGTATCCTTTCGTGGTATCCGTCGCGTGCAGCTCGGCAACACTCTGGTGTTTCTGTTCGATTTGATCGGGCGCAATCCAAAGGTGCAAGCCGATCTGTACGAGGAGGCGTGCTCGTTGGCGCCACCTGGCTGCGATCTAACGATCGAGGATTTACGGAAAGCCAAGTATCTGCGTGCCTGCATCACCGAATCGTTTCGGTGCGTATTACCGTTCATTGAAACATTCCTTTCGTCGCATCGTCGCGTAACGCGGCTCTGCTGCATTGCTGTTTTGCGTTTAGAGTAATTCCCACGACAACTTGTGTCGCTCGCATTTTGGACGAACCCATTGAGCTAAGCGGATATCATCTTACCGCGGGAGTGAGTGAGATATTTCTCAAACGTATCGTTTGCTTAAAATCGAAGGGCAAAATATTATCGTCTGACGCCTCTTAACGTTTCCAGACAGTGGTTATTTTGCATACTTGGATCGCCGGTTTGAACGAAGAGAATTTCAAAGATGCCGCCAATTATTTGCCCGATAGATGGCTGAAGCCTGTCACGCCGCATTCGCCATTGTTGGTCGCGCCTTTCGGAACCGGTAGAAGGATATGCCCGGGTAAACGTTTCGTGGAACTTGCATTGCAGCTTATTCTGGCAAAGGTTCGTGTCCATCGAATTTTTATTCCCGTCCAATTGTGTACCTAGTGTTAAGAATTGAATTTCGAGGCCAAGGTTAGTTTTCTTGCAACTTGACAAACATTCACCGATCGAGGGTTAGAATTCACCTATGCTGATCGTAATCATACATTTCTCGACACTCTGTACTATGTACAAGGCGAGAACAAAACTCATAGAACAATATTATTTATTTTCTATCAACTTTTTTTATCTTCTAACCAGTTGTATACAAAAACATAACCTCTACTCGATTGTGCTATGACTTTGTCTCTACCTTGAGGAACAAAACCATGTTGTATCTATTTCAATGGTGGACAGGGGACAAAAACAATGAATATTTATATATACCCTATTTGATTTTGTTTCCCACTAATATTTCTAATTTTATAACAACCGCTTGAAATAACCAATTTCTCAATCTGTCGCATAGTCCGAGTGGTTCCGGATATAAAAATCCAGCTTATTTAAGCCCAAACAATCGGCAGACTAGAGAAATACTCCTACAGGACCTGTCCCACCCGTTAACACATTTACTTCCATGCCAGTTTTCCATATAAAGGTACGTCCTTGACATTTGCTTAATTAATTTTAACACAAATTTTCTTTGTACTCTAGTTCTACGATATTATCTTTTGTCTGCGTCGTGTTCTATTATTCGATTCTGATCCTTAGACGCCGATAAAAGTGTCCTATTCCTTGGATGATCCTCGAATAAAAGAATGGCCGTTTCCATTGACGTCCTTCTTAACAACCTTGCTACGATAAGTCTTTTGTCCTCCACTGGAGCAGGTACAGCGTGTTACGTTACATAACACCCTGTACACCAAGATATTTTGTCTTCTCATAGATTATACGGGAATTTGAGATTGTTGTGGACGAGGACCTTGGTTTACAATTTGAATTCATCTTAGCACCGCAGAGTCCGGTGCTCCTTGGATTCCGTGATCGTTCTTAGACAATATAACCTCGTTGTTCGTGCACGTTCCGTCGATGAGAGATTAAACGCTTATTTAATTCCTCGAAATTCTCTCGAAGGTTTCGTTGTTCAATGTCCGGTTGTTATTTTACGTTTACATTGTTTTGTAACATGTTTAATTCGTTGAAAGTAAGTTTGTTCGTCCGTTAAAGATATTTATCGTTACGCACAGATATTCTAGTATTTATATTTAATTGCTTGCGCGTCACTAGAGATCGTTTTGTTTCGTTCCTCTCTTACCGAAGTTAAAACGATGAAATAATACGTTTACCGATCGGGCGCGTAAGAAGATGACTACGAGTTGTTGCTCGGTGTTACGTTTACGTTATTAAATCGATCGTTTATATCGGTTGGAAAAATTACCTTTTCCCTCGGTTACTAATGTCTCTCGGAATCGAATAACGCTTCCGAAAAATGACTCGAAGCGGCCTGTGGATGAAACTGGTAACAACCACGCGGCAGAACGTTTCTTTTTTATGCAGTGTATAATATATGTAGATATTATTTGTTGAATATACATGTAATGATAAACGCGGTCGAAACTCGGTGGCGAGAGTATGTGAAATCGTTTACTAGTCTCGGTAAGTAAATCACCTGCCCCGACAATGTTTTTAATCATCCTTTCTTTATTTCGAGACCGCCCCCATTTCTGGTGCATCCTTTTTTTGAACAAAATTAAATTACATTTATTTAGTTCGTTAATTTACTAAGTGATCGTGGTCTACAACATGCGTACTATCATCGATGAAACTTACATATGTCGTACACGCTTAGTTAGTACACTTATATATTACATATTTGAAACTGTATTCTAAGGGAGTGGAAGGAATTATTGATTAAACGTACTAGCTAAATTCGACATAAATTATAAGAGACTTGGACTGCGAACCGATACAAACGTAATCGGGACTCGAAGGTTTTTTTTTTTATTCGCCGGTCCCACGTACGATGCGGCGTTGCATACATCTTCCATCGAAGATCGTCGATTTTGCGACGCGGTAGATCGCGAACGAGCAATCGATCGATCGTACAAGCGCGTCCGACACATCTACGGTTGCGTGTGTCTGCAGGTATAATGCCACTATGTAACTTATGTTAATGTAACCAAGTTAATTTTAAAAACGATTAGTTTGTCGAGGCTGTTGAACGCCACAACCCTTAACGGAAATGATATTTGTTCTGCTTAAACGCACGCAACGCGTTAACAGCACGAGTGTAACAAAATTGCTCTAAATTGTGGATGAAGTGGAGATGGATCAGTCGACATTTTCTGTTTGACGTGCGTCGAGCGAAGGGCACAGAATTGTTCTAGGGTACTGCGACGCATCGATTATTTTCTGGCGAACGAATCACTTGACCAAACTTTTGATGCTTCTAGGAAGATTCGGTATAGAGCCTTTGTTCACGCTCGCCGCCGTCGGTCTCATGAAACCGTGGTTTCTGGTTACGGCTCGAGGATGGATCAACTTGCTTTTCGTAACCGGTGCTTTATCGGCGACCGAACGATTCAAAGAAACCGTTTGATGTCCGACGATACTGCCGCTTCCGCTGCTGCTGCTGCTGCGCGAGCCAATCGTTCGTCCTTTGTTCCCCTTTTGCGCCTCGCTCGACACCTGAAAACATCATGGTCGCCCATCTCAACAACTCGAAGATTTACTCGCGTGTACTTGAGACATCAAACGAGATGTACAGTTATCTACGTTCTCAACACTTTCAAGACAATCAAGAACTCGAAGAGTTTCAAGACGACTCCTAAAAGCTATCAAGAGTTACAAGATTCTCTTAACTTGGAATACGTATTACAACACACCCGATAAGGCTAGAACCGACTCCAAGTCTTATTACTAATTTCAGATAACGTTGAGACTTGACTCGAGCCACCGGTAGAAGAACTGACAGGGACTGAATATGTCGTGCATGGACTCACCCCAAGAGATTTCCGAACTGTTCTCGCAGCTGGACCGACGCTGCTTCCGCTACTGCTGCTTCTGCTAGCGGGTATCCTGGTGACGGTGGAGCGCGGATTAATTCGACGTTTCTCAATATTTTTCGGCGGCAACGGAGTGTTTGACGGGCTCTTCCTGAGATCGTTGGTGAGGGCGCAAATAGCGGACGTGTAAGTCCGAAGACGAGCGTGATTCGGGACCAAGTTCCGCACAGTGTTCACCGAGGTGGCGCTGTTCAAAGAGCTTCGCGAGCTTCTGAGACTGCTTCTCGAACCGGAGCGTTCCACCTCGTTCCTCGACGGATTGATCGACTGGAACGTTGCGTTCGCGTTCCGTTGCGCAGTGGTCTCCGTTTTCCCAGGCGCAGGGTCCCGTTTCAAACTGTTGGTTCGCTTCGGTAGAAAGCTGGTCTTCTTCTCGCCAGTCTTTCTCATCGAGCTCGCGCGTTTCTCGAACCCTTTGATCGATGACTCGAGCGTTTTGTCGATCGACTTTTTCGCGTGGCCGTCCGACTTGTCGCGGTCGTTTCCGGCGACGGGGCGCGCACGATCGGCGTCGTTTCCAGTGTAGCGTAGCTCGGCCGGCGAACATCGCGTCGAGTCGTGCGTGTCCGTCTCGTAATTGCCGGACGACGTTTCCTGGCTCAACGTCTCGGAAACTAGACTCTGCGTCTCCTCGAATCCCTCGTCGTTCATCTCTTGGTCCCGACCTTTGCCCGGGGAGGACGAGGAGGTGACGCAAATGTCGGGAACGAATCTGCCGCGGAACACCGAGGCGTCCGACACCGGTGGTTCACCCCGCTCGATTCTGATCTCGTTTCGACTCGAGTGCTCCATGCGTTTTGTCTCCGGAACACCGGTCAGATCCTCGTACGCGTCGTGGCGTTTCGGAGCGTCGACCAGATCGGTCTGGTCTCGCGACGACGGGCTAGTTCCGTTTTGAATTTGATTCACCTGACTGGGTGGATTGTTCGTCAACCTTATCGCCTCCTTCACCTGACTAGGGTCGATCATGCTTCGTTGTCGTTCCCGACTGGTCACGGCTCTCTCGGCGAGAACCGTCACGGACGGTTCTCGTGGTCGCGACTCCTGCATCACCGGGCTGAGGACCGTGTTGGTCACCGCGAGGACCGGCGGTGGCTGGCTGACCGGAAGCCTCGAGCTTCTGTGCGTCAACGCGACGGGCCTCGATAACCGTTGAAGATCCTCGCCGGAACGGGCTATGTCCGCCAGCGCGGCCTCGATGTCGAACGACGACGCCTCGCGACGCTTCAGCTTGTCTTGCCAGACGCGAAGCATCGCGTCCTCGTCGTGACTCTCCTCGGACAACGGCAAAGTGTGAGGACGTTGGGCCGGTTTATCCTCGAACGGCTCCGTACTCGCGACCTCCTGCTTAGCCTCCTTTTCCGCCGTCAACGAGTCTTGTTGCACCTTTTTATACCTCCGTGTTCTCCTCGTCGCCGAGTACCGATCAAAGTTACCTGAAACGAAAGCGGCGTCGACGATTCTCAGCTGGTTCAGGTACGTTTTAGTAACCTTCGAGTAAATTGCTATTTTAAAGAATCTTTTCAACAAATAAAATATTTCATTTTCAGATGTACGTTTAAAGTACCCGGCTCTATCGACGCCCAAACAACAAGCTCCGGCCATATAATAAATGTAATTTAGATATTTAACGACTTACCCGTACCGAAGTCTGTGTTACTCGTGTTTCTCGCGACCGTGTTCTTGAGATCGCGACTTTGGAACGAGCCGTTGCAACGTTCCCTCTTGCACGGCTCTTTCTCGACCGGCTTCACTTCCTTCGGCGGACTGAACAGCTTTCTAGTCGCCGGCGGAGTTTCGATATTGTCCGAGTCGATCTCGATTTTGTCGCTGATTTTCTCTTCATCCGCGCCTCGCTTGTACTTGGAAAATCGTCGCGTCGCGGAGACTTGGGTGTTGCTGTACGGTTGCCGCAGATAAATCGTCAGCTCGTCCTGAGGATCCGTGTTGGCGGTATCGTTGATCTTGTTCTTCTTTCTGTCCTCCTCTTTGATCGACTGCAACGTACCGGAGGTGAGGATATTTTCTGCGCTGAGTCTTGATCTTAGCCTACGGGAATAACGTGGGTCAGTCTCTTCCATACTATTTGGTACGTTCAAGCTAGACTTCCGCCAAGGAGATTTGTCCTTTTGGGACGGATGCGTTTCGGCTTCTGAAACGAACCAAAAATGAGTCAGTTTCTCTCTAGTAAATTCTCTCGCGATAAATCTGATCGTCGCGTTCACTGTCCACACAAGAGGGACAGAGTCGACGCGTCGAAGGATGCGAAATGGTGCAAGTAACCTTCTATAGCTTCCATCGTGCGCATCACGTCCGTTTTTTCGACCGACGGCCGCCAGTCGTAAACTTCCGAGTCGTAAACTTCGTGCGTGGAATTACCTTCGTTCGGGGTATTCGTCTTGCCTTCACTTTCTGTGCACGTAATGTCACGAGGATCGAATTAAAAAGGGAACGCTTCGTCGTGCCATTTCACGGTAACGATACGCGTTTTGCTTACCCGAGTCTTCGAAGGACCGTCGATTAGCTTGGTGCAACTGTCTCGCTTTTCTTTTCAGTTCTTCACCCGCACGATCTTCTTTCTCGTTTTCCGACAACCACGCCTCGATCTTCTGTCTCCATGCTTTTCTGTTTTTAACACGCGTACACACATTTCATTCGTTTATTTATTCGCCGATTATCTCTCCGCGATCGTTACGTCTTACCCGGCAGGTTTTGTTTCTTCCTCTTGCAAGAAGGGTTTGTTTTCCACCAGAGGCGACGGGGAACTCGCCCTCTCTCGGTCCGCCGAAAAGTCTGCGTTCAGTAGATCGCTCCTGCGAGATTGACCGCGAGCTCTTCGGGCCCACGACCGATCTGTTCAACAATCGGTTAACGTATCAAATTCTATGCCCGAATTATTATAACACGAGTCATTAACTGGTCCAACTATTGTACCTAGGCTACCCCAGGACTTCCTTTCACGAGTATTGTCTTGTCCCGACGTCCTCAAAAAGTCCATCAGGTTACCGTCGTCGTCTTCGCAGGGTATTCGACTTCTGCGACGACGGAGGGTGCCGTTTGGCGTTACATCTGTACGGAGAAAGTATTATTATCGATTATGGAACGGGATGACGGCAAATAATTCCTATAATATTGTCTGATTAAATAGGTAGGAAGGTACGTATTTCTAATCAACTTTCCAAACAAGATCTCTAACGCGACATTTCGACTCTTATTTTAGATCCTTGTCGACTACCGCGTAAGATGCAAGCGTGAAAATACATCGGTCTTAGGACAGAAGATTCGAGGATAAGACCTGGAGAGTAGATTTCTTCTTTGGTAGATAGTTGATCGCCGGTACCGCCGGTACCGCCGGAACAGGAGCCCAAGCGACGTCGAATGCTCGGCGATCCGGCGTTGGAGACGTCTTCGTCCGACGTGACTACTCCGTTTTGCAATCTTTTGATCTGCATGGAAAAAAGAAAGGGCGTGTGGTCCGTCCGTTTAAAAAGTATAATTAAGCGCGGCGAGCGCCGCGGTACTTTCTTCGATACGCAAGAAATAGACGGGAGCGCTTACCTTGGCATCGTTACGACTATAATTTCTTTGAGGTAAACCGGTATGGAGATCGAAGAGGCCGTAATCGATTAGGTTGCATTCGGATTCAGAGGCTGGCGTCTCGGCTTGATTCGTTACTATAAAACACGCACGGTAATAAACGAAAGATCTATTTATCGTCACCTTATTTTACTTATCGCATTGTTAATGATCGTTCGGTATGCAAGTAAAATTGGCTCTTTTATCCTGAACTAAAGTGGCACGCGTAGGAAAGAAAAAAATTAAAAAATGTATCGACGTACGGAATCGTTTTTTAGCTAAAAGTTGTTCTTCTCGTTGTTTGCGCCTCGCCAGGACTTGTTCCTCCTGAATTCTTCGCCTTTCGTTCTCCGCGACAGCCTGGTTGAACTTCTGACAGAATTGATGGAATATCTTGAAGCACTCTTCGATCTTGAACGTGTTCGAGTCTTCGCAAAAGAATTCCGCGAGCGATCGCCTTACGGTCTCCAGCTCCTCCATGTCCCCTTTCAACTGGCTCATCTCCTGTTCCGCCATCTGTGGAACAGGGAATATCAAAAGTCTCGTTTCCATTGTCGGGACCGAAAGTTAGAAGGTTAGTCTAAAAATGGTTCGCGTACCTGTAGAAACTGAGCCATTTGTTCCTGTATGTCGATCTCCGTGGAAGGAAGCTGAATCTGAGCCTTGATTTTCTTGATCTTCGTGTCGAGGGCGTTGAACTCGTTGTTTAGCTGCTCGGTCGTGGTCCTGTAAGTTACAATTCACTTTAGATCGAAACTTGGTTCGCTGTACGAAAGCAAACTTACTTCGTGGCAGCTTCCAGCGTGTTCATGCTCTTGGCGAAGTTCAACAAGTCCTTCCGTTTCCTCTCGGCTTGCTGCCAAACAAAATATTCATAAACGTGAAACCGAGAGTCGCGTGAACGTTACGGAATAGAGTGTACTTTACCAAAGCCACGTAATGTATGAGATTCATTCCTGGTTTGTTCGCTCGGATTTCGGTCAACTTTTGCAAAGAGGATAGCTTCACTCCAGCGGCGTTTCCGGCATATCCACCCTGTGTGTGATATTAAATTATTAATCGATCGCTCTCTCTTTGTGTAATTGTTTCAGAAAGCCAAAACGATCTTTTGTACCGAGTTTAGAAAATTCCCAGCGACCAGAACCATGTATAGCACCTCCTGGAGCGGCTTATTCGTCATTAGATCCTCACCGGCGAGGATCATAGAGTTGATGCTAGGTTCTAGGTAGCCCATGTTGGCAGCGAATTCTTCCTTCAGCAACATACACTCTATACGTAGCTTGTAGCTTTCGAGGAACGAAGACGAGGTAAAATTAACCGAGCGAATTCTTATCGAACGACAAAGCAAAATTTGATTGCCTCATACTTTGGTACTTGGACGAGTTGCAGGAAAAACTTCTCGGCGTTTCCGAGCTTCGACTTGTCCCCGTCGAAGCTTTTGAGCATTTCCAGCTCGTCCACTTCGGGCAGTATCTTGAGGAGACCGCGTAACTTTTCCGCACCGATGTCGTCGTGACCACCTTCCTTTATCAGCTGAATTATGTCCTCGTTCGAGCTACGACTCACATTTTTATTGAAACGTATCGCGTCGACGCAGCGACGGCGGTGATGCTTACCTTCGAAACTGTTTGAGAAATATGTTGACGTTCAAGCTCCTCTTGCCGTCCAGAAGCGCGATCTGAAATATTTGATAAATCGGTGAAATCGAAACCGATCTAAAAAGAAGCAAGCTCACCTCGGTCGGTTCTCTTCGTCGTCTGTCAGCGTCGGAGCTGTTTCCGTAGGAGGAGAAACACGAGGCGGCGGGTAACATTGGCGGCATTTGCTGACAGAACAGACCTTCCATTTCCGCCCAGTCTATGTCCGCCATGGGAGAGTTTTGATGATCGTTGGCGACCAATGACCAAATGTTTCGTTTTCCGATCACCTGCGCGTGACAAAGATTGGAATACTTGGTCGGCTGGCTTCTGCCACTAATTTTCTGTTACTCTGCTTAATAGGTATAGGGTGGTAGGAGTACCTACTTTGTGATTAGGTATCTTGTTCCAGTTGATCGTTTTCATTTTTGCCTTGGGGGTGGGTATTTCCTGTTGCGGCAGCAGCCTCGCGTGATTATTCGGCGGGTCGGGGGTGGGCGCCCGCGCGACGGGCAGCACGTGGAGCGGCGGTGGGATGGGCGGCGGTTCCATCGATGCATCGGCGTGCGTCGCGTTGGCGGCGAAGAGCGGCGGAGGCGGAGGCGGCGGCAAAATGCGGCCTTGGCTCGAGGAGGCGGCTGCCGGAGGATCGGGAGGCGGTGGCGGAGGTGGCAAAGGTGGCGAAGGTGACGAATTGTTCACCGGCAACGACGCTTTTCGAGACGTTCCGCACGTCTGATCGGTGCCCCGACAGTGGCAGCATAGATTCGTCTGCGAAACAAACATTATTCTATTCGGTACTTAATATTTTGCTTACCTACCCCCCTAACGCTAAAATATTTTTCAGATTTACTTTAACTACTTTTGCCTGGAACGATACTACGATAACCAACGATCGGAACCAGAAGAAGAAGCACCATAAAAACGAAGAAGGTACTATAAGAAAAACGATTACTCGACGATGGGTTACTCTGAAAGACTGAAAAAGCGCATAAATGGTAGCGATGAAGACGGTAGATGTATCAAGTACTCGAGAGTTAAAAGGGGACAACGTACGGTTTGGTATAATATAGACTTTTAAAAGCGATCCCGTCACGGGTTTGTTCGGTTTTTTTCTTCGTCGCGCGTCCGGTGAAAAGTAAAAGCGCGAAACGTGTTGGCAAGCGTTGCGTCGGTTCGCGTTAGGCAGACGATATTGAACAATCGTGCGAGAAACTTGCGTGAAATTTTTAACAATCTGACGTAATCGTTACGCGAGCCCGAAACTACGACGAGTCTACGATTACGCGATAGGGGAGAAAGTATGGGACCGTAAGTCGATCCCCGAAACGCTCCAACTTCGCTGCTCGTTTTAAACTGCGATATCTCTACGAGAACAAGTATAAAGGAAAGAGAAACAAGGAGCGTTAGAATTTACCTGTAGACTAGGCGATCGCAGTAATTTGGTGGCGTCCTCGCGGTTTTCTAAAAGCGTCGCTCTATGCACCAGCGTCTCGGCCGTGTCCCATGCTAGATCGCTGGCGGCGTCTTTCGGATCCAGGCGCAGCAGATGTTGAAGAATGCTCAAGAATGGTATTTCTTGCGGGGTGTCTGCGATCTGAAGTACACGCGTCTCGACTTTATCGATCGCTTTTAAAATAGAACGAGCGCCGACCGAATAGTCGGGTCGCCGCTTATCAATCGTCAAAACAGTCCTTACTTGTCCGAGAATCGCGTAAAACACGTCCACGTGAGAGGAAAGATCGATTCCCGGCGGTCCGTGATTCGACAATTCTTCGTCGGTCTCTCGTTGATCGTCGAACACGTCTAGCTGCACTCTGAGATCCGGAGCGTGACTCTTCCTGCAAGAACAATCGTCACCTTCCTGATCTGGCTTCATTTTAAACCTTTACGCGGTTCTTCGTTCTATTTCCGTCCCACTCGCGGCACATGTCTTTTCTAGAATTTCAATTTCTCTGCTCTAGCTTCACCCCCTTTCCCTCTCTGTCCCTCATCGGCGTCCGGTGATCCAAATCATCGATCTAGCGAGTCGAAACCTACTTTTGTACAATTTCAGAGTAGATTACCTGTCGCTGGATGTCCAACCCAACACGATACATGGAATTTTCTATCTTAATAACAATGATGTATACTATATTTACATACCTCCCTTATTAGAGTTCACATAGACAAAATGTATCAAGGTTTGAGGTAAACGCGAACACGAGAATCGTCTTCCGTGGTGGGTGGACATTTACTAACAGCAATCTGTTTCTGGTTAGATTAAACTTTGGGTTTCTTTGGCGATTTGGACCACTGTGTTTTCAAATTTTCTTGATTTTACCGGTGACGCGCGACACATTTTCTTCCGGCCGTTTTCCTTAAACTTTTCCTCGCGTGTTCTGTCCGTTCGATCCGTAAAAGAGGAGTGTCGATGGTGTACCATGAATTAGCATCGTTTCCGTTTAGAGCGTTCGATCCGTTATCATCCGGTGATTCTTACGAAGTAGGAGTGCCATACGTGTTTGTCATAATACTCGATATGACGATCTCGCGTATAAGGGGAGGAACGCGTTAAGCTTATTGTTAGCTACAAACAAAAGAGTGGTACGAATCGAAGAGTTTGGTGACAATTTCTGACTTACACCACAAGTAAGAGAATGTTCGTCGGTATTTCCAAACGTACACATTTTTAGTATTTGTCAAAGGCAGTTAACGTCCGATCGAAGCAACCGATTTCCCGGGTTTACGTCAACGAGCCTCTAAAATTTCGCATCGCCTTCTCCGGACACCCAGTAGACGAGTTTTACACGTATACGTGGTGAACTCCAGTCGCGTTTCAAACACGATTTCTCTCTCCACGATGCACACCCGAAAATAGTCGCTGTCTTTGCGGTTGTCCGACCGTGTCATCGATCTTGCGCCCCACCGAGGGGAACAAAGTCGTCGTCGTCGTCGTCGTCGTCGTCGTCGTCGTCGTCGTCGTCGTCGTCGTCGTCGTCGTCGCCGTTGCCGTTGCCGTTGAAAAATTCCCCGGGCTAATAAAACTGAGAACCAACACTTTTCACTGCGCACCATTCATTTTGCTTTTTTTCTTTTTTTCTGCTAGGATATATCTGTCGACGTCGATAATTACCAGAAGACACTAACGCAATCGGGTTAACCGTGGATGCGTGGCGCGGCGCAAGGATGCAAACGATCCGATCGGCACGAATTTGTTCTCGGTTTCGTTGAGAAGTCGGTGGAATGTCGTCAATGGCTAGGAACAGCAGTCTCGTGATCGGTGGAGCATCGCACTGATCGCTCCAGTCGAGAGCAGAGTTGCAGCTGCAGGTGCATCGCGCGCGAAGAGTTAATTCGGGCTTTTCTCTCTCCCTTCGAGTTCCCTCTTTCGCTTTTCCCTTTTCCCTTTTTTCCTTTCCGTGTTCTCGTCCGTTTCGCACCAAGGTTCTTTCCACGGATCTTTTCCCCTCTTTCTTTCGCCGACGCCCGCTGCCTTTTTCTCTCTCCCCGGATTCTCGGTTTCGATTAACCCCTTAAGGGGCTAAGGGGCTATCCCGGTCTAGACACGCAATTTTTAGGCCCCTTTTGTTATTTTGTAAAAAGGAACCCAGTAGACTGTTTTGTATCGGGAGCAGGTTTAAAGTTTTTTAGTACGCCGCTCCGTGTGTAAGAGCGTTAAGGGGTTAACGTTGCCGAGAATTCGGGAAGACGCAGGGGAACGAGAGGAAAAAGAAAAATCGGTACTTTGCGTGCTTCTATTTCGCGGGCGAATGGTGCCACGGATCCCCAGTGTCGTATCCTTGACATTCTCCTCGTAGCGAAACTTTTGCCTCGACCGTTTCGAGTTTTCTTTCATGGCCTTCGAACGTTAAAACACTACGCGTCGAGCATAATTATCAAGGAAATGTATTTATGCATCGATCGAGTGCTTCGACGCTAAAATCGTAAATAGTTGAAGCGTCGAGCGACGTCAAACGGATACAAGATATGTATCGATATTCCTTCGTATCGTGAATTCCAACAGACAATTCCTCCGGACGATATTTAAAGCGACTTGTTCGAATAGTTTTGCTCGTTCAAGAATAGTTTGCACGTCCGTCATCCCGCGGAGGAATGACAGATCGTACTATTTCTGTAGAGAGTGATTTAAACGGAGGCCCAAAGAAAGCTATAAAACGTTCGGTGCGTCGTGATTCGTCCGAAATACTTGTCGTTCCATCCGTATTTCCGGCGCGTTCCTCTCTTTTCCTTTCGTTGACCGGCTATTGTTTACACAACAACGAACGGTATCGCGACGATAACGCGCACGAAATATTGTAAAAGGGAACGTGTGCAAGGTGGCGATCGAGAACCAGCATGTTTGTTAACAACCCGTTAGAGGCGTCGGAAAATTCGAAAGAAATGTTCGATACTCCGGCGATACGTGTTTTCTTTTTAATCGATAGAATATACATTTGTTTTAAAATTGTCGAACGTGTTAAAGAAATGGATTCTGAACTGTTAATTAATTATTAGTCTCGTGGAGCAAAGATGCGTCGTATGGGAGTCGCGCGCAACGATGATGATTATTTTTTTATTAGTGCATGCAATTGTTGCGCGTTGCATAGGCTGAATGAATGGTTCATTCGTTGGTTAACCAATCCTTGAACATGTAATTGCCTAATAGTCCCCGGCTGGCTGCGTACGACGCTCGATGCATGCGCGACATTAACGTTGCATTAGGTGCAAATGAGAAGGTGTGGGTACAATAAGGCGCCCTTTCGTAACGTTCATTATTATTTATTATTCAACAATGTTAAGGTGTTAATCAGTTAATGTCGTGAATCCGGGTCGTCGTAGAGTACTCACCGCAGCTCGTTCAGGATCGGGAGGAGCTTCAGACCTGGAAGGGAAAACAATAGTGTGGGCTTCTCGATCGTCGCTTTTCCAAAGTCGTTTAATCCGCGTACGCTGCCGCCGCCCATAATGCAAACATTCGATCGTCAAAGTTCTAATAATCGTCAAGGTGGCAGCGTACGCTCGTGCAACGCTACGGACCAACTTCATCTTCTGTCCGTTGTTCGAAATACATAAGCATTTTGCCCAACCGTGGTTTAAAAAGTTACTGTACTAACCGATGAACTCGTTGCGAATTCGTATGCGATCCTTCAGCACTGGCGTGGAGATGACCAAGCAATTTATGAAAGCCAATAGTGCCGTCCGATAATCCTCGGCGGTTGCCTTTTCAAGCTCGTCGACCACGATTCGTAATCGATACCGTTCTCCTTTTCTTTCCTGTAACGTTTCGGAAAATTGTTACTTCTTCTTCTTTAAACTTGATATAAGCTATTTGAAAAAATCTGTCCCATATTGACTGGACCAACGTTTCGACACTTCCAACGGGAAGAGTCTTTGTAAACTCTTATCGCGGACGCAACTAGCATCGTTGCAGGAATTATGTTTGCGCTCGTCGTAACTCGAATATTCGATAAGACTCGAGGTGGTTCGTATTTAACAGATGATTAACGCGACAAATTGCGCCGCGATAAAACGCATGGTTCGTAATGTTCAAGTCGCCGTCGTACGATGGTCGATTTCGTGAACCTAGATAGATGCAAATATATATATTTTAAATAAACGCAGTACGAATATAACGTAGATTTCGTGCACCTAGACTTTATGGAATCGATCAGCGTGCGTCGCGCGGCTAGTATGTCGCGAATGTAACTCTGCAGGAGCGTTACGGTGTAGATCATTCTTTTGTTTGTCGGAGGAAGACCTTGAACCGTGACTTTTATCCAAGCTTAGCACCGCCGCCACGCGTCTCCGTGCTACAACGGGACGGGACGGGACGGGTATAGGAACGTCGCGTTTCGAAGCTGTTCAACGTCTTCGTTCGAGTTTCGCGCTTAAAATGCAAGGAAGCACGTCGCGGTCCATCACCTGATACGCGTGAAGGGTATCGATGGCCCTCTGCCTCCCATCTTGACTGTAAACGCATAGCGCGGATAGCAATTCCACCACTTGTTTCTTCACTGAGGGACAGGCGGTGTCCAACGCTGAAATTTAACGAGAAACGCGTCGATCAGTGATAAAGGCGCCGAATTACGTCCGACAATTTTCGATTCGAACTACGCGAGGACGTCGAATGATTTACCCGAGGCAAGCTTGACGCAGTAATCGGGATTGTCAACGATATAGTCGAGACCAACGTGGGAATCCATATTGACCGCATTTGTGTAAACCGTCCTCCGAGTCTGAAACAAACGAAACAATGAGAAAAGTACGGAATTGTCAATCGACAATGAAATTGATAGGCGGAGTTGGGCAAATTTTATTTCTAATCCGCGAGTAACGAGTCAATTTTTAGATTCTAATCGACCCCTGCAACTGAAAATATTTTCTTTCGAACGATTTGAAAATCGTTAGTTATTAAAAGTTCGATTAAAAATTTGTCATTCGTTATTCGTGAATAGTATTTTGCAAGCTTGATTTTGTAATTTCTAAAGACGATCCTGATCGGAGGATCGAAAGAACGATTGAATAAATAGACGCTCTACCGTTTAACGGCGTTGGTGCGAGGCGCGAGAGAAAATGTCAGGGCGTCGCGTCGTGTAATTCTTAATGTACTCCGTTAAGGCGAGCCAACGTGGAAACAGGTATAAGAAAATCAAACGCCATTTAACGTTTCATAACGGGCACTGAACTTTTCTTGTACTTGATAGCGAACGTTGTTCGCGAGATGTACCATAAATCTTGTTAAACAAAGGTCGCATATCCACCGGAGACGGGGTCCATTTTGACCCAAATATAATTTTCGTTATTCCGCATTCTAGTAGATGAATTTTTATTTTTATTTTTATTTTTCCAAATCTATACATGTACGATAATTATTAAAAGTGTACGATTCTGTAACGAACGGATTGAATGGGTGAAAATGGACCCAGTTAACGTAGACACGAAATAACAAAGATGCCAAAGTAGTTGTTCGTACTCGTTGTCCGTAGGAAAATTCGATAAGCGTATCCATAGGTAGAAAACAAACACGCGAAAACAGTTGGTTATTCTAGAACCGTTTGAGCGATCGTATCGCGTCGCGAATCGCGTCGTTCGTACTAACTAAGAAGGTTAATGGTTCTCTCTCAGCCGACAAACTGTTCGCGAAACCTCCTGAATTGTCGGCAACGAATGGAGTGGGTCAGAGCTGGAGCGAGGTCTAGGTTGAGAACACGTATGTATCGTGCTCCATCCACGTGCACTTGGCTGCACAAGTACCTACTACGTTCGTATGACTAAGATCGCGTAGTTGGAGAAAAAAAAAAAAGAACAAGTATTACGCGTCGATTTATTTTAAGCGCAAAAAAAGTAGCCATAATTTCCAACGCGTGCGTGCGACGATTTCGATGGAACCTCGATGACGCCACACCGTGGTGCCACTATACATAGAAAAAACGCGATACGAACGAAAATTTGAATTACAATTTCGTATCTTCGTTGACTAATTTATAGTATATAACAGCGAACGAATTTGTCTCCGTGTTAGTAAATCGACGTTCCGTTCGTTGTATTGCCATGGGACCGTGAACGAGAGAATACGAAAGGAGGAAAAAAGTGCGAGAGAGTAAGAGTGAAAGGGCAGGAGAGGAAGAGCGGTAGAGAGGGAAATATAGGGGGAAAGACCATAGGATTGCGTCACCATATGCATGCACATACCTCTAGTCACGTTTAAAAATAGATTCTCGAATATTAAGGACCACGGTGAGGACGTTTCGCGATAGATCGCGGAACGTCGTCGCTTCGTTCCGCGTTGATCCCGTTGGATCCGATAGGATCGACGAAAGAACGAGGAACCGATCTCGATTCACGTTGAATTTCGAAAGGGCCACAGCGTTGTTCGTCGATCGATTCCATGGAATCGGAGATTCGAATTACGAAACGGTGAACAGAAAATTCTTGTATTTCGATACAAGCGGAAAGGACGCGGCGGCGGTGGCGGCGATTCGAATGTCGGCAAGGGGGATTTACGCGTGCGTACATACAATTCCGAATATAACGACCAGTAGAGGCTGGTCGAAGTGATTCATGCTAGTACGCCTTGCTACGGCCGTACTAAGCCATCGGAGCTTCCTGCAATCGTTCCTGCCGACGACCTCGAAGTTCGCACTTGCGTGGCTGCATTTACGGTCACTGGCCATCTTAGGAAGGCCGTGATCGAAACGAGGAAAAAAATAAACAGACCGATCTGGTTTTTTTTACTCGAGACCCTGTCACCTTTCCAAATTCACGCGAGAACGCCCGAACCGTTTCGACGCGTACGTACAGTGGCGGCCATTATACTTTCGTACAAGTCGTATTTTCGTTTCTGTATCGTCAAGCTTGCGAAAATGTTTCGACCGGGTCGTTTCTACAGCTTTCAACCTCTTCCTATTACCTAACGAAAATGTACTCGTTCCGAGAATTCGACACATTTTTGTATAATTTGTATAATGCAATGACTTTCGAGGCGAGCATCGATTTTTAATATTTGCTCGCTAATCCTTTTTGCAGCACAGAGTTAATCTTGTGCAGCTATATATTTTGTTCGCGTCTATGTCTTATATGTATACCTCCCTTATGTTTAAATCTCTGTAACTTGTCAATTTGATTTGCACCATCTTTCTATTCTACCCCGTATCATCGTACTCCAAAATTCCCATGCTTGGGTTTCAAAGCAGCCTTTGGTCGAAATATTCTGTTCGTCGAGCGATTTCTTTATTCGTTGTAATAATAATAACCCGTCGTAACGAAACGGTGCTCGATCGGTGATCGATTATCGCGTGGGATGATTTCTAGACGGTAAAGATTACGTTCGACGCGAAAGTCGAGGGGACGGCGCCCGAAATTTCCAGCGCGATTCGCTCGTAGCGCGCGCGAATCGCAAATAGGAAAACCGGACGGAGAGGCGACGCGGCGCGACGTTTAAATTTCCACGACAACATCGCTCTCAAGATTGCATTTAATAGTTTGGTCGCGACGATTATTAATAGTAGGCAAGCGCAGAGACGATTGTGGACGTATGCACGAATTCGCGTGTGTATCGTGTGTATTTAGGCATACGTATACATGTATGAAATAGCGCTCACGGCGGACGTGGGATACCATATCGGGTACCTTGTTGACCTCGCCTCTCTTCTCTGTCTCTCGTTCTTGTTCTCGTTCTGTTTCGTTCGTGAACGCGAGCCTCGCTGTATGTGTACACCGACTATCTGCTCTCCTCTCCTCTCCTCTCCTCTCCTCTCCTCTCCTCTCCTCTCCTCTCCTCTCCTCTCCTCTCCTCTCCTCTCCTCTCCTCTCTTCCCACGTCTTTCACTACTGACAAAAGAAGTTTCGGCCGTCGCCAATGTCGTTTCTCGGACGTTACACGCCGAGAAGAGCACTCGAGATCGTTCGTCGCTTGCGACGAGCAACGGGCGAAAATAAAAAAAAAACTCCTATCTAAATATTCGTTAACTCTTTGCGATACGAGACATTTTTTTTATAGTCCGTCCTATTTCTAATATCCTAAGACTTGTATGTATTTTCTTCGTGCGATCTAAAGAGGCAACGACTCGTTGCTTGATTCAAAATTAGTTTTTCTCGTATTTTACGTTCATAATATGCAGCAGGCTGTTCGGCTAACCCTGAGAAAAATTTTAATAGGAGATTGTAAGGGCGAAAATAAGACAAAAATCAAGAATACCAATTTGCTGTGAATCTGTTTTCCGCCTGCAGATAGGCAACCTGCGAACAGCTGCGTGCGCGCGTGATAGTGGTTTTCATTCGGCATGAGAAACTCTACTTAGTGACGTAGCGACAGTCTTACAGTATTATGAGTGAGAACCACTATCACGCGTAAGTACGCAGCTGTTCGCAGATTGCCGTTCTACAGACGAAACTTTGAACGTTAATAACTTTTTAACGAAGCCTCGATCAACAAATTGCTATTTTTGATTTTTGTCTTATTTTCGCCCTTAGAATCTTCCATTGAAATTCTGAACACCCTGTATTTCTCTTCCTTTTGCTTGGGACTTTATTTGTTTGAAAAATGAATACACAACGATACATCGATGGATGAGACCCCGTTGAGTATCGAGGCGTCAAAGTAACGAGAAAAGTAATCGAGGCAAAAGTCGATTCGCGGAACGGGGAGCAGCCGATGCAGCCGATGCAGCCGATGCAGCCGATGCAGCCGATGCACCCGACCATCGTGTACGATCTACCGAAGCGTGCCAGAGATTTTTATTCGTTCCGCCGTGTTCGATCTCTCGTAACCGTCGTTCTGCTTGGTTTCGTTGTCATCGAGACACCGTCGAACATTTTTATCCTAATTTTAACGCGACGTTCATAGTTTCGTCGCGTTCGTCTTCGCGTGAAAGTTGTAATAAGTACCGATCGTCCTTGCTCGAACCGAAAACATTTGTACAGAAATTTTCTTCGTAATCGACGAAACGTTCTATCAAGCATATCGATAATTAACACGTTCCGTTCGATCCTGTATGGAGTTTTCATTTGTGTGTAAAAAAATTAGCGCATTTATTTTATTTATTTATTTATTATGAAGAAAGCACTGAAAGATACAATGGTTCGTAACCTGTGGTGAAATTATCAAGGGACTACGGGTTCGCGTTTTGCAGTAGAATATCCCTTCGAGTTGCATCGCGTGCGTGTCGAACGTTGTTTCGGGAGGCAAATACATCGAAAATCGTTTCGCGAGGAGTATGCGTGTCCCTCGCATCGCACTAGGCACACCTGTATTGTATATGTACTTCCATTTTAATTGACGTTGCAAATAATCCGAACTGGGATTTTGAATCATTCTACACCGATACGAGGCAACTGTGGTTACCTTGTCGCAACGTGGTCATGGCCCCGACTGGTCGCGAGGTACCTATAGTGGTCAGGATCGTCCCCTTTACTTTTACTTCTGCGTCTATGACGCTCATCGATGTCTCCGACTGTACGATGCATACGCGTTCGCGGGACTCGAAATCGCGACTCTTTTTTTTTTTTTTTTCTTTTCTTTTCTTCTCTTCGTCGATATCGATCGATATACATATTGTATAGTATACATATCCCGTTGACTTGGATCGTTTCTCCTATTTCCGAGTACGGATCGAATCGCCAGCCGTAGAAGCGAAAATGAAAGTGTTCTGAAAAGAAAATACCGGCCGCTCGGATCCTAATTATGTAATACCTGAAATATTATTTCTTTGTCGGTCGCGCTGCGATTACGGATCGTGACTTGAAATTCGTAATATACGCGCATCGACTATCGTGACGTTGTTAACGTGGATGTCAAAATGATGTCTAATCCGTAAAATATAAATACCGATTCAAGACTTTTCTTGGTACTCGATTATAATTCTTTCATCTATCGATCTTCGTTGTTGCGAAGAATACAATTAGAAATCCTATAATGGAAATAATATTTGCGCTGTTCTGATTGTCGAGTTGACAGGGGAATAACGAGGGTAGGACGCTAATTAGGTTCGAGAGAAACCAAGCGTGCGATTTTCTTTGAAAATTACGTTCCCCGTTGAGAAATGCCGCCAAGTTCAACAGGTGTTTGGCAGGCGAGTTTAACTTGGAAATAAATGTTTAAAAAACGGTGGACGGTGAAACGATAGAAAGATCGTTCGATCGACGAGATACATCCTCACCTTTTGTTCTCATCCGATCAACAGGTTGACCGCCGAGTGGATGATCCGTGGCTTGATTGGCATCCCGATAGCACGCGGCGCGCACACACTTTTTTCGTCGAGCACCGATTCGCGGAAACTGCGTTTCATGAGCGCGCGACGGACTGCCGCGATGCTACGGAATGATTTACAGCGCATGCGTACTTCCCCACCGTTAAATCGCCACTTCTATCGTTCTTTATCCTTCCCTTGCGACCACAGACAGCATCTCTTCGCTCTTTCTTTGCTCCTTTCTTCGATACGATATTCATTTTCATCCTATTTCTCAAAGTTACTAAAAGTATGTTTTTTAAATAATTGTGGATGCCTTTCGAACATAGATCCAAAAGTAGTCCGGCCAAGTTCGTTAATTATTGCACGAAGGTACCCCCGGTCGTGTTTCCCTGGCGCAATGAGAACGGTCAAGGTAAAGATAATTCAAAATAAATGAACATTTTATATATAAATAAAGTTGTACTATTATACTGTAATGGAATATACAGGAATCAATGACCTCCTCGTTAATCGGATACAGAAATTATTTAAATTAGTAAACTAGTAATTGAATTAGTCGATCGACAAGTCCTTTCCTTGGTAGAATCGTTTAGAAACGCTGATGAAAATTCGACGGTTGCGTTGGCTGGGCAGTAGAGTAAACCATTCCGGGCGGTTGTTGGTGGGTCATCGCGTGGCTCTGGTGCTGATGAAATTCTGGAGCTCCGTGGGGGCCGTTAAGTCTTACTCGTTTCGCATTTTGTCCGTGATTATGGTCACCGTTTCCTTGCTGTTGTTGGTTTTGTTGCTGAAACATCACGACATATCCGTAAGGGAGAATCGTCGACACACGTTAACGAATATACTTACTGTTTGTTGCTGATTTTGTCGCGCTTTGTTTTCAGTCTTTTCCTCTGTATCGTCATCCGTTAAGAATTCTCTCTTAGGATAGGGAATAGGACATCCGGCAAATATGCTACGATAGAATATCCGTTAAATAAATAAACGAGTAATAGAAGAATATATGTATAAGAAGACTACGCATTAGACGAAAACGTACTCTTGCGTTGGCAGTGGTTCCTCTTGAAAATAGGCGTCCTGCATAGAATGTTCCGACGTTATTCGTTTATTAGGATCCATCATTAATAGTTTTTGAAGCTAAAATAGCCGAATTAATGTAATTGCCCAAAGAAACGGTCAAAGTAAATACAGTATTTCGTTCAATCGTACCAAATTAAATGCCTTGCTGTCGGGTTTAATTTTATGCCGATCCATGTACTTCGTTAGAGAACAATTCGCGTAACTGTGATGGAACATACACTATCCGCATTAATATCAGTATTAAACATTTTTCGAACCATTACTTCCAAACAGACACTTACTTTGATCTTTTAAAATCTTTCAATAAAGTAGGATGTTCTGGCATTTTCTTAATATCTTCCCAATCCTTTTCTAACGGAAACCCCATCACATTGAATATCCTGAACATTAATTAATTCCGACCTTTAATTATCTTCCGTTTAACTTTTATATAAAAACATAAAAATCATTACAGCCGTAACGTTTGTACCTATCCAATTGATCGTGATGATATGGATTGCTAGTTTTAATATCTTCCTGTCTACAATGAAATATTGGTTCGGACGTTAACAGTTCCGCGAATATACAACCAATAGCCCAAATATCTGAAAGATAAACACGGAACTGAAGACCACGATACCCAGGGTGGTGTAACTCTATCGTTTAACTATGGTTTTTATACCTATAGCTTTTGTGTAATGCCTAGCACCTAAAAGTAATTCCGGCGCTCTGTACCAAAAAGTTACTACAACCGGATCCAAATCAGCGAGAGGTTTCAAGGGGGCATTAAACAGTCTAGCAAAACCCATATCTGCAATTTTTACACGACCCCTTTCATTTCCTTCTCCCATTACTAAAATGTTTGCTGGTTTCTGGTGTACGATAAATATTTCCGTTAAACGTGGACGATTAATACGTATAATACCTGTACGCGATAATAATTACCAAATCCCTATGGAGCACCCAGTTGGAATGTAAATAATGAATACCATCGAGAATTTGATATAACAAAGACTTTACCATACCCTTTGGTACCATAACAGGTTTTTTATTAGCTTTTGCTGCTCTATGAAATTTTATTATGTGCTGTATATCAAAACATAGTATTATTAATTTTTTCCCATAAGACTTAACCTGTGTTTGAGAAATGTAAACATACCCACAAGTCGTGTTCTGCAAAATCAAATAGTAACCATACTTTGCGGTCATTATGCGACAAGAAAACTCTAATTAAAGTAATCACATTTACGTGTTTTAGTTCCCTAAGTAACTGTAAAAAAAGAACATATTAAGATACTTGCGTAATTCCTACATTACAAATACAAGGGTGAATACTTACTGCAATTTCACGACATGCAGACATCGAAAGGCCTGTGCCTTCGATTTGTTTCAGACCAAAATCCTTTGTGTCTGGCCTAGATTTTAATTCGCTATCCGGCACTCTGTTAACATTTTCAAACAAAAACAATTAATCCTTTCTGTAAATTACATTACTCGATAGACAGGTTGTTTCAGAAATCATGTAAATATGCGATCCGCTAGCTACTTGTCTCAAAAGAAATACAGCTGCATAAATATCCCACCGATAACTCCATGTTTCTATACAGGCTGGACAAGAATGTTTCTTAACAATGTATTGTTTTCTTCCAGCCTTTGAATTTATGGATTCTTTTTGGTCCGCAAAGCAAACAGGAGAAATAGAGAAAGCGCTATAGAGTCGCGTGGCATTATTCAATACGGTTTTCGAAATTATTCCTGCCACTTGAACGGTTAATGACTAGATTCGACTCCTTAAGTATTTATGTATGATTCTGAAACATCCCGTACACGCTACTATATTTCATATTCAACCGATATAATTACAAAGAGAGTAGCAATAATACGAGGAAAGTCTAAATCTACGGAAACATTTCGGTAAAACGTTGGAATCTAAAATTTTCCATCGATAAAAGAAAATTCATAAAACGCCTTCTAATGGAAGAGAAATACTAAAAACTAAAATGCTATGCAATCCCATGTAGGTTAGAAACACTAACCCTTCCTTCCTACGAGCTTTATAAACGTGCCCATACGTCCCTCTTCCAACTTTACATCCTTCGAATTCGAAAAGATCTTCGACCTTCGTCCGATCTTTCTGAGTTTTCATTTTAAATTCATAATCCATCATGTTTAATGTTATCGGGACAATTATCAACTATAAACAAACATCTTTAACTTGCATTCGTAAGTACAGACAAAGTGATCACCTTTCGTGCATATGCATACTATACTCCTCCTACCGCGCTCTTTGTTACGTCCGTGTACGCTCATAGATGGCAGTAATTTCGATCAGTGGTGACACCCCTGTTTGGACTCGAAAATTTCGAGAATCCGCACAAACTGTGGTCGAAGGTTTTCTTGGTTAATCTCGTGCCCTTTTCGTAATAATTTCTAACAATGTTTGCAATCAACGGTTACGCATACGATCGAAAAACCATCCCTGGTGATACACAACCCTATTTTTCTGCTCTCTCGTCGCGTACAACGTCGATCCTTCGTCTGTAATGTCAGTAGATATCTGTTTCTCCTTCTCGGGCAATTGTCTAGGGTAAAAGAGCCAATTACAACCCGTTCACTCGATACAGTTTTTCCATCGATTCGGTCACTTTCACGGAACGATAGTAACCGAAGGTTCATGCCTTTCTGTATTTTCGTCACACATTCAGCTCTGAAACGTAAGATTCTCTGTGATGTACTTATATGTATTGGCTTTTATATTCATGCTACAACATGATTCGCCAAAAACCTATCAATTATAAAAAGATCCTTAATTTTTAGTTCCATAAGAAGTCCTGAATGGTGGTACGGAGATTATACTAAAATATTCCTATGTTCGATCGGTTTAACACTAGGTTTACAATAACCGAATAACCGTGAATAACCCGCCAATTTGGTCACTGTCACTGGTGACTGGTCTGGTCTGCCATCTGGTAACACTGGTACCGTATTCCTATCCTATATGTATTGTATATTAATGCTTCCCGCTCGGTGTATACCTACAATTTATTATTGATTGGTAAAAATGTTAATAATTTAATACGCATTCGCGAATCCGTATTATCTTTGTTTGTATAAGAACGAGCCCTATTTACATATCGATATCGTAAATCAAGCACTCGTCGGTAATTACATTGTGACGAATTTATTACTTGTCATACCAACAACAATGCCTGCAACAACTGTACATAAGTTTATAACATTCGTAGGATTAATGTCGATACTACATGCGGCCTATTCAGCTGCTCAACGTACGTATCATTTTTCATTTAAAATTTTTCCCTTTATTATTCGGTACGTTTTAGGTTAAATAATATTAAATTTTATATTTGCTACATCGAACGAAATTTTGTTACAGATCGTTCATATTTACGAATAACAGAACAAGAATTTACCACTTTACCAATCGACGTAAGTATCGAACTATTGAATTTAAAATTAAATCCATGAAACGTATAATTAGTAACGAGTAATGTGCTTGTCGCAGATCTTAATACAAGGCATTGTCAGTTTATTTATGGTTATGTACGGAGTGATGTACATAGCTGGTGATTTCAAAGAAATTCGAGCCGTGGTTGACTTGGAAAATAAATCTTGGGAAACTTTGCGAAATCTTCCTTCGTTCCAAATGTTCAACCATCGTGGAAGGAGTTTATTTTCACAACATATGCAATAAAGTTTACATTTATACAGACCTAATGTTAAGGAAGATGTAATACTAATGCAATGTTTTAAAAAATAATTGCAAGAATAACATTTGACATACTTCACAAAATATTCCAATTTACAAAAGTAAGTGTACGTGTACCGATACGACCAATTACAGTTTAATTTGAACATTAGCCGTTATTGAAATCTATAGTAATACAAAAAGATAAATATCCACAAAGTAGTTTGAATTTTAAATCATTTATTTAAAAATATACGTAAATGTACATATACTTTCTATGGACACGGCAGTAAAGTATAAATAAAAGGAATTTGACAATTTTATTTATTATCTTTACCTATACGTTGTATATTTATTTTATACGAAACATTAATAAATGAATAATAAAAGTGCAACTCGATACAAACACATCACTTTTTCTGCTTCTTCTTTTCAGCTTCTGCTTCTTTCTCTTTCTCAATTTCTGTGACATATTCTTCGACGGTATCTGCATCTAGCATCTGTAATGCAAAAGAGTTAGAAAACGAATCGCTTAACAATATATCAAGTATGAAATATATAGGCGAAATTTATACCTGTAGAGGCTGACCGCGTCGCATTACCGCGATTTCTAAATTTTTTTGCCCAGACTGCACTACTTCCAGTAAAGCTTTAATAGCCAATTTTATAGTACCCTTTTCTGTGGCCACTTCATCCACGGTGTAATGTTTTTGTAAAAATTCATGTACCGTTTTGGCGCTTCTACCTGTCGCGTTTGCCTTTAAAATAAGAGACACGTTACATTTCTATCCGTTTAACATTAGTAATTTACAAGTATTACACATGAAATATACCTTCCATTCATAGTAAATGCCAGATGGTTCTGTTTGATACAAATGTGGAATCCCGTCGTAATCAAACCCAGCTATAAGACACGATATTCCAAAGGGTCTTCTACCATTACTTTGAGTATATTTTTGTTTTAAACCTGGAAATAATTTATATATCAACTATGCGATCGTACTTGTGAATTATCTATAACCTCTTACCTGCAATATACCTAGTTATATATTCCAATGTAACAGGGTCCTCTACGGTTAATCTGTGGCTTTGACATTCAACTTGTGCTTGATTTATTAGAACTCTGGCATCTGCAGTCAAACCTTTAAAAAAGAAATATTACTTGTTAACGTACAAGTAAACTTCTAGATCATTAGGTAGTGTAATTGGTATGAAAAGAATTGTTTAAAACCATACCAGCAAACGCCATTACAACATGCTCATCTAGAAGACATATTTTGCGAACAGTGCGTTCTTCTTGTAATTTTGCAATAGATTTCTTTTCAACTCCTAAAACAACTACATCGTTACCGCGCACGCCAACCTAAAATATAGTAAAATCCATAATGTTTTTCAATTTGTAAATGTCATTTAAATTCCAAGTATCGTAGATCGGACTCGATAAAACGAAACGAAGAAAGAGAAAAGACAGAATCGATAATAGAATACTGAACACTATTGAATTCTTTAGAGAGAAAACAGTATTTAACTCAAGAAGCACAGAAAGCGTTGTAGAAAATTCACCGCAAAAGCGATGGAGGTTATACTAAATTCCCTCACATACCGCTGTAGATCCTTTCCTTACAGCTTCTTGAGCATATTCCACCTGGAGCAAATGCCCATCCGGTGAAAATACCGTTATAGCTCTGTCGTACCTCGTTGTCATTGTTTTAACTTTCTAAAAAGGATATTGAAATTATTTAATGCACAAAATGACTTGACCGTTTTTCAAAGCGATTGCTACTCACTGCGGGGTTTGATTCTAGTTTTTGCCGATAGAGGGTAACTTGACTCCGTACGACGCGTTACCTGCATCAATGTTTTTTAATTGTTAATTTTTACTGTAGAAAATTTGGTAAGTTGCTTTCACTCTCGAATTAGAATGTTGTAAATCGGTGTGTTGAAGATACGTTGTACAGGAATACTCGGGCACAGTTAGATCTAATTGTAACTGTACTCTATTTTTGTCGAGAACAGGTTCCAACACGTTCGCGGGATTATTAACACTCGAGTAAAAGGTACGGTTTGGTAGAAATAGTTTTAACTCGTTTACATTCTATCGAAATATGAGAATCAAAATATCATTATCAAATTTCTCTTTTTAAGTACACAAGTATTTCAAAAGGTAGTAGAAACTTAATATTTCAGTGATTAGGTCTGGGGTAGGTAAATGGGCTAAACCGGCAATAGGGACGTTCTCGATACTTGTTCAAACAAGTTAAAAAACAATTTAGCATTTTCTAATATAGATTATTTTTCAGATTATGAGTGAACCTCGGACGTCACCATCTTGATCACCATCGATCCCCTCAAGAATTCGTACAAGATCGATAAACTTCGAAACGTAAGACGTATAAGCATGTTTTCACTGAAATTTTTATTCGTAAAAGACCCCTTATTACCCCCACTCTTTACTAAATTTTTTCTAATGTTATATGAATTTTGCCTCGATCCGTCCATCTTCTCGCGCGCTAAACTGTCTTCGATTTGCATAGATTCGTAGTAAAATAATTTCTTTTATGTCGAAGTACGTGATCTTTAGATAACAGTTGGAAATTCCTTATCACGACGACGCACATATTTATCGTCGATTTTATAAAACGTAGCACGATCAACCGTCTGCGAATTATGTGCTTTACAAACACAGTAATATGTATGTAAGTACAATGTATGTATATGTATATTTCAGAGATAGTACATTAATAAAAAAAAAAAAATAAACTGGAATTAAATAATAAAAAGAAGAAGAATCGTCGCGACATCGATGGAAATGTTGAATCGTTTGGAGGAACGTGAAAAAATAATGTGGCAGGGATTAGCGTGCCAATTAACGGAGCGGCGAAAAAAACAACGATAATGGTAATTTGCAAAGGATCGAAGGAATCGGGGGTCTTTAATATTATCGAATAAAAGAGAGTAGTGGGGATGAATAGGTGGAATCTGTTTTGTAACTAGTATAAGAGGCAACGATCGGCTTGGTGAAACGTTTAGTCAAGGTTGAGCGCTCTCCTGTGCCGCGTTTGCTCTCTCAACATGATCGGGTTGGTAAAGACCTTGTACTTTATACATATGTATCAGTTATCGTTCCATCGACTAATTTACCATTACTCAATTTTAACCAGTCTCGTTTCTATCGATCGTACAATTTGATTTATATAAAAGTGCAATAAACACGGTTTCTGTGCACAAGTTGTGTTCGCTGTTGTAACAAACTAAACGTTTACCAACGCAAAGGTGTGATGTTAAATAATAATTCTTGAAGACGGTTTCTCCGAACCAGTGTGCGCGACGCATTTTTGTTGCACGGTTACTTAATCGTAATCCGTCAAGTGTTGTTTCGCCAAGACGTTCCCAGTACATTTCGGCATACCGTAATGCCTGCATAATTCCGAGTTAATCGACGGTTATTATATGAAAATTGCTTCTCACCCGAGACGCGATCTGTTATCTATAAAACTTGATGCGTCGTTCCATACGAGCCTTACGCGCTTAATTTCAATCGGAAAATCGCTAGAGCGAGCGTGTTCGCGTTTTAATAAGACACTTTGAGCTAGCATCAGCGTTAGATCGCGTTAGAAACGCCGCGCCCCGCCGCGCCCCGCCGTAGCGTAATCATTTTATTTTAGTTTTCCGGGTGTCATCAAAAGTGCATCGTTATGAAACAATTCGTTTCCTGTATTCCTTTACACGCGTATCGATACGAATGTTATTCGATTGTTTACGAGCTGTCCGATAATAAGCGTTAAAATCGATAAAAATAAGTCTTTCTTTAGCGTTTCTCGCAAACAAATATCACAGATTTCATTTTACGTTTATTGAACATTTCTCGATAGTTTACAAGTAGTTGTCGTCGTTGATAAATATCTCGTGATTTGTGGCTTCGAATTCCATTTTCTTAGACGTAACCGGTGAGTTTATACAAGTGATAATTGAGCAAATAGATTCGTCGAGTCGATTGTTTATACGCGAACCGTAGAGTTGCGCGTCGAAAGAGAACGAAAACGCAGAGTAATTCGTGTACGCGAAGGTTATAGAAAATAATTTCCATACAGCGCAATAAAGATAAAGAAAACGTGCCATGATTTGTCTTTTTTTTTTAAATACTAATCGTCGACCGGAACCGTCTAAAATATTCGTTTAAAGTCACCGTGCATTTCTCTTCGAGCGATAAATTTCCTGTGAAATGAATTATATTTAATGTAACTAAACTAGCTTTCCTTTCACGCAGACTAAACAAGAAGAAGGTTTTAATCGGTGGGGTGAGCATCGTTATTATCGTAGCCGTGGTCATCGCGGTAGTGATCGTTCTCCTCGTTAAAAACCCAGAAAATGACAATGTTCGGGCCAAAGAAAATTACGGCGAGTACACAATGGTAAAATACAACATAGATAATCGTTGATGTTCCGCAATTGTTGAATGTATCTGATGGCAACACTTTCGCTACCACCGCTCTAAACATTCTGGCCAATATATGTAAGTACGTACTTATGTATGTAGATATATTTATTGAGAATTACAATTGATCGGTGAATATTTTTAACGCGACAGTGTGTGTTCGATAGCGTGTATACCTCGTTTGTTTGAAGCCGTTGGCCTGTCACGAATACGCGACACGTGGTAGCGAACGTGTTAATTTAAAAAACGTTACTCGACCGTTGTACGTCAATTACGATGAAAGTTTTTTATTATTCGCGTACGTTGTTCGATGGTACGGTGCTCCAGTCCTAAATTCGAAAGATGATTTCACACATTTCCAAGTACGAAAAGACACGCGCCAGGTGTAACCTGAAACGGGTTTGCCAGCACGCAAAGTTCCATCGGCGTCGTGTAACAGTTGGATAACGTTCTTTATTAGTTTTGTCGGAGGAAGAATGTCAATGATTGTATTTATCGGTGTGTTTGCAAGGGTGCTGTGTCGACGAACGGGCAAGAATGCGCGCAGATCGGCGCCGACATACTCAAGAAGGACGGCTCCGCCGTGGACGCCGCCATAGCTGCGCTTCTTTGCGAGGGAGTCGCTTCTTTGCACAGGTAAACACAGCCCTCCCCCTAATTACCAGGGCCCAGGTCGCGGTACCTTAATCACGAGATTGTTCCTTATCGTATCGTAGCATGGGATTAGGAGGTGGATTCTTAATGACGATTTGGAACGCTCGAACCAAGACTGCGGATTATCTGGACGCCCGCGAAACGGCTCCGTCAGGGGCGCACGAGAATATGTTTCAAGGCGATCTTAGCTTGTCGATGTATGGTAGGTAGTTGACCTTGTTACTAATATCGGCATGCAAGCATCGTGCAATAGCTATGACACACGGAACATATCAATGCTGGGTCCTATCGTGGGTTGATCTTAAAAACTTACATGAAAACGGTTAATTGATTTAGCAAAAATTCTTTGATAAAAGATAGGTTTAGCGTGAATCGATATCAACGGTCCTACGAAAGATAAAGAAAAGAGAGGGGGAGGCATTTTGTTTATCTTTACTCGGTATACATATACATAGTTTACCTGGTTTTCATTCTCGATATAACGAGGAATAATTATGTTCTCACTTTCACGAGCCATTGCAAGAGATAAAGAAACATCGCATCGATCATCTTGGTCGAATAAGCAAACAAATTAGCGTATCGCGAGTCTTTCTTTCGGAAATCTTCGTTATCGATAAAGTCAATAATAGAAAAGTCCAACAAGGAATTCTTTAGATCGAAATAAAGATACTTGAATTAAAATATAAAGATATTTGAGAATTCAGGAACATAAATCTTTTATCAGTTTGAGGCTTGATAGACTCTGCTTTACACGGAACGCCATTAATCGTTCGTATAATCCGTTAAACCGATCTCGTATCAAGAGACTATCCAGTATTATGAATTATTTAATGAACGGCTTTCGTTTCCGATTCGTACGATTTTATATCGGTCGTGTTTTGTCGAAGGTGGTCTGTCGATAGCGGTGCCGGGCGAGCTCTATGGCTACATGGAAGCCCATAAAAAATACGGGAAACTGCCGTGGTCCATGTTGTTCGAACCAACCATTTCTCTGTGCGTCACTGGATCGCTCGTGAACGATTACCTGGCCGGATATTTGGCTCGCAAAGAGTCGCTTATAAAAGCGGAGAGCTCGTTGGCGGAGATACTCATTGACCCAGCCACCAACTCCACATGGAAGGTGAAACACTCTTTGTATACATATGTATACAGTGAATCTACCCTTTTGTTGCGATATGCGTCGATCGATATTTAACGTTTAATTACCGTTAGGTAGGTGACAGGATAAAACGACCACGCCTGGCGGAAACGTTGAAACTGATCGCGAAACACGGATCGGACATATTTTACAACGGCACCCTAGGCGACGTTCTGGTCGAAGAGATCAGGGCGATGAAAGGCATCATCACCAAGCAAGATCTACAAAATTACAGGTTCATTTACCCGCTTAAAACGTTGAATTGCTTTTAGATTCCAACATGGTCAACCTCGACTCCCATAGAGCGTATCTTCTTCATTCGTCACCAGGCTAATCGGGAAGCGTTCGTAGAAAACAATGTTGGAAAATTATATTTTTCTTCTGAAAATATTCCATGTTACGACAGAAATATGGTAGACGTAAACCATATTAGAGTACCACGAATAAAAAAATTACATTGTTTATTACAAAAACTTGTGAATGTTCTTTAGAAAAAAATTACTTACCCTGTATATTTGTAATTGTAGAGCAAAATGGAGGAAACCGATCGAATCGAAGATCGGAAACTTGACGATGTACACCGCTCCGCCACCGGGTTCAGGGGCGATTCTCAGTTTCATAATGAACGTTCTGAACGGATTGGTGCCCGTCAGCGACGAGGGTGTCATGTGGCAGCGATTCGTCGAGACGTTCAAATGGGCGTACGCCAGAAGAACCGAATTAGCCGATCCTGATTACGACCCGAACGGCAATATCGGTGAGTCGAAGATTTCCGTTATTGCGTAGTCATCAGCGGACCGTACATAAAGGGAAATAAAAAATAATTGATCGTGATCAATCACTTATGATAGATCAGAAACAATGACTTTGTAATCTTGCGTAACAAAGTCCTTCCTTAGATAAAAGTGGCTGATAAACGTACGTTTTAAGCGAACGCGATTGTCGCAAAGTTAATAGAACTTGAAGGAAATACATACATACATACATACATACATACATACATATTCTACTTTGTGATGAATGGTCGCCGCCACTCGAAGATTACAAACGGGTGGGTAAACTGTATCCGTCGAATGGCAGGCACTTGAGTGCTTCGCGTGCTTCGCGTGCTTCGCGTGCTTCGCGCTGATTCTGTTCAACTCTTCTTTCTTTTTTTTTTTCTATTAAAGGCGTTAATGACTGTTACGAGTATAGTTCAGTGGCGTCAATTGTCGCGACGCGGTAAGGAAAACTAGCAACGTTCAAGTTAGTTACATTCAATGCACCGTGAAACCAATGTGCAGTCATTTATTCGTAACGTTGAAACGTTCTATGACTGTTTTTTTCACCGATTCTAATTAATAACGTTCAACGGTACAATGATGCGTGCTTAAAAAATAAGTAATTAAATTTTTATTTAACATTTTTGGCCCCTACAAGACCGAATTCTAACTACGCCGTTGGCCCGTTACGAATAATAATCTTTTCGTAGAGGCATTAGTAGCGAACTTGACGTCCATCGACTACGCGGATGCGATCCGAATGAAGATAAAAGATGATAGGACGAACAACGATCCGATGTATTATGGCGCCGTTATGTCCACGCCAGAGGATTCTGGGACGTCCCACGTTTCTGTACTGGCACCCGATGGATCAGCTGTATCAGTGACTTCGACCATAAATCAAGTGTAAGCCAGTTTATGTAGATAAACGCTAGAGGATTAATGTCTCCTGATGTCGTACTTTTACTCGACCAGTTTCGGCGCGATGAAGCGTTCCAAATGGACGGGGATAATATTCAACGACGAGATGGACGATTTTAGTTCCCCGAATATAACAAATGGATTCGATCTGCCTCCCTCGCCGGCAAATTTCATTCGTCCCGGGAAAAGACCTCTGAGCTCTATGAGCCCGACGATAGTAGTAAGTTGAACTAACGATACTATCTCGTTGCTTGCTTTTATTTTAGAAATTACTCATAGTAAAAGTCAAAACTCCATTGTTTGAGCAAACAAATTAACTAAATTATTTGGTATAACGGTAGAAAGTAACAATCGTTATTATATGATATAATTAAATTAGTCCCCCTTAGTTAGAATTTGAATATGTCCGCTTCGTTGTTTGCTTTAGCGAGTATGCGTTTTCTGAAATATTGTATCTAATTGTCCGAATGGTTCCGAGAAACGATGCGAGATCATTTCGAGTCGTTGACGTTGCGTAATCGTATACAATGTCGGTCGAGTGAAATTGTACGTGTAAAAGCGAATGCATCGACGCTCTGGGCATGCAATACCAGCGAGACTTTTTATTTTGTTTCTAAAGGTAGATGAAAGGAGGAATGTCCGTTTGATAATTGGGGCCGCAGGCGGCAGTAAAATCACGTCCGGAGTTGCGATCGGAATGGTATTGAACCTTTGGTCGGGATACAATATAAAAGAAGCGATCGAGACGCTTAGAATTCACCATCAGGTGAGTTACAATTCTATCGAGGATCGACGGATGTTGCACGATCCGCGATAATTAACAACGATGATTCGAAATTGCAGCTAATGCCAATGGAGGTACAAAACGAGAAAGGATTTTCTCCGAGCGTGTTGAGCTATTTATCGAGTATCGGCCATAACGTCGCTACATTTTCGGGCATCGGTAGCGCCATCACGGCTGTGACGAACGAAAACGGCAAAATATTTGCCATTTCTGACCCCCGCAGACAAGGAAAAACCGCTGGCTTTTAAACAATTATCTACGGTCTATGTTTCTTATCCGCTAATAGACAAAACGTGTTAATTGACAATGAGTCGGAACAGGTGACGTGTAAACGTTTTCATACTCAAATCCGGTGTACACGAGATATAAATTAAACCAACAACGTTCGATAAAGGATCATCGACAAACGAGCCGGTACAATTCTAAATACCTCGTTACAAATTACGTAGTTACCTTTATACGCCTGCCAAAGCAGTTTCTTACAAAAGTATTAGTAGCATAGGCAGATATACAGTAGATGCACAGAGGAAGCTCTAACGATCAAACTGAGAATCGATGTACAAAAAATACAACAAAAAGAACTTCGAGACGAATCTAAAACGTTCGCTGAACAGCGACCAAAAGTCATAGCTTGAATTTCTATACAAGCCTGCAAATAAAAATTTCTGGTATATTTACAGTATTTTCAAAAGATGAACCTACTATTTATTTATACACTACTTTAACTATAGTATTAAGTTCGATCGTTGTATCTAGTAAAAGATCATCTGTACCTAATATTTTATTAAATCTCTCGAAGAAAGCAAACGCTGAATTATAGAAAAATAATTTATTTAACACTTTGTACATGTGCATTCAGTCTGACTGAACGAGGGTTGATGTTGGTTAAATTCATTAATATATTTCACTAGGATTTATAATACGCGTGCTTGTTAGCTAGTAACTTGCTCTACATTACGATACACAATTACGAACTACTGTCGCTTTCCGAAAGGCCAGCCTCTTTTTTTACTTTCCTTATGCAACGTTTCACTTTTTTCGTTTTGTTCAATCCTTGTTTCGATTTTCGAAAAACTTCGATCGCATTTAATTTCTTCTTCAAAGCGGCTGCTTTATCCTTTTCTCTTTGCGGTATAATTTCTTGGACGTATTTATCGCTAGTGACAGTGACATTTATAACATCAGACTTGGGACTATCCGCTAGATTTGATTTGCTTATCGATTCCGTCTTCTTCTTCTTCTTCTTCCTCCGACTTTTAGTAGCAGGTTTGTATTTCATTTTCTTAATTTCTCGTTCCATGCTATCTGTATTTTCGGACTCTTCCTCTGCATTCGGATTCTTCAATTTTTCCACAGCTTTTTGTATTCGTTTGCTCAAATTCACTTGGATCGATTTTGGGACGGTCTGCGCTTTAAAATACGCGGATATCAATTTCTGACTCTCTTTCTCCTCCAGTCTTTTCAATAGAGGCGACATAATTTTCTCGAATTTCTCTTTGGTCCAGCCAAATTTTCTTTTCGTGTAATCTGACAAAACTACCGTGTTGAGTTTGCCCCACGTGAAACCCTCTCTCGATTCGTCCACCGCAGGAAAAAGATATGCTTGTACGACGGCTTGGCTTGGGAATCCTGTGTACGAAATAACGAATTAATTTTAGAGAGCAAAGATGAAAATAACACTCTTAATTTCCCATACCTTTATGAATTTCTATATTTTGCAATTTATTCCGTAGACTAGCTTTTCCGGGACCCGCGACTCTACCACGAGCCATCCACGAACAAAACTTTGTTAAACTTTGCAATAAATCATCTCCTTCCGATGGGAATGCTGCTAGTATTTCTAATGCGGTGACAGGTCCGATTCCGGTTAAACCTGCCGTATAATCGCTACCAACTAAAAGTGCTAGTCGTATCATTTCGTTTCGCGTTAATTCTGAAAAATAATATTATTCTTTACTTAAATATTTCCAATGCTTTTATCGTTCGATGAGAAATGCATCATAATTGATATTACTGAAATGATGCTCGATGTCGCTGTAACAATACTGTAACACTTTCTTATTGTTATTGAAAAAATTTTTGTAAACGCATTGCCCTCCAAAGAGCCAAATATCCGAATCGTCTGTAATTGTACCATCGGTCAGGTGAATTTGTTCTAAGAATGCGCATTGCGCTTCCGCTTCCATAGGTGCCACGATATATGGTATACCAAATAATCGTAACAGTTCCTGTTGATAAACGGTTGCTTTTACATTTTCTTAAAAGATGGTGTTATTCTGTCGGTTATTTATTATCGTTATACCTGTGTTTCGATACGTATTTGCTGCGAAATATCAGTACCTTGTCTATCTAATTTACCAATGTTTGCCGTTAATTCTGTTTGCTCGTTCTCTAATCGCGTCTGAAGGAAAAATATATTAGAAACATTTTACTTGACTCTTATTTATACTTAAAAATGACGAATCTAAATTAATATATGCGTACTTTCATAGATAACAATTCGTTCTCGTCCATGGGTAGGGGACTTATTTTCCTCGATTCATTGGCAGACATACCTACACTCGCATCATCTTGTATATTTGTAATCTCTGCGCTATTTGTTTCAACATTAGTTGTACATTCTATGCTGTTCGCTACTGTCGTTTCATTTTCTTCCAATTGTATATTCTTATCTTCGCTAGCGACATCATTTTCTATAGACTCAATTTCAATATCATTGCTATTCATTGTGTCGGGTAATTGTTCATCTTCAATTTCATCTGTTGATATTTGTGCAACTTGTTCCTCTAGGATAACTTTATCTTCTAATGTTCGTTGACGATCGGAAATGCAATTTACTGATTTATCAGGTAATTGATCAGAGAATGATGCCTTCGGAAACTTTACTTCAGAATTTAATTCGCTGTTTGGAGTTCGAAACACGTCGGCAAATATATCATCTTCCATTTTCTGATCAGACCTAAACGTTATTTGGATACCTTGATTCGAATTCTTTTTATTATCATAGATATCCACGTTTGGTATCGGTACGTCTTCTATTTCCACAAAATCATCGGAATCCGAATCGGAATCCGAATCCGAATCCGCCGAACTAATTACCGTTGTTTCTATCGATTTATCTTGTTGGTTGTTCGAAGCATTTGAAACCACGTCGGGCGTCCACGACGACACGTTCATATTCGATTCTGTGTTTGATTCGGATAATTCAGTCTGTGGCGTAGAAAACGATTCCGTCGATTCTGCAGAATCTGCAAATTCTTTATCATCTTTGGATGCCGAAATTATTTGTCGCGTATGCGATACATTCGCATCTTTGTTTTCGCAGTCTTGTATTTTAAGAGAATCAGATTGTTGCGATTCCGTCGGGAACCGGATGCATTCGATACGTTTACGATCGTTCCTTTTATTTTGTTCAAGAAGCGTAAGAATTTGTTTTTCCGTCAATCCGCTGTATTCCAGCATATATAATAATGCAGGATTAAATGTATTTTTTCCGAAATACTTTTTCGACAGAGGTCGTGATTCGTTCAATTCTATTTCCGATTCAGAATCGCTACTCATTTCTTCTATCGTTAACTTTGAATTATTCGTATTGGTTATTTCGAAATCATCACTGTCCGATTGATCATCGAAATCATATTCGTTTATATCTTCGCAAATTGGTACAGGTTTGCTAGTACCAGGTACAGGTTCTTCCATCTCGTCTGCATTATTGGCGGGAGCATTTTCATTGTCATCGTTGCTATTATTGCTCTTCATATACGAATTTTTATCGCTAATATAAATTAATCTAGTTGAACTGTCGGCGGCAACGCGATACGTGCAATTCCGATCACTGGTATTTATACCCTGTTCAATCAATAATTTATTTAATTCGTCCAACGTGAGTGTTTTTCCTCCCATTTCTTTTTCCGCGGCTTCTAAATTCGTTTGAACCAATCTACGTTTCAATAAACGTTTCATTTGGAATCCAGAGAATTCATGCGTTTCCTCGGGCATTTCATGCAAACGGCCCCACGAGCTTTGCTTCCTCGTTTCTTTCAAGTCGGTGAGAATTTCATAACGAACATCGGCCGGTAGGGCTTTAAATTCACTACCAGTCACATCTACATTGTGAATATTTCCAGCCCATTTTGTTTGCTTCCGTGGACTCGAGCAAACAGACGAATCGGAATCATAATCGTCGCTATAATTTGATTCCGTTTTGCTCGCGCTCGGCAAGTTTGGTAATTTAAACATATCGTCCCTGTCCTGCTTATTTTGCAAATTTAATGCTTTCTCGGGAGAATTTTTTTTAACATTTTCTTCGTCTCTATTAAGAACCGTTTTTACTACAGAATGCTTTATCAAGTTATTTACTAATTCTATCCTCATCTGTTGGGCTTTATTCTTGGCAATAGATTTCAGCTTCCTGCGCAAGGCCTGTGAATACAAAAGAATAAGAGCCTCTTTTCTCACTACCTGGTTCCCACAGCAAACTAATTATGTACAGACAATGTTATAGTCGAGATAAAAGTACAGTTTCATGAATACACACATATACAATATACTTGGTATTATTTCAGACACACGATAGTTGCTGTTTAGAAAGTTAAATCGAATTCATTAATTGCCATTACAATGAAACATTATTTTCATATCTGTTATTCCCTGAGAAATCTACAATACAAATCTCTAAATTATAGAATACATTATTTTTAAATATACATATTTATATTTACAATTGTATCCTTTTTAAGCATCGGTACACCCCCGTCGAAAACAAAAACTGGTTTGATCTTATAATGCAAAAGCTTGCATATTCTAAAGAATAGTCCAATAAGATGTGCATTAGGCTTAGGGTTGCCAAAGCGGTCTTGATATCCTTGTAATATCTGATGTATCCAAATGGATATATCTATAAAATTTTATAATCTTGTCATTTTCAACAGAAGCAAGTATTTGTATAATTAGAATTATTTAAATTTACCTATAGCCAGGACCTTTCCTTCCAGTGTATGCAAAGGAACTTCCTTTCCTGTTGCATCAAGTAAACGCCAAAGCCCATAAACACCCATTGTGTATGTCAAGAAGCCTACAAAACAAACATTACGTTCCATACAAATAAATATATACGATGTGCAATATACTGTGTATATTATATTTACGATTTAATTGCAACTATACAATTGATCGCGATATTTGTTTTCGATTATTCATAACCTAAATAACAAGTAGATGCTTAAATATGAAATATTTATTGCATTTAAAGCTAATTGTATTCTTTACTAGTGTATTCTTTACATATGTATTAATGTCACGAGTCCTTGGATTTTTTATTTTACAGAGTATTAACGTGTAAGTACTTACTCGGGCTTGCAAACACAACGACTTGCACATATCGACATCGCACCGTACCGGTCAGCTGATTACTGAAACAATACACTTGCACACGTTACACGCGCTTAAAGAGTAAGACCTTACACATTTCCATTATTCGTAGAATACGGCAACATTTTTAAAGATAATACAACTCGGACATTTCGTACGAGGTTGCTGGTCGAAGAAAGTAATAATCTGGTCGAGTAAAATACATATATTTAGAAGAATACGTTACAATCACGTGAATTTCCATTTTGCTTCACTGGGTGTTTTATCGAAATCGTTTTTAGAAAATAACACATTTAAAACTTCTATCTTAACGCATACGGCTACGTTTTCGAACAATCTTGTCTTTGAATACTATCTTTGCTTTAGTAAGTACTACGGTAAAGCTTACATAAATTGCGTACGTAATGAAAAACTATAGCAATATAAAAATGTTGAATAAAGAAGTTTCTTCTATTCAACTCCGAGTACTACTTATGTTGCAGTAAGAACGATATATGGGAAGTACATGTAATTTTTTTAAAGAATTTCTCCACAAAATACAACGAGACAATGTACAAAATATGTACGTGATACAGAGGGGACGAAAAAACTTGATAAAACATAGATTTTAAAAGTATAATTTTTATTGCTACATTTAAATCAGATTCTCGGTTAGTATTAGGTAAACAATAAGTGCATAGAACGCGTTAGTTTGCTTATCCACGCGCATTCGTCCTATATTACGCAGTATCAGCCTCTTGGTCATCGTGTGACTCTTATACAAATACGTAACGTAATACGTGAATGTGCTTGTGTGTTTCCTCGTGTATTCCATGCGCGTACACACACTCGCAGTCATGATGTATATATCGTATCGTCATCATCAGAGAAGTGAAGTGAGGTAGAGGCCACCCACTCTTTCCCACAGCAGGTTTTTCCCACGCCCCCCAGGGTAACCCCAACATCCTTTTGCGGCAGCAATTCCACGGCACCTACGGGGCGGAGGGGAGTAGCTCACGTCAGGTGGGGAACAAGAGGGGAAACTGGAGGCGCTTGGGTCGACCAGGCCATTGTACAACAGTAAAACAATAGAATCTGCAGCTCAGTGACGTAACGAAACATCGAAACCCCTGGGTAGCTATCGACGAACTTTGAATTAAATTGTCCAAGGAATGGAGATTGTCGTTGAAACTTCCCAGATACATTACAAGTCGAACGATTATTTTCTCTTCCAGAAATTCAAGTTACAATTTTGCGAAAAATTCGAAGCGATTCGATCGAGAAAACTACATTCGAGCGTTTAATCTTTCCTTTGAACTGTTTCCATTTTATTTTAGTAGCTCGAACGCAATTACTTGGTCGTGTGTTTATTGTACGCGACGAGAAAGGAGAATTAAAAATAGTTGAGCGAATCGAGAAATTCAGTTCGATCTCAAGGACCGTGCTACCCTCCGTTGGTACGTTCCTGGTACAGCCACTTACGCGGTAGTAATAACTCTACGTTGTCGTTTCGAACTTAGTTACTCGGCGAATATCGTCGGAGAAGGTTGTGTAATTTTTGGTCAGCTCGACGAACCGAGTGTTTGCGATTCGCAGTCGGCTCGACGATCATCTAAATCATGGTTTCGAAATATAAAAGTAACGTATCGTATTTTCGACTGTAATTATAACAGTTTCATTCGGTGGTTCGAAACGTAGTACATATTTGCATCTTGGATTTAAAGTGCCGCGCGCGGCGAGAGAAGTTTGCGAGGGTTGGCAAGACTGTTCGGAAAATTCGGAAAGTGAACAGGTGTTTTTTGAATGGATTAGGGAGAATAAGCGACGAGGACGCAAAGGGATTTGCGAATAGTGAAAGATCGACGAACAACACGATATCTGTGATTAAACGACAATTTAGAAAATGCATTGGGATTTATGTTTGGATTTCAGCTGTTATAGAAAATGAGGTGAGTGTTAAGAACGTAACCTGTTTCTGTTCGGCGTAACCTTTTTCCTGCGCCGAAAAGGTAAATAAACGACTGTTAGTATTTTAATAATCGTTCGAGGGGTAGATTAAATAACTTTTTTATTTGCAAAACATTCTTGGACTATTTATTGTGGTGGAAGATACACAGAGAAGAAGTATAATATTTCATTTCTGTTATCATAATGACTATATAACTTGTTCAAACATTTCACTTTTAGCAGACAAAATTTTTTTGCTCTCGTGTTTTATTTGCTCTTGTGTTCGTTATAATTGATAGTATGCGATAGTATGCGTAATAGTAATCATGTACACATGAAATTTCTAAAATTTAAATTGATTTACTATTTACGTATTAAGCATTTTTGCATTTCAGCAATTGTAATATACATCCAATTCCGCTATATCGATTTTACTTGGAATAAACATATTCGTGCATCTATTTTTAGTGCATTTAATTAAGCGTTACTAGCATATGTATGCAACTGTTGTCAGACAATTGGCATAGCGAGCGTTACCAGGAAATATGAGTCTCTCTTTTCCGTAGAATATCATGCTCGTACGTGTTTTACTATTATTTTGTAAAATATATATAGGTGTTATGCGAGCTTTTTTTTTTAACAATAGTCATTTTGTTTATCACGTACGACGATAGGCGCGATAAAAATGATTCTAAAAATAAAAATTGTTGGAACAAAGTATAGAAAATACTATAAAATTAGTAGACTGACTTTATGCTTAGAAATACACAGGCACGGTTGTATAGACACAATGAACGAGGGTGATTTAATTCATGCAGGAAAAATGAGCTCAGCTAGGTTCCCACAGTATATATGCGTGTTTCCTCTTTCCTGTACTAAGACTAGCAATTCTTGGTAGCTCGTTTAAAGAAAGATACCTTAAGTTAATTACATCTTGTATCGTGAAAAACAAAAATCTTTCTCACGCTAAAGCTTTAAGCGAGCAAAGACTCGTGTACGTTTCTCTATCTATTCAAACGCGTGTAAATAATAACAAGGTACTGTTTGGTATTATACTACACAACGTTACGACGTATTCTTCAAATTACACTTGACTTTCTAGAACAAATTGAGGGTTTTGCTACCGTGTTTCTTCTCAATTCGATTTAACAACTTGTCCTTCCGATATAACAATGGTGGCTCTTCTCTTAGCTTTTCTTTTTTATGTAACGTTTTTTTTTTTGTTCATAAATAATTCGTCGATTATGCAACCAGATTCCGGCAGAAGGGAACTCTGCGGTATCGTAATTGTCTACAACTGAATTTATTTCAGGTAAAGCTGCAGAGGCAATTATGACATGCACGGATGACAAGGATAGTACGCAGCCGACCTAGCGATTCTGTGGTACCGTAAAGCGAGTAGAAGAAGGAAGTTAAATATGCCACACCAGTTTGGGTTGCCTACGATGGCGCATGGAATGCAATCACCTCCTTCCCCAACTTCGGTCATGTCGGTTTATCCTCGGTTTGGATCCGGTGTCTACAGACCCGACCATCAAGATCAAAGGTTGACGCGGGAAGCAATGGAGCGTTACTTGCGCGACAGAAGCGACATGGTAATCGTGATCCTTCACGCGAAGGTCGCGCAGAAGTCGTACGGCAACGAGAAACGGTTCTTCTGTCCTCCGCCGTGTATTTATTTGTTCGGCGACGGTTGGAGGATGCGGCAAGAACAGATGCTTCGCGAGGGAGAGAGCGAGCAATCGGCGCAGCTCTGCGCGTTCATCGGGATCGGTAACTCGGACCAGGACATGCAACAGCTGGACCTGAACAACGGGAAACAGTATTGCGCGGCGAAGACGTTGTACATATCCGACTCGGACAAACGGAAACACTTTATGCTCTCGGTGAAGATGTTTTACGGTAGCGGTCACGATATAGGCGTGTTTCACAGCAAAAGGATCAAAGTGATCTCGAAACCGTCGAAGAAGAAGCAGTCGTTGAAAAACGCCGATCTCTGTATAGCGAGCGGCACGAAGGTGGCGCTGTTCAATCGGTTGCGATCGCAGACGGTGAGCACGCGTTACCTTCACGTGGAGAACGGAAACTTCCACGCGAGTTCCACGCAATGGGGCGCGTTCACGATACACCTGCTGGACGACAACGAGAGCGAGTCGGAGGAGTTTCAAGTGCGGGACGGTTACGTGCATTACGGCAGTACGGTGAAATTGGTATGCTCCGTAACGGGAATGGCGTTGCCGCGGTTAGTAATCCGTAAGGTGGACAAGCAGATGGCCAGTCTGGAGGCCGACGATCCCGTTTCGCAGCTGCACAAATGCGCCTTCTACATGAAGGACACGGATCACATGTACCTCTGTCTGTCCCAAGAACGCATAATACAATTCCAGGCCACGCCGTGCCCGAAGGAGGCGAACAAAGAGATGATAAACGACGGTGCTTGCTGGACGATAATCAGCACCGACAAGGCCGAGTATCAGTTCTTCGAGGGCATGGGACCGGTCAGGTCGCCGGTCACGCCCGTGCCCCTCGTTCACAGCTTGCACTTGAACGGCGGCGGCGACGTGGCCATGCTGGAACTCACCGGCGACAATTTCACGCCGAATCTTCAGGTGTGGTTCGGCGACGTGGAGGCCGAGACTATGTACAGATGCCAGGAGAGCATGCTTTGCGTGGTGCCCGACATATCGCAGTTCAGAGGCGAGTGGCTCTGGGTCAGGCAACCGACGCAAGTGCCCGTCTCGTTGGTACGCAACGACGGTATCATTTACGCGACCGGTTTGACGTTCACCTACACCCCGGAGCCAGGACCCCGACCCCACTGTCCGCCGGCCGACGAGATCATGAGAGCCCCGCGCTCCATGCACAATCAAGCCAGTATGCCGCCCGCGATCGCCGACGTACCCTGGAACACGCATCAACCGCCCCAGCCGGGTCTCTGATGTTTCCTAGACAATTACACCGCGCATCACCAAAGTTTACGGCGCAGCGAGACGAACGCTGTCCGTTGCACGAACGTTGCTCGTCCGCGAATCGCCGATCAGGACGACAACGACCAGTTACCGGTCGGCGACGAGAACGCCGTCGCGACGAAACGTTTAGACAATACCAAGACCACGTAGCGGATGTCTCGCTACGTTGCCTATCATCCTCCCGCGGAACATAACCTATTCGAGTCCGGAACCGTGTACAATGTGCCGTGTATTGTTTCCCCTATGTTCATATACCGCAACCTTACCGGTAGGTTCTTAGCTTTAAGTGTTGATACAGATTTACACAGAGAGAAAATAATAATTTATAGCACTCCTAGGATTATAAAAGCTTTCTACGAATGTGAATATTTAGCCGCGATACGCGTGGATCAGAGAACGGGGGCAGGGGCAGGGGCAGGGGGGGGGGGGAGAGAGAGAGAGAGAGAGAGAGAGAGAGAGAGAGAGAGAAGACGAAAAACTTTTGCGGCCTGGTCCGTGCAATTGCATATCGATCGCTGAAACTGGTTGTGCATTCGACGTCGATGATCACGTTCGTTCCCGCAAGATTAAAGTCTCGCGCTTACGACGGAATCCTGTTTGATTTCAATTTGACTGCGATACCGGAAACATTGCGATGCAAACGGTACTATGTATGTATACATTTAGAAACTTTGCGTCTCAAGTGTCTTGAAAACAACGCCGTTTCAGGAACAATATTACGTTTATCCTAAAAATCCGTTGTTTTTTTTTTAGACATCTAGGTGTAAAGTTTCCAAGTGAGCGCTCTGGATAGGGTAAAGGCAGCTATTAATATGTTTATTAAAAAATATGTTTCATATATATATATAGTAGATTGGCGGCTGCCTTTACCCTGCAGATATTCGCTCGGGTATTTTTATTTTTTTAATTTTCTTTGCGTGCTCTCGACTCATATTTTGTACATTTATACATTGACACGGCTCTACGAGGCCGGTTTTATTATCGCGTACAGTACGAAGAAACTGGCTCTCGCGCGAAATTGGAAATTTTATCTTCATTGTTTTTTATACCACATTTTCCTACGTTATACTCTTGCGAAAGAGAAATCGTCCTTTCAACCGTCAAGAATTTCGATCTTGTAAGAACCACGCGCTTTTTCGTTTTTCGCCAGAACGATGAGACACAATGAACAGTGAACATCCAAACGCCATACGTCTGTATAAGTTTCGCAAGACTGGTTCGCATGGCATAGAAATATGTAACTTTAGTTTTTAACGTGGGAGAACGTGAAAAGCAAAGTCGTTAGGACGCTACTCGAATTAATTTTCCGTGGTGTTCGGGTATCGTGGTTTCACCTTGACGATTGCTATTTATTATCAGAATTTTCGTATCGCGTATTTCGCTGGTGAAATCTTCGGTTTGCTTCTCTAACGTATCATCAAAGTACTGTGCACGCTTTTTTTTTTTTTTTTTTATTCATTTCTGCTACCTTTAACACTATTTCTATCAAACGTCGAAAGACACCTTTTACAACAATTTTAACTAGAAGAGGTTACTTTTTAAGTTTAACCATTTATAAAAATATTTATGTGCGTTCGAATGCAAACGACACCTTTTCGTCGGACTAGATACGCATAAAACCAGGATAGAAATAGTGTTAAAAAACGTACGTACGCATCGGTGCATTTTTCACGGGTCGAGACAAGAGGAAAACAAACCTATCCGTATACGTTTTGTTGTCTCCGTACGATTTTGCAATAAATTAGAAAGATTTATAGAGTAAAGTCGTTGTTCCATGACTCGTGTTATCTCCAAGTCCCAAGATTCGAAGCGTTGACTGCCACCGATGTAAAAAAAAAAATAGAAATATTCGGTACTTCTTATCTTGCAGCGTTCCTAACGACAGGCGGTGTTATATAATTAGTTTACAGAAATTAGTTCCTTCGTTGCGGACGAGTTTGAAACACGTAAGTTTCAAGTGCTGGTCATCGGTGATCGCAGGTGGTAGTCAACGCGTTGAAACGATGCATCAAAGACATTTTGTAAGGCAATGAGTGCGTCGAAGAAATGCGAATTCATCGTTGTTGTTTAAACGATATCGTTGAAACTAGAAAAATGCCTAAAAATTATTAAATTGTTTGCGATTATATGTAGAACGCTTGTAAACGTATCTTATTCGATTACCGGAGGGGAGGAGAGTGGAGAGGGGCATTGCACGGGAATAGAAATTATACTCTCTAACGATAATAAAGTTTCGCCTTTAAACGGTATTTAAATTTAGCGAAATGAAGGTGCAAAGCCACGAGTGTGCAATAGTATGAAAATGGTTCGTTTCTTGGCTTCTCTCGGCATCATCGAATCGGTACAAGCTTTTTTCTAGATACCATCGAATATAATCATCAACAGCAGGAAGCGAGATAGGATCGCTTTGGGAATTGTCTTCCTGAAGAGATCCATTGTAAAAGAGGAATGTCGGTATATGTATTCCATGGGAATTTACCCACGATTAAAATTTGCACCGAGTACCTGAAGAACACGATTATCTTTATTCACAGTAATAAATTGCGAATTAATAATAATAATAATAATAATAATAATAATAATAATAATAATAATTACATCCTTACATGTATCATTGGACGGATAATCAATGAATTAATCATTGTAATTCGTTAGATCGGAAAAGAATTTTGAAACGTGTACGTACGTGCGCATACGTACAGAAATTTCTCAGTGCTCAAGTGTTGGAAGAATTTTCGTCGACTTGGGATTCTTTCGATCGTACATAGTTTTAAATTGCACACAATTTTGTCTTTTGTCTCGAAGCGACAGAGAATACGTTTGAGCGTGAAATTCTTTAATTATATCTCCTATAGTATATTAAAATAATATTTTACAAAACTATATGAAAATCTTATTTGTAAATAAATCATATACAATTTTTTCAGCTAATTATTTGTGTACACGTGAATCACACGGTTCCCCTTATCGTCTTGATTATAGTAACAATTAAATTATAAATTAGCGGATGAGTATGAAAATGATCACGCGACGATCGCGTTCTCTAGTTAGTAACGTATACACACATACAATATGTATACAAGTTATACAATTTATAACGCGAACACGTTCATGTATAAAATATTACTTGCTAGATAGAATTTGTTATTGCGAAGCTACTTTTTAATGTTTCGAAGAGTTTCGGAGAACGTTGTTGGCGATGCACAAAGGATTTGTAGAAATTTTTAGCAACGGTACGAAATTAATTTCAATAGATAGTAAAAGATGAAGGTTTTGTAATTAAGATTACCGAACCATCGATGTTTGTTTCGTCGCGATAAGTCGCATTTACTTTATCCGTATCGTACGTTGTTTATTCATATTGGTGAGCATCAACGATATGTACGACGTTAAAAGGTCGTCCATCTTGTATCCGAGCGATGTTTCGCACAATAATTTCGAGCCTCGTACTAAATTTCCGATCGTCATGTGGAAGTAAGTGTTTCCCGACGACCAATTTGAGATTCTGGTAAAAGGATGCGTCACCAGTATATCCTGAAACACATTCGCGAACCGTCGATGAAAAATTAGTTTATTCGCGAGACTCGAGAGCTTGCTTACCTTCGTTTGCGGATGTATCAGGCTCACACCGTGCTTATTAATCGCAATTAACAACAGTTCCGGATAATTTGGTTCCGTGCTTTGTTTCACTTCGAAAAACGCCGAACCGAACGTCGGCCATCGATAAACGATCTTCAAGAACGTTATCTTTGCATCTTCCGGGCTCATTCCTATTTCGCATAATATTTACGTTAATCAGCCGTGATCGAAATAGAAAAAGGATGCCTTTCTAATGGTATGGATGGTAGGTTACGTCGAAACATAATTCGTGCATCTTACCAGCATCTTGATTGTATGCTGCGATTATCGATCTTTTCCAATCGTTGGAGCTTTGTACCTTCACTAGATCGCCCGGTATGAGTTCTCTTAACATTTGCCTGTGAATATTTGTTCCTTGGTTAAAACTATCAAATTACAAAGTTACGAATCTTCCCTTGGATCGTATATGTATTGTATTTCACTTACGGAATCGCTTGGAGTTCTTGCTTGCTCTCGCCAAACCGAACCCTGTACACAAGCGCAGCCAATCTCGATGCTTCTTCTTTAGTACATTTGTGGTATCCTGGCAACGAAAGAAGGAAAAAATGAAGCGGTATAAAATAACCGGTCCATTAAATAGGAAATATCTTTTACCCCTTAACAACTTGGGAAGCTCTTGATGGAAATGGAAAATGAGATCAGCGTTTCTATCTTTGCCGGGAACGGTGTTGGTCCACAACTTTTTCATAAAAAAGACTTGGTACGTAAATTGGGGCGAGACACCTGCGTGAAACGTTAATTTTATGCAACAGACGCGATTATCAGATTTGAATCGATGATGATCGAAAACATACCGTCGCGTGACGGTCGAGCTTTTCTGATCCAATCCGTTAAATGTCGCACAAAGTCGAAGAAAAAGTCGCCTTCCGGGACCGAGATGACTTTGTCGGCGATCTTCACGAACAAACTGAACCCTTCCGCCGATCGTAAATTTAGTCTCTGCGCGATGTTTTGACAAAAGTCTTTCGCTCTCGTGGACGAATCCACTTCGAACGCCTGTCAATAAAACAATAGACATTTTCATATACGTATGTATGTAGAACATACATAGATGGTCGCGGTTCGAGTACACACTTCGTCCGTGTCGTCTGGGAAATAGACTTTGTGAAATATTTGCGTCGTTTTGTGTTGTATAGCTTCCACTTCAACTTGGTGCGGCGGGTACTTCCGTTGTCCGTTACGTAAAGTTTTTTGCAGCCTTTGTAAAGAGTCCTGAGATATGGGATGCCGCCTCGTGCGCAAAAACAACGTTAATTCCTGCAAACGAGTAAACGAGGCAGTTTAAACGAACGAGTTTCCGTTATCGTTCTTAATCGACGTAATTACGCGTACCTTTAAAAGACTTTGGCTGCAGGTGAAGAGACCGGTGGCTAGCCACATCAATTCCCAGCCTCGCTCCTCGCTCAATCTATTTCGATTGTCGGTCAGTTGTTTCATTATTTGACAATAGATCTCGTCCCGTAAGATCTCGTTCTTCAGCGGACCGTCGAATATAAGGTCCGTGTACTCGTTTCCGACGCGCGGTCTTTTCGTCGGTAGGTCGCCCATGTATTTCAAGATGGCATTGAACGCGAAACACGCTTCCTCCGCTAGCTCTTCTTTCGATATTAATTTCTTTAAAAGCGGCTGCTTTATCGGATCTCTGGAGTGATGCCACAATTCGTCGGTGTGTCCGCGTCGCGCCGTCGTCAAAGTCAACGCTTTCGACATGGTTCTCTTTGGCGGTGTTCTACGACGAAAAAGAAACATTGTAATTTAAAGAAAATTTGATTAACGGGGATGCGAAGCAGACCGGAAGCAGACCGGAAGCAGACCGGAAGCATACCGGAAATGATCGATCGCGTATTCCAGAAGCGTGTGTGGCTTGTCGCGTGGCTCTACTCCGTTCACTTGTTGCGGGTACAGTTTGCGACCGTTTTCCGTTCCTTCGATGCTGAACAAGGACTGTAAAGAATTTTTCGATCGGTCAGTTTAGCGAGCGTAAAGAGAAACGTGTGTGTAATTATATTATTATTGTAATATCCGATGGTCGATCGAGTTACCAAAATATCGTTCGGTGGTTTGGTCAGGGAAGGCAAAACGTAAACCGTCTCGGCTGGGAAATCACCCTTTTCGGTGGTTCTCTCGCACGTCCCGATGCACCATCCCGAGTTGAGGACGGTCTCGCCTGTGCTCTCCTCCTCCAACGTAATAAGGTCACCTTTTTGAAAGCACAGAAACGACGAACTCTCGCCCGGCGCTTTGTAATCTTGCAACGCGATCACGTATTTGCTACGCTTCTTCAGACCCTCTAAAAAGTATACCACCAGGTCGCGGATGTCTTCGGCGTTAGGACTTTGGAACGTGAACTCTTCTCCTCGCACCGTCGATAAATTGAACGTCTGCGTGAATATTTTGTTCGTTCTGTAAATAGGAAAGAAACGATCGATCCGGAGATCCACCTTTCTACGAAGGCAAAGAAGCCTCTATCTAATCTATCTCTACTAATGATAATTGCCTACTTCTGACTAGATACGGTGGTGATTTCGGGAAAGGACAATTCCAGAAGCACTTGTTCCTGATCGTCCACGACGTACACTCCGGTCCAGTTCACAGCTATGATGACGTCGTTCTTGGGCAAATTCGGCCCGGAATTCCTGTACGCTTCGTAGAAGCGAGAAAACAACAATGGCCACTTGAACTTGGCGTAACCCACTATGTCCTCCTTGACGCGGAGAGCAGGTACCTTTTCCTTCAAATAGTAGCTCTGCAAAAAAAAAGAAACGTTTCCACGTAGAACTTGTACGGTACATTTGCAATTAGCGATCAGCAATCGTTAAAGTTTTTACCTTTTTGTATGCTTGTAGCACGAGATGTCCCCATCTGTCTATCGCCTTGTCGATACCCGTCAGACAATAATCTGGAATGTAATTGGGCAAGAGGGTGTAGAGTCTGTCGACGTTCATGTCCGCGTGGTACTCTATATAGTATTGTTGGGCTGCTATCATCGCCAAGTCCTCCTCCTTGTCGCACCGATACTCTCCGAACTTTACGCCCCTGACCACCTGCTGGTAGATGAGATTGGTGGCGACCTGGTCCTCGGTCGGCTCGTGCCACGGCGCGAATATCTCCTTACGGAAGAACAACCTCCACGGCGCGTTACGTTCCTGGGCGCCCTGTTCTTTCGCGTACTGCTCGCACTGGGAGATCGCGTCCATCACGTGGTCCCCGCCGCTGCCCAGCGACGACACTTTGTCGAACAACGCTATGTAAAGCGAGAATCCAAACTGATCGCGCAGAGATATTTTGTCGGACAATTGGTTGCACAGTTCTCTGGCGGTGGTGGCCGAATCGGCGAGGAGGGTCTTCGTGTTCCCGTCCATGAAGGTGATGGGCAGCATGATCGGCTTCTTCGACTTGGTAGCTTGTAGCTCCAACCAGCTGGGCGGTTGGTTGCGCGTTCCGTTGTTGAACGTTCTCTTGAGCCGATCCTCGCAGTACGGTGCGTACCCCGGAGGACCCTCTCTGATGAACGCGCGCAAATAATTGACAAACTTCTCCGATGGAGCGAAGCAACCCACGCACAGCGACAACAAGATCCATCCGCGGGCGTGCGACGACTTGGAGGGATTGTTCGTCAGCTGTTTGCAGATCTGACAGTAGATCTCGTCTCTGAGCTCCGCCCGCAGTATACCGTGACCGATGATGAAGTGTAGCTTCTCGAGGTTCGACGTGGGCCTCGCCTCCAGCCACGACTGATAGCTGTCCGCCGTGTACTCGTCCTCCTGCAGCTTCCGCCTGACGTCCTCGCCGAGCTTGTTCTTGCGTTTCAAGGTCAACGAGACCAACTTGTGCCTGATGGACCGCGGCTTCTGTCTGAGGAACGCCTCCGGGTCCACGCCCATCATCTGTGCCTCCTGGAACTCTTTGCTCCGTATGAAGTTTCGACCCAGCGTCGCCGTCACCTTGGACATCACCGACGTGGTGTCCCTGTCCATCGTGTGGAACCTGGGCTCGGGCAGGTCGCCGGTGAAACGAAGTATAGTGATCCAGAGAGCCTGAGCCGCCAGCTGATCGCCCTGCGTGTGCAGAGGCAACAGCGGGTGCTTCAACGGCTTTCTCGAGTACTGGTGGGTGATATTGCCCTGGAAATAGGTCGCCGCGAACTTCTGGAACTTGAACTCGGACAGATCTTCCTCGTCCTCGGAGGCGGTTTGCATGGGACTGATGATCTCCTGTTGGTCCGCTTTCGGGGCGGGTAGATCGTTGAAGACGGACGTTTCCCTGGCGGGCGTTGGAGCCTCGCTGCTAGAGTCCGGCAGGAAATCGAACATAGCCTCGACCAGCTTGCTATCGTCCACAGGCTCGTCCTGCTTCTTGGCCGCGTCGTTGATCAAATTCTTCTTGATCTCCATTCTCCGTCGATCCTCCAGTTCCATTTCTATCTCCTTTCTCTCCAATTCTTGCATCCGTTCCCTGTAGTTCTGCTCGGCGATCTCCTTCGCCCTCTTGTTCCCTTGATCCTTCAGTTCCCTCTCCTCCTTCTTCCGGAGCCTCAGAGCCTCGACGTGCAGCCGATACTCGTACTTGATCTTCTTGTACCGTCTCTGCGCGATCAATCGTCGAACGTGAGCCTGTATCTTGACGATGGCCCACAGCTTCTTCTGGAACATCTTGCGCACCAAGTAGCCCCTGGCGCGCGCCTGCAGCGCCACGATGTGACCCCTGAGGTGTCGAAATCTGTGCGACAACACGCGTGACCTGATCAAAGCCTGCAGCCGCATGTAACCGATACGCATGCGTTTGTATCGTTGTCGCTGAGCGTAACCCCTCCAATACTTTTGTACCACCGTCGCAGCCGTTCTCATGCGGAGGAACCGTCGTCTGTACACCCAGCCTCGTATGTTGCGTTGCAGTATCAGAATCTTTCGCGTGAGCACGCGGTCCCGTTCCTGCTCGAGGAACAGGTCGTGGGCGTCCTTGAGGAAGACCTTGGTGTGACCCAGCTGATAGTCGGACCTACCCAGCACTACGTGACAAATTTTCGAGGTGGCCGCGCGACAATCGACCTTGTGCGACGGAGGTATGCCCGAGATCAAAAATCTATAACGCTCGACGAACTCTGGAAAGGAATGTCTGATCGGGTAACCGGCTCTGCGTATTCGTATCGTCTCCATCATGCCCGAGTATCGTAGCTGTCGACAACAGAGGCCACGGTCGAACATCATCGGTTTCTTATATTCGTTTGGCTTGATGCATCTGATGAAGAAGGGCTGACAGCTGCACAACGTTCTCATCAGACAGTCCAACGACTTCTTGAACTGCGTGGACAGCGTGGGCGCGCGTTTCCTCGTCTCCGAGCCCATGCCTATGTCCTCGGCGAAACAAGCCTGAAGAAACTTGTTGGACGATATGTGGATCAGCTGCAGCAAGTCGGCGCTGAAAGTGTCACGGTTCTTCTCGAGGAAGCTTCTGGTGTCGTAGAACACTACCCCGGCAAAGTGATTCAATCCGAACGACGTGTTGATGTCCGACTTTGGTTTCAGGTAGTTTCGATGGCTCCCGTGGGTCTTGTGTATCTTGGCCAGCATCGTTTGATCGGTTCCCTTGGGGAACTTTGACTCCTCGTCGATCAACGCCATGATGTTCAGTTGCTTGATGGCTATCAGATCCAACGCATCTTGGTTGTCGACGAACTCTATGTGCTGCCAATTTATGCCCTCGTGATTGTACTCTTCTTGTTCCAGCTTGAAGATGTGCTGCACGAAGAACTGCTGAAGATTCTCGTTTGCGTAATTTATGCAGAATTGCTCGAAGCTGTTGTGACTGAAATTCTCGAAGCCGAATATGTCCAGGACACCGATGGCGCTTCGCGAGGTGTTCTTCGGTCTGTAGATGGCCTCGTTGATCTTCTTCACGATGTGGACGAACAGTCGCCCGTATATTCCCTTGACGAACGCGTCCCGGATGTCCACCGACTGCTCCCTGGACAACGTGGAAACCTGTGCACGCGTTCACGGTACAGATGGTTATAATGTAGATCGTTTTTTTTTTTTTCTGTTTTAGAGGATATGTACTTTGTGGCGCGGCTCGGAATTACGCAATTTACATGTTACTTACAACCGTCTCACCGTGAGCAAATATGGTCCGGCGGGTGAGGGCGTCTATCAAAGACTGGACCGGTACACCCAACAAATGCGCCACTCTCCGCACGTTCGTCTGTTCCGGTATCTCCGTGGCGTCCAAATTGTCTGGAAATAATCGTCGCAGATTCGAACGCGTTCCACGCTAAAGCCTTTGATTTAACCCATGCCTTGCAACAAGGGCGGTAGAACTTTACATTGTAACGCACACGTACGCCGGCTATGACACTATGTTCTATCGTTCTTATTGGCAAAGCTCGTAGGTACTAACGCGGTATAGATTGCGCCCGCCCACCCACCTACAACCGTCGCCCTGTACTTGACGTTCCCTGTGTGTAGCAGGGCGGCGAGCAACTTTAGGACTTCCCATATTTCAGAGTCGGTGAATAACAAAACTTTCATGGCCGATCTTATGTCTGCGAATTCCGCCGCGTCGTCCCGACCCTCGCAGGTGATGCTACCACCCTGAAAATGGTATCGCGATTAGCCAATCCCTTTAATTTGTCTCTTCTACTTGAAAACAAGATCTTACCCCCGTTAGATATTTGTACGACGACGCGTCCTCCAGCTCAAGCTTCTGTTTCTCTTCTTTGGAGAGGCCGGCCAACATGCAGTAGAACACGTGATAGTTCCTCTCGTCCAAACTCTGCGACACTATTCGCGACTTTTCCAACAGATATTGCTCTATCTTGGCCCCCTCGATCACGCCCTGTTCGTTGAAGTGAATGTCGATGTACTTTCCAAACCGAGACGAATTGTCGTTTCGTACCGTCTTGGCATTCCCGAATGCTACAAGAACATTTAAGTCAGAGTTTTTTTACCTTACGACCGAGTTACTCACGTGTTCTACGAGCCCGAACGCGTGTTTTACCTTCCAAAATCGGATTCGCTTCCAATATTTGCTGTTCGATCCAAGAATGTTTGCCGCTGATCGCTGCCAAATATTGCAAAATTAATTTCGTACTTTCCGTTTTGCCGGCTCCGCTTTCGCCGCTAAGACACAAATATTCGTGAATTTCAGACACCGTTCTAGCACGAACGAGACAAAGTGGAGAAAAAAAACCGGTTCAGAGTGGATCCGTCGGGGGAGGCATTCTGGTCAGAGTCGTCTTGAAGACATTTATGTTTCGTAGTGCAATAGTCTTTTCTTTTAATTTTAAACCAGAATCCCCCCCCCAGCTCGAGGAGGACGAAGCGACCGATACCTGATCACTATGCATTGGTCTTGGCCGTATCGGTTCATGTGCGCATAACTGTTGTCGCCGATAGCGAATATGTGAGGCGGCAGCTCTCCGATTTTACGATCCTTGTACAGTTTGATTTGCTCCGCGGTGTAGATGGGCAGTATTTGATACGGATTCACAGCAACCAGGATAGAGCCCGTGTAGGTCTGCGGAGAAACAACACATATTAATCTATCGTTTAAATTTGCCGCGAAAAGCTCCCAGAGGGCGTTAGGGGTATCCTAACTAGTCAGTTCCCGCCAGCCACTTACGTATATAAGATTCTCGTTGTAGCGGATCAAGAGATTCCGTAAAATGCCGGCTTCATGGAGGTCTCCTAAGCTGATCATATCCTCTACACCTTGCACAGAAGTGGCATGCATCGCCTTGATTCGTCTTTCCGGGGTCAGCCATTGTTCCTGGAAAAATTCGACCGTACGTTGAACGAACGAGTCTCGAGCGTATTCGAAATGGCGATAACGCGCGGAGTCCAACACTTTCTCGTATACATATGTATACGCCGCAGTTCCGATGAATCTCGAGAAACGCCGCAGCGAACGCGAAAACTAGGTAACGATTACCTTGTTATCGTCGTCTTTCACTTGAATGCGTCTGCCCTCGGCGGAAATCACTCGTGCTCCTATTGCAACGTCAAATTCTCTCCCTGAGATTGGTTCGATCCATATGTAATCTCCCTGAAAAGGAATTTTTTCACACGTAATCCTTTAGATCGTTATTTCGACCCACTTCTCAGCGACCACGGTGACTAAATAAATAACCCTTTGACTACGAAAGGTCTATGCAAAGTGCACGAAAAGGTTAGGGTCAAACTTATACCATGTATGTAAGTACTTACCTACTTACGTATTACCGAGATCAAATAGACGAAAAAAGTTCGTATAAACCCATGTTCGAAAATGCTCTGTCGAGAAGATATAAACGTTCAAAGATTCACGGACAAAATTCATTGGATTACAATCCTCGATGACCTTTATTGTTTACATGTTCGTATCTGGTCGAGTCTCGCTCGCATCGTGATTCTCGCCAGAGACGATCGAATCGATTTAAAAGTAAATGCGATCGCGAACTGTCATACGTGCGTGAAATGGAATAGGAAACTAATGTCAAGGTTTGCGCGAACGTTTTTATTCGATTGACGCGTACTTACGAGCTTGACCTAAATTAATTCGAGAGTTGGCCAACGAACGCGTCAGCACGCGCTGTAACTGTAAACACGACACCTTAGACGCATTAATTAAATAACTGGTAGTTGGGAGTTATTAGATAATCCGAACGGTCGTTTCGCGGTTTCTTTTTCTACCGTCGATTCGCTTAAGCGAACGGGAAAACGAATCTGTTGCAACCAAAATAAAGAAAACTTACAGTACGATAATTATATTTCGTTTGTAGAAATTTAACTTTGCGACATTTTTGCCTGCTTCGAAGGTATGTTTGCCGGTTTAATGATCCAGTCGTTCGCGCGGACTATAATCGAGTTAGTCGAACGAACGAGTCTGGCTTCTAGCGCGCGGTTTTACACGTCCAACGATCGCGAGATACGATGGCTTTCGTTTCAAATATTTTCGACGGTGAAATCTTTTCGAGTTACGTGACGACCATGCGAGCTTCCGGTGATCAAAATCACCGCGAGCGTATCGACTGCCAAACCTTCTTTTCGAACTGCCCATCCGTGGCAGTGGTTTATTTATCGCGAACCAATTAACCCTTTTATAACCTAACCTAGACCTTTGTCATGCCACTCTGGCGGTATGGGGGCCACGTCGACTAAATACAGCTGACGTTCATATTTCGGTCGACCGTGCCGGGATTGATAAAACAAAATGAAACGGAAAAATCGAATTTATTGAAAACGTTTCAACGCATTGTGACGACCCCGTTTAACTTGGGAATTTATTTCAAGACCTAACCTAGACTCAAAGCAGCGCCGTGATGATTTATCGTGTGTTTTTATTAATATGTAATTATTATTAATTTTGTAACAGTTGTCGCAGCCATAATTTATCTCAAACTCCGAAGGTTCTCCATCTCTTAAACCAGAGTGTATAAATAATTATCTCTGCACTTTAAACTTCGTTCTAAATACATTAGATAGTACCGTTTATCGCAACACTATAATCATCTCCCAAAATTTACTTTCGTAAGGCCCCGGCCAATTTCGAAACGAATCTAATATTTTTATTCGTCGATCGTGAATCCTAATTGTTTAAAAACAAAGTGTTGAACGTTCTGACCCCGGCGTTACATCTAGACAACCATAATGGTACATGTATAAAATTGTTCGAGGCGCGCCAAACTCCCACGCTATATACGCTACATGTGCAATTTCGTACGTAAACGATCGTATTATACCAAGTTTGTATTATTGTTCCCTTCCACTTTGCGTCTGCCCTCCGTCTAGGAATTCATGTTCGCGTGGCGCACGCGCCTTCCGCCGGTATTCCCACAGCCGCTGTTGATCTCGGTTCGCCGCTCCACGTCACGTCCAAACAAAAAGAAACGGAAAAACACTTTGTCTTGCAAAGATACCGTAGCCGCGAGATGCACCATTTCTATGCTCAACTATCTGCCGCGCGGCGTGCAGTTTTTTTTCCGAGCGCGAATAACCAACCGGTCGTCCCCCCGTCGAAAGTCGCGAACAGTGTCGGACAGAATTTTCGATTCGTCGACGCGTTTCGTGTTTGGTTCGTTTGGTTCGAGTCAATGATCGTTTGCATGAATTTTCTAACATTTTTCACGAAACGCTTGCTCGCGCCGCGCGGAACAGTACAAAGAACGTTGGCTAAGTACGAACCTACCTAAGTACCTACCTACCTACCTACCTACCTACCTACCTACCTACCTACCTACCTACCTACCTACCTACCTACCTACCTACCTACCTACCTACCTACCTACCTACCTACCTACCTACCTACCTACCTACCTACCTACCTACCTACCTACCTACCTACCTACCTACCTACCTACCTACCTACCTAGCTACGTTTCGCGACACGCCATTATTTTCGTCCAACACTGTACCCGCGCTTCTTCACAGCTAGAAGAAAGATTGAGAACCTTCGGGCTAGTAGTCTGTGGCTCCACCGACGCATCTACATATACGAGTGCACATGCTGCGCCTGATACTCGTATACGTTCCGATTGTTCACCTCACCGGAACATCGGAAGAGCTCATCCGCTCGTTAGCTCGAAACGAGACTCCTTCGTGTACCGATTTGGCCCTTCTTTGCCAACCAGGTTTTACTTTCGACCGTTACGCGAACGAAAACCATTGCAAACTCGTCGATAAACAACATCGTCGATAGCAAATATGTAATTTACGAAGATAATCGAGATAAGTCAGGCACGCTTCCATTGCAGCGGAGGAACATAAAATTCAAGTGCCAGAAGCTTATAATGTGCAAACAACGCCACCGGTCGTTGGAAGGTCATCTATTTAAAATGTCATCACATAGTGCATTAAAGATATATGTATGTTGAAAGGATTATTCTAACGTTGTACACGTAAAACTTTAAAGCCATCTATAGTTACGGGGTTCCAACTACAATTACCTTGGATAAAAAAAAAAGAATGTATTTAATCTACCCTAAGCTAATTTGGCGTATCCCTACGCGCGTACATACATACATAAGTATGTAAGTACGTAGTCACGCGTAGGGAAAGAATAGACAGACTATGGTCGAGGATAGAAACGCGTGTCCGGTAAAACGATTCGCGTCCCGTTATACGACGGCTGGTTCGCTCGCGCGAAATGCTAACACGCCTGCACAGGGCATTCGCGAAGTGATGAAGGACCGTTAACTATGCCTAATTAACTGACCATTCGTCCCGATATACATACAATACCTTTCGCCGTCGTCTCGTAGTTTCATTTTTTCTTTTTTTGTTCTCTTCCTTTCGAATGAAATCGTTTCCTGTCGGATCGTATCGCGTATTCGGTGGCATGCTTGCTTAAAAAAAAATTACAAGCATGCACGCATGCATCGCACAACATCGAACGAGTGCATAAAATGTTGTTTGCAAGCACGAAACAACGACAGCCATCGAACACCAGGCATATTCGTATCGAAGCTTGTACGTTACCTGCGCTCGTTAGTGGCGCTTTAGTTATCGATCATTGCTCGAGCCTTGCGCACGTCCCACATTTTCACCAATGCGAAAATACCGTAGAGGATATCTACGGATAAACGAACAGATAGAAAAATTACCAGTCCGGTTCGTCTTTGCGAGAACGAATCTCGAACGAAATCTCGTTAACGCGATAGACGAGCAGCCTTGAAAGAGTTGCGATAACTCGAAGGTAAACCAGTCGGTTTTATGCCGGTCGATGTAAATGAAACGCACCGACGTGAAAACACACCGCACGCGCGCGCGCGCTCGCTCGCACCGACCGAAAGGCGCACGAAATCGCTACGATTTCGAATTTTATCGCAACAATAATAAAACATTCCCCCGACTCTTATTTTCGTGCGTCTATCTGACGATCCCACGGAAGATAACAACCTAACCAAGCTGTAAATATCTCGAGCGCGGTGGCGTATTACATATGTACATATAAGTATTTTTATCGCGGGTGTAACGTTACTTTCTTTTCGGATCATTGTTTTCGTTAATTCCCCTTATCCCGATTGTACAGGAACATTTAGTCGGTCGAGCCCTCGTAAAACGATCCGAGTAAGTACATAGGTAAGAGTACATAGGTACCTAAGTAAGTAGGTAGACACGTAGCGTGTTTACATTTTTCCCGTCACCCCGCAGACACGTCCGCGGCCATCTTGATCCGCGGAGCACAGGTTAAGAACCACTGACCTATACATAGTGTCGCCACTGGTCGAGCATTCCTCCGGCATCGAGAGAGACCGCGCACGTGTCTCCTGAGCATGACTTTTCATGCGGAGAAAGAATCCGCCGTCATTTTCACTTGTCACAGATTCCTACTGACCGTCTTTGAAGAAAACGGCGGAGGGAAGCGGTAATATAATAACGCGCGAACACTGGCAATGGACGGCGGACGTTTTGCGCGCTGGAAATGCACCGTTCTAATCGATGGCTACGAATATCGGGATAAACGACGAAACAACACTTACCCGCGTGACGATGACCATCTCTTAAGTCGTGGTTGTCGGCACTCCGCCTGAAAGAATAGCAACGTTGTGTTTCTTTTTCTTTCTGATTTATTTACCGTTGTAACGGATAATCGTACACCAGAGACGGGCGAAACTTTTTCGAACGATACGCGACAAACAGATGCGTTTATCGTGTACTTACTTACGTCCGAATCAACTGTCTTTCGTTTTTATTCGTTCGATTATCTGGATGAGAATCGGACAGTGCGTTTTGCTCGCTCGTGCCGGTCATTGGATCGGCGTCGTTAAATATGTACGTGGAAAATGTATTGGCTCGAACGGGGAAAGTTTGCGCGTTTGTATTCCAAGTAAATTCGTCTCGTCGATAAGCGAACTTTCCGTTCCGACCCGATCAATGTCGATAACGTCATCGACGAGCTCCTATGCCTTTTATTTAATACTATTTGCGTCAGAGTTTGTAAATATTGACGGTAGTACGATGATGTCTGTTTTTCATTCGATTCAAGATCGTCTATCGATGGCAACACGTTGCTCCCGCTAGGGCACTGCTGGCCAAAATACGGTTAGGACAGTTGAAATAGGTAGTTTTACTTATTAATATTTATGTTTTAGATTGGGTATCTACTAGATTAGCGACAGTTTGTTCGTTTCTGGTGTCGGATAACGCGTCGAGGTGTTTTTCTGTTAGTTTATCTTAAGCCTGGGATCCACTAGAGAGTTTTGCTCTCAGGAGTCGATGATTTTTTTTTCACGCGGACGAGCCTTCATGCTACGGTTGCCTCGTCACTCGTAACCGCCGCGCCGCAAGGTCGGTTTCCTCGTGTTCGTCTGTAAAAACCCTTGGAAGCAAAACTCCCCAATGGATATTATACATACATACATGTATACATGTACCTGTATAATCAACCTTTTCTCTTTACGAAAGTCTCCCATATTGTGCCTTTTAATTTTTACGTTAACCATTAATTTTCGTACGTTTACGTTTCTGTAAAATTTCCAAAGTTTCTCCACGAATATTTTCATTCGTTGAAATCGGGCTTTCGTTTGGCTATGCTATTATGTAGAAATGTTGCCCCTTAGGTTCAAACTGACGTGGTAATTTTCATCGCGTAAGGCCTTTTGCTCGTGCTATCGCGAATTAGCTCTTATTCTCGATATCGAGTTTTAAGATGAAAGCTCTCGAGTGGACACCGTGCATTAGACGTTAAACGCGGAGCCGTGCGTCTATTCGGAGAAAAATCATTCCAGCATGCGACGATGATGTCCGGCCGATCACCGTTACAGTGGAAGCAGCACAAGCATAAACCTGTTCGCAAAAGTGGGTTAGGCAGTTTCTGCTACCACCGTGAGCCGTACGGCTTCGAGAACATCCATCGAGGATTCTCTCGACGGAGTTCGATCTCTCTTCTCTTCTCTTCTGTTTTCTTATCTGGTCGATACCAGGCCCGGCGATATTCTTCCTTTCTGGTTCGCGAACGAAACAATTTATCGAGTAAATTCGACCGGATCGAATCGAAGAAAGTCGAATCCCCGAGCCTCGAAACTCGCGAAAGAGCATCGATCGAACGCGACCAGGTTGCGGTTTACGCGTCGCTGGCGTCAATTTCGTTCGGCGAAACACAACGATGGATTCGCTCGCTACGAATTATGCTCGCACGAGTGACTGTTGGGTCGGCGCGGCGCGGCGCGGCGCGGCGCGGCGCGGCGTGCCAATCGATCCGAGTCAAGTGTTTTTCTTTTTAAACATTTTAATGGGAGATTCTAGAGGCGAAAATAACACGAAAATCAACAATACCAATTTCTTGATCGAAGCTTCGTTAAAAAGTTACTAAAAAACTTTGTTAAAAATCCTGTCCGCCTGTATTTTGAAGAATTACAACTATGTCAGAATTTTGTTCTCCAAAGTACGTAAGATTTCGGGGATATGTGTATTTTTAGCAAAAATTATTCCAATTCACCCCCGCAACGAAAAATAATTTTTAACAAAAGCTCGATCGAGAAATTGATATTCTTGATTTTCTTCTTATTTCGGTCTCTAGAATCTCCTATTAAAATGTTCTCCCAGGGGTGGGGCCAAACACCCTGTTATACATCTAAATATCGATGAAACGTGCCGTCGTGTCCGCGCCACAGAACCGTCGCGATCTATTCGATCGGCCGCATTACGTTCCCCCTCATTAACGATCGACGCTTCAACCTTGGACGATTTTTAGGACACTGCCGCGATGGTGGTTTCGATTCACTGTATGTACATATAACTAAATAATACGCGAACAGTAAAACCTCGATTTAGCAAATTTCTTGTCGTTTTATTATTCCAATTAATTATTTCGTCATCGTTCGCGTTTATTTGATCATATATGTATACATATGTATGTACTGGCGAGATATCGATACCACTTATCACGAGGTGAAACGGTCTTCAATAAACGAAATTATCTAATTTGAAAATAATACAGAACAACATATAAGCTATCTATCAACATAGAATCGTGCAACTGTAATAGTTAAATCGATATTTCCTTCCGATTGATCATAATGTTTGTGATAACAATGCTACTACTCGTTCAAATAAACGAATAAAAACTCGTAACCGGTATTGTGTTCAGAATTGTCGATGACGCGACAAGGACGTACGATAAATTAGCGATATTACCGATATTACGTTTCGACGATTAGATTATAACATTCCTTTTCTGATTTCTACATTCTGATCGCCTTAACAATAAAAGATACCGCTCGCGAAAACGTTCGTCGAACATTCTTGCGGTTTCTCGTACACGGACTAAGGTTATTTTATGAATGGATCCTACCGCGATTCTAACCTTACTTTTAATCGCGATACTTTACCGATCGTTTCGTTCGAAACCGACTCGGCGTTTTTGCTTACCGCTAGTAATAATCTCAACGGCTCTCGCGTCTTGGTGGTCGATAGATTTTAACGATTGTTTGATGCCTTGATCGACCACATAGAAATAGGTAAGTACATAGTAGATACGTGATTCCATTTTAACGAGCAGAGTTATTGGCACAATTATTCAGATGACTCGTCATACCCTTAAAGAAAGTTCCATCTACATAGATATACTAACTAGAGTGTATGTCGAAGGATTCGTAGCAAGAGATACCCTAAAAAACAGTTGTAACCGTCGACTTTGAAAATATCTGAACAACGGTCAGTGGCAACGTAGTGTGGCACCGCGTGCTGGAGACTTTAACGGGTGATGAAACAACAACGCGTATGCATATACAATACGGAATCGTGTGCCTCGAGCTTCCCTCGAGAAAACGTCACGAGAAACCCGATTAAATTGTGAATATGTAGATCGTTGAAGCAAGACTGGAGGCATTCCATTTATTCGTTCGTGCATTCGCTTCTTACGTCACGACAGCAAAGTTTTCCACGTGTGCATCGCATCGCATCGCATCGTTCGTTCGTTCGTTATTGCGTTTAGAAAATCTGTACGTACGCCTATCCGTGAAAAGTTTTTGTGTCGGTCGAGCGACTCCTACGAGAGAGTACCCTTGAGTTTATAAACTTTCGTTAATAGAAGGGTACAAACGAATCGTCTCGTCGACGTCGCACGATCGTTTGGTAAACATTCCAATGGTCTACGTATGCAAGATATTGTTCATTTTATCTGAAAGTTGCGCTTATCTCGCGAACCTATTATCGCATTTTAAGACCCGGCGCCTACATACGCGTCGAAACGTTACGATTCGGGGTAAAAACGTAGCTGGGGTACACCTCTGTCGGATCCAACGCGGTAATGAAACGACGTATACATATATGTATGTATGTATGTATGTATGTATGTACGGAGCGTAATGTTTCCGTCCGATTTGCACGGGGGGGGGAAAAAAAGGACGCTGTTTCGAAGCGATCGAATCAACGTACGCGCGATGTGAAAATGGTAAACGGAAAAGCCGAGTACGTGGAATATTCTTAATTCCAGACGGTGGTACGGGCACGGGTGAACACACCGAACAGATTCGTACATACCTTGTGCGAGTAACGAGAAACACGACGAAAGCGGCTATATATCGGCACACTCCATTAAGAGGCACTGCACTGCACTTCGGACGCGACGTAAGGCGCGCTTTTCATGTCCGACGTGACTAGATGATCGTCGGAGAAGGTTGGCGCTCTCGGAAGCGAGAAACGTGAGAAAAAGGAACGATCCCGCACCACGACGGTAGGAAATGGGACACGAAAAGCAACAGTAGTCGTTCCGGAGGATGGGCCACGGTGACCGGCACATTAACGCGTCCACTCGGGGAGCTTCGGTTCGAATCGGGCGTGCCAGGTGGAAGCGACTGCAACAACGGCGAAGAGGTGGAAAACGTACCTGTAGCCCACGCCACCATTCACTCCGTACAACCTGTCGACGACAACACAACTCTACCAACCGGGGATACGTTACCAACGCGTCTTGTCTTTTCAACCTTGTTCCCCGCCTCTGGTCTCCAGCAACATCGCGAAATCTTCCTCGATCTCTTATCTCGTTGCCCCCCTCCCGCCAACTTTCTCCTGCCATTTGTCCCGCTCGCGTATCTGCCACCTGTTGCGACCCGGCGCACACTTACGAGCTCGATCGATCGATCGATCGATCGATCGATCGATCGACACCGGGACCCTTTTTACCGATCGGAATACCGATGTTGTTCTACAGTACCGGCGCATAACCAGACGTACTTACTTACTTACACGTCTCTGTCTCTATTCGAGTGGTGAAAAAAAAAAAATTTCGATTCTCGTTTGAATATTATGGAATAATTATCTCCGAATGGCCCGCGAAACAAGAGACGATCGACTGCTTGTCCAATCACTGTTTCAAGTCGATTTCGACGCCACTAGTTAGTATGTGGAGAGGACCTAGTCCAAGTACATACTTGAAAATGTTGAAAGTCGTTGGAAAAATACAATTGATTTATTTGCTATCCGCGAATACGAATCTAGAAACAAAAGGAAATAGAAGATAGCAATGGCAAATAGAATATAGAGAAGTTAATAATGGATCGGCGTGTAAGTATGTATGCAGCGTAACTGCAAAACCGTGACAAAAAAGTACCCGCCAAAAACCAATCGAATGCAACTTTTGCGTATACTTATATCGTGACCTGATTTTTTTTCTTTTCACACGGTTCGGTGTCGCAGCATTAGTCGTCGTTTATTTAACATGCGTGTTCGAATGAGACAGGCAAACGAAAATAGTTTACATTGAAAATATATTTTCATTTCATAAGAATTCCACATGAACGTTACACATACACGTATTGCGACTTCCGGTAACTTATAATATACACATCGATACGTGAGAATTTCAGGAGCAACACAACATCGGCGATGTTATGCACATTGCGATTCAACAGTTGCGTAAAATAATTTTTTTTTTTTTTTTATATATGAACACGATTTTTCAGTGTAACGAGAATAATACTTTATTTTCAACGACCTATTTTTTTACGAGTATTTCAATTGGTTCTGTACTAAAGTTATAATATCACGCTGCATTGTTATCGATGATAGAGTCCTAGAAGCAACGGCAAAAGCGTCACGACGCTAAATGTTTAAAAGGGTTTCGATTATTAATAATAGTAATAATAATAATAATAGTAACAAGGTCCAAAAATATCTGTAATATGCAAGGATTTCATAAATAATTCTGGAAAAACACATGGAGTAGAGTTACATTCAAGGATGCAGACGAATTTACTGTAATAGATATGTTCGTATAAATTATATTCTTACATCGTTAAACTTAAAATGCAGATTCTGTTTTTTCCCCCTATCAACTTTAGTGTATTTGGATAACAAATGCGACTGCTTTCGTTGCAAGTAATAGTAAAGAAATTTATAATATTCGGTACACCGCTACAATGTTGTAGTAAGTGCGTGCACAATCAGGTACAAGATATGCAGATTTAATATTAAATAGAATCGATGCAGAAGTAAGGAAAACAAAATGGTAAATCAATTAACTCTAAACGTTGCATTTTTTTGTTACGACATAATATGTATAAAAACTTTATTTTAATCGCGTATGCTACTTTTATGGAAGCGTATTATCACTGTACTTGAATTCTATCGCTTAAACAAAGTCGAGGGATTTTATAAGAAAGCATACATACATATAGTATAATTGCATTTTCGTGATTCAACGTTCTTCCGCGTTTCGCTTCTTACTTTTGCATTTCCTGTACCTATTATCAAACGATTGGAGAAATCGTTGGACACCGAGAAGTCAACCAGCCTTTCAGATGGGATGTTTTCTCGTTCGCTGGCAAAAAATTATAATATTCAACAATTAGGGTTACAACAAACGGAGACGACTAGGAGCTATAGTGACTTATGTTACTTATAACTTCTCATTGTATTAATAAATTATTATCATTTAAATAATTTGAATCATTCCCCAAAAATGTCACATAATTTATATTTTTGTTGGCGCTTGTAACATTGGCAGATTAATTAAAGAATGATCGTTCGTGTTAGTATTATAGGAAAACAATACCAAATTCTCTACAGGCTAAAGAAATTTCGTATACTTTTGGATGGTATGAAATGGTTAGAAATCAAACAAAAGTAAAATTATGTTCAATTTTTATAATTCTATATGGGAATTGCTTAAAATGCCATTCAATATCATCTACTTTTTAATCGCTGTAACTTTTTCTCTTTTATAACAGACGGATTTAATGTGACAGAAAATAACGATTAGTTGTAACAAATCGATAACAAAGATGATTGGATTAAAAATCCGAATATTATGTATTGATTCGTACTTTGGTCGTCTTCCAATATGATTGCGCTAAATAAGAAATGTTAAAAATATATGTACCAACATTTAGTACTTGTTTAACAAGTACATATATATATATATATATATATGTATATGTATATGTATATTGTATATGCGAATTATTCTTTTCCTACTCGTTAAAAATAAAAGATGCTTGCGAATTAAGAATTCGTTTCTAATTTCATAAGAATAGCATTTTGGTTCATAGATTGATCCATTATTTCCGAATTTCTTATAAGAAGCAAACAGCGATATAAAAAAACCCATTCGATTGTAATGAAACAAACTGACTTGATGGTCACAAAAATAGGCTCTGGATAGATAGTACACTCTTACATTGAATTATATGACAATATTTTTCCTTATATCTTATGATTTGATTAGTTTCGTTACTTGTAAATAAACATATTTGGAAGTTCACTGAAGAAGTGCTGAAATGTCCCAAATCTTAATGAGACGGTCTTGACCGATCGTTAATAGTCTTCGTCTGGGAGCATCGAGATCCATCCCAACGACATTATGTTTCGCGTCGTGAAAGGATGCTAAAGATGTTTGGCTAAACAACATGTATACGAGATATAAATAAAAGGTTCGCGCGGCTCGTTTTGATTATTACTCGATCGAACATTTTTACTCACTTCGCGGCTTTAAGCTGAATATGGCATGGATCGCAAACCCTAACTTCAAATTCAAACCCCATTGCCGGTATTGGTATTCGTTGGGATGTACATCGGGCACATAACGCGCTACCGCAATGGCGACAATGATGTTGTCTCAGACCTAATTGCCGTTGATCCATCATTGCTTTGATATTCCAAAAGAATGGCCTTCCGCAAGCCTAAATTTGCAGCGGTATTAATTTACAGATCGGGGGCGTTGTGCGTGGCAAGTAAGTACAGTACGGTACGAGTAAAAGAAAGAGAAAGAGTTGAGAAAAAAATATATGCCAGATACGATCTTGTTTACGAGTGAAAGTACGCAGTAACTCGTATATCGGACCGTATCGGGCATACGTGAAATACGAAATGTTCTTCTTATTCCAATGTCTTGAGTCTCCCCTGCCCTACTTTCCACACGCAACTCAACACTCTGTGTAGAAAATTAGTTAAAAGTGGAATTATCAAAGTAATTAGAATTTCATTCTCACATACTTGGCACGTATCGGACTCTACCCATGCTGCTGTTTCTTTCCTATTCGCAGCCATGTCCCAACAAACTATTACTCCATCTTCTCCCCCGGACAATAATATCCGTTCGGCACTCGCGTAGCACAGTGCCGTTACTTTGTTACTGTAAAATCGTATAGAAAACAAAACTATACAAGACAAATAGATCGATGATATTTCGGCAATAGATAAATATGCTCACTGATGTCCTTGAAGTTCATACGCTGTACCTTGTCGTCCACCGATATCCCATACTATTATATTCTGATCAAAACTTCCAGAAAACAAAAGTTGCTTTTCACAGTCCCATGCTAAAGTGTGAATACTTCCTGTATGTGCTTTTAACGTCGTGATTAGAGTGACACCGTTAGTGTCCAATTTCAACATTGCTATTTGTCCAGAATAATCACCGACAAAAGCATGTTTAGATTGCGGGTCGAATCTGTGCGGGTTAAGGAAATAGATTCGAGTAGAAACTGTAACATTCTTGCAACAAAGTATGTTATAAAGCTAATTTAATACGGGAAAGGATACTGCAGTGCAGTGTACCAGGCATCCGTCTGATACGATCCCAATTTTTGACCACTTTCCGAGCAATGCAATTGAAACATTTTATCACGACCTACGCTCAGAACCCATTCGCAATTCGATGCGAATATAACGCCTGTAACTCTTGCCTGGTGTGCAGAATATTCGCGCATAGCAGTCATTCGGTTATAGTCTTGTTCCACGATAAATTCCTAGAAGCAGTAAAATAATATGTCTATTTTAACATGAGCAAAGTATCGATAGTTTTATAAGAAATTTTTTTTCGATACGTACATTTATGGTTCCGTTCTCTAAACCAACAAACAGTTGCCTAGTCTCCACACAATAGTGCATCGACGTTGCGCCAGCAGCCATGTATTGACAAACACTAGGCCAATATTGGCCGGAATCGCGTTTCAACCAGACTCTAACAGTTCTACGAAGAAACACGTCAGAATAAATTCCACGGTATCAAAAGTGTTTAAAAGAAAACTCCAAGCTCGTTCAATATTTCATAAAATTCGCCTCGTCTACCTGTCATCACAAACGCTAATTACACCTTCTTCCCGCGGTATGATAATCGCTGCATTAACATCGTCATTGCATCCCTCTAATTTCGACAGAAGCACAGGTTTGCGGCTTGTGCTGAATTTGTCATGATTTACTCCTGGAGCGGGTTTTATCTCTGCTGCCATTTCACTCTTTGGAACGCAATCTTTCAAGTGGGCTTGTCATTTGACAGTTGTCAGACTTCGATGTTAATCAGAGTTTATGTACCTTACGAAGACGGAAGGTCTGATTTTTTTACAGATTGTGGAGAACCTATCGGTCTTGCGTGTGCGTTATTCCTCACGAATCTTCTTCGCATTCCTTTTTATCGACTGCTACTGTAGCAGTGCTACAAATGTCGTACAAGCATGAACAAGGCATACAAGAGACGTTACAACAACCAATGCAATCTTGTGTCCCACGAATTGGTTAGGCTTCGACAACACAGTACTTATATGTATTAAGATGATATTAAGAAATTAGTGCCTTCATCTCTTATAAATAAACTGAGACTGTTACGTCCAGTGATGCCAGAAAAGCACCGTCGGGTGCACACTCCCCATACCAGATACGCGTAAGTAAGTAAGTACGTGAGCTCGTGGAGTTTCGGAAAGACGACAAAGGCAAACTGACGCATGCCCGCTTTCTCGATTCTCCGAAGCTGCCCGAAGAAATTTCGGACCGCTTCGTGGAAGTCGAGAGAGAAAGGCTCACATTTGCCTTCTCGCTCCCACACAACTGAAATCCGACCGCCCGTCAACGGCATACGATTTGGATTCTCGACTGCCCAGGCATTTTTACTTTCCGACCTATGTACTTTAGGCGCACATAAGCAAAGTACCCATAATGAAAAAAAAAATTTTGTAAAATTTATTTTACGGAAATACACGTTTCAAGACCTCCTGATCATATTTTAATTATTGAAAAAAAAGAAATTTTTTTTTTATTCCCATGAATGAGCGCACATATGTATATTATTAATACGATTTTTGAAAAAATGAAAATACTCTAAGATTGAAAATTAATAAATTAAAATGAGATTCCACTCTTTATCAGTATTGTGAACGCTGTGGCATTTTTCAATAAGAAGAGTTCTTATTTCTTTTTTGTAGAAGTTGAGCTGATGAATACCTAGAAGAAAGTATTAGACAACATTTAATTTTGATTTCGATTAAAAATGAAATTTATATTGTTTTAAATTCGCAGCCATTAGCTCGGTGTTACCCATAATGAAGAAGTTGTTCTTCAAAGGTAACACCGATTACCAGGTCTCACCACGAGGAGGTTGCTGCGAGTGAAGACCCAAAGTGAGACCGATGGAACAAAGTTCGATCAATCTTCCTTTTTACAGACTTAGAACTAACGCATGACGCAAAAAAAAAGATGCCAAGTAATTACTGTTCTAAAACAAAGGAGGAAGCTAAATTGTGGGAGACGCGACACGACGAAACGCGACACAATACTGCACAGTGCAGTAGGAACATGAGGTGCGACACGTACCGAATAGCGGGTCAAAAGGGGCAGCTCGTTACCTCCTTAGCAAGTCCAATTGAAGGGGAGGAGAATCGACGCACCAGACACGGGTTCCCCATTTCTCCAACGCGTCCTGCTGGGAGCCCGTAGGACCCAACCCGGGACGTCTTACACAGGAGAGAGATCCTGAGTCGGGGCTACCGCAGACAGGAACAGGTCCCCTCTACGGCCGATGACTCTTTCCCTAGAATTGTCTCACCAGAGGACGGCAACCGACCCTTCGAACCATCTAAACGGCCGATCACTTGCTTTCTACATTAAAGCAGCGGTGACCGGAGAAACGAGACTGGAAAATAAGCTATTAATTCATTCATTACTTGGCAATCTACGCATTAAATAAACTAATATACAATGTAAATTGAAAATTAACGTCGTAGGTGGAATTAATGAGATTAAGGAATTGAAATAAACATAGGAATGAATAAGAAAGGAAAAAGAAATAGTCGACGTTAATTTTTACACTCGCGCCGCGCCTTAAATTTAATGCCCTTACGTGCAGATGAATCCGAAGTCCTCCCTCTAAAAATTTATCTGAATAAAAACTCAAATAAAAATTAGTAGTTAAACAAACAAATTAATTAATAATAAATAATAAATATAAGGACAAAGAAACAAATATACAATCAAGAAGAGAATCATTTGGAAAATAACAACCCCACGATGTTGAAAATGAGGAAAATGAGGAAAAATAACAACCCAACGATGAAGAAACCAAGAACAGAATAATTTAAAAAATATCGACCCAACGATGTAAAAAAACGATGTAAAAAAGCTGAAATAAAAATAATTGATTCATTAACGAGACGAACAACCCAAATAGAGTACATCACCTATATACATATATATATATATAAACAAAAAAGACAATGTTGGGATTAGTTGTATTAATATAATTACATGTATACCAAACGGTGATCCTTCCTGGTCAGCATCGCAGAATCAGAGAATCTGAAACAGAAAGAAAAACGCGTGACAGTACCCCCGGCGGTTCCAGGAGTACTGAAAAGAGTCGATCAGCTGTTCCCGTTTTTATGCAGTCGGACAAAAGTAATCCCTAGCCAATCAGCAGCCAGTCCGCTGGGGGCGACACTCCGATAGGGCGGCACTTGCTTCACCTAAGTTTATAAGAGACCCCCCTGAGGCCCGCGCGGGGGAGTTATCTCCCAACCGCCAAGCAAAACGGACCGTATCGAGATGAAGAATTTAATTGAAGACTTACATTCGATCAAAATCGAAGATGGCGGCCAAGAAGATGTATCACGAGCAGCGGCCAAGGGACAAAATCGGTCTTTTTAAAGACCAAGAAAATCTCATTTGTGGGAACAACTTATGCAATGAACTGAACAACTTTTATATTTAACAACTCAGAGACACTTTACATCTCTGTTTTGTAACAACTTTTATATTTAACAATTCAGAGACACTTTACATCACTGTTTTGTAACAACATTTATATTTAACAACTCAGAGACACTTTACATCTCTGTTTTGTAACAACTTTTATATTTAACAACTCAGAGACACTTTACATCTCTGTTTTGTAACAACTTTTATATTTAACAATTCAGAGACACTTTACATCTCTGTTTTGTAACAACTTTTATATTTAACAATTCAGAGACACTTTACATCACTGTTTTGTAACAACTTTTATATTTAACAACTCAGAGACACTTTACATCTCTGTTATGGAACAAGTTATGCAATAAAACTGAACATGGTATATTTGCCTATACATATAGGAAGGAAATTCGTCGTTAGTATTGTCGCCCGTCAATGCACTTAATTATGCAAGATCAGTATACTATCTAATTTTATTTTTTATTATACCGGTTTGTAATATCGTAAAGATCAATGCAAAAACATTATGCACAGCTCTTGTATTTCTTTGATTTATCCAAGTAGTCAAAGTATAATATTTAACAAACTTTTGATTCAAATAAAATAACGAATGACACAAAATTTGAGTACCTGTTACATGCAACCTATGTAAAAATGCATAACTAATATTGATATACGCATAACGAACTTAGTTTGTGATATGAAACATTAAGAAAAGTGTAAATTAATAAATAGGTTTCAAAATGGGTATTCCGGGTTTAACAACTTTCATAAACAATCGTTCAGATCGTTATTAGGAATAGTTCGAGCTACGTGATATGTATTTAGTTATTTAGCTGTTAAATATATAATTCGTACAAGTGCAATTGTGTTTTTGTCGGTGATTACGATAATTACGCTCAACGAGTATCGGATTTTTTTGACGATTTGATAAAGTGCAATGCAGTACCATTAGTTTTGATCGATTGTGGTTGCGAGGATAAGAAACTGCAAACAGTTAAATCTAGAACTAGAGAAAAGGTTCGTACACCATCATCTTTTTCTCCGATCTGTCAACAGAAAATGAAATTTTTTCCTTTACATATTTAGGAAGTTTTCAAAGATGTTACGAGAAAGAAGAATATTCGTCATGTGCAATGCTTATTCGAAGCTGATAATGCTATAGCTACTGTAGCAAGGATATTGAATTGTCCTGTATCGAGTTATGATTCAGATTTTTATGTGTTTGGGACATTGTACATACCATTTGATACATTGGACAATTACACGGTGAAAAGTTCAACTGGAAATGGTTACACGAAACGTTGTAAAATTTATAAAGTTGAACACTTATTAAATTCTTATAGAGGTCTAAGTCAATCTACACTGCCATTAGCTGCAATATTACTAGGCAATGATTATGTAAAACGTGGTACATTTAGAAACATCTTTGGTTATTTAAAGTTACGACGAATAACAAGAAAAAGGTATAGTAATCGACAGTATTGTATAGAAGCGACTTTACAATGGTTGAGTGGATTTTACACCTTGGACAGAGCAGTCATTGGAATACTATGTAGATCACCTAAAACCGTAAGACAAAAAATATTAAGCATAATAGAAATCAATATAAATGGCTATACAAATGCATCTGCAGAAATACTTGTTCCATTGGGGTTTTTACAGGAATATGCAGCTCGTGCCACAACACATTCCATAAACAGAATTTTTAAATTTGATGGAGATGTTAATAGTCTAATGTACACGGAAGAAACTGATAAAAATGGAGACTGAAGAAGAAGAAGAAGAGGAAGAAAACGAAGTTGAAATATTAGACATGCTTAAAGGGGTCAGAATCTGCTACCACTAATGCACTAGCTAATGTACCTAATTTGTTTGTAGATGAATTTCTTATGGGCAATTATCCTGCATATTTTATGGACTTGTTGGTTCGACGTTTATATATTTGTCCTGTACAAATAGAGGATTATTCCTATCCATTGAGCAATGTAATAAGTTTAAAAATTATTAGAATTATATATGCATTTCTGCAATCAGGAATGAATAAAAGGAGAGGTTTTATGAAATACATGATGAGAGACTGTAATAAAAAGCTTAAATGTTACGAACCAGAAGGCACCGACACTAAATTTTCTTCCCCATTACTGTCCTTATCTAATCTTAGAGAAGTACCATTAACGAGTCCAGGATTAAAAAATAATGTACAAACATGCGTCATTGATTTTTCATTACCATTTGAATTTAAATTCAAGTTATCTAGACACAAATATATAAGCAAAGCTCATAATGAATGAAAAATTGACAAGTAAATACACGTTTCAAGACCCCCTGATCATGTTTGACATAAAACAATACTTTGGAAATAAATCGTTTGAATATAGTTTATCAAGTAAGACTTTCGAAATTATTTTTAAACGATTTATTTTCTAATTGTTCTACTATTTCAAACAATAATTTTTTGATCTTATAGCAAAGAATGTTTACTTAATATCAATTCAATATGAATATAAAAGTTGTTACAAAACAGAGATGTAAAGTGTCTCTGAATTGTTAAATATAAAACTTGTTACAAAACAGAGATGTAAAGTGTCTCTGAGTTGTTAAATATAAAAGTTGTTACAAAACAGAGATGTAAAGTGTCTCTGAGTTGTTAAATATAAAAGTTGTTCAGTTTAGCGGTTCCCACAAATGAGATTTTCTTGGTCTTTAAAAAGACCGGTTTTGTCCCTTGGCCGCTGCTCGTGAACCATCTTCTTGGCCGCCATCTTCGATTTTGATTGAATGGAAATCTTCAATTAAATTCTTCATCTCGATACGGTCCGTCTTGCTTAGTGGTTGAGGGATATCTGCCGCGGGCCCGCCAGGGGGCACGGTTTTTATAGAACTTCTTGAAGCCGGAAGACTGCTGACTGGCTGCTGATTGGTTCGTTGATTCTTTGGCTTGACTGCATAAAAGCGGGCACAACTGACCGACTCTTTTCAGTACTCGTGGAACCGCCGGGGGTAGTGTCACGCGTTTTTCTTTCTGTTTCAGATTCTCTGATTCTGCGATGCTGACTGGTGTCGCCGATTGGTATATACATACATATATTTATATTCATATAATTAATACCATTATTGTGTTTTCTATTTATATATAGGGATGTAATATTTCGTTGTTGTGTTCCTCTCTCCAATAATTCATTCAATTGTTTTTTCTTTCAGCTTTTATCTACATATATTACATCGTTGGGTAGATATTTTTCCAATTATTCTGTTCTTTATTTTCGACATCGATGGGTTGTTATTTTTCGAATTATTTTGTTCTTCATTCTTTACTTCGTTGGGTTGTGATTTTTCAAATTATTTTGTTCCTCATTGTCTTTCATCGTGGGGTTGTTATTTTTTTAATTATCCTGTTCTTGGTTGTATATTTGTATTTGTCCCTATATTTGTTCACATAATTAATTCTAATTTGTGTCTATAACTACTAATTTTTATTTTAGTTTTTATTCAGATTAATTTTTAGATAGAGGACGACGGATGCAAGATTCATGCGTATTACCGTTAAATTTAAGGCGCGGCGCGAATGGTAAAATTAACGTCGAATATTTCTTTTTTTCCTTTCCTATGTTTCTCAATTCCCATTTTAATCTCATTAATTCCACCTACGACGTTAATTTTCTGTTTATATTGTATATTAGTTTATTTAATGCGTAGATTGCCAAGTAATGAATGAATTAATAGCTTATTTTCCAGTCTCGTTTCTCCGGTCACCGCTGCTTTAATGTAGAAAGCAAGTGATCGGCCGTTTAGATGGTTCGAAGGGTCGGTTGCCGTCCTCTGGTGAGACAATTCTAGGGAAAGAGTCATCGGCCGTAGAGGGGACCTGTTCCTGTCTGCGGTAGCCCCGACTCAGGATCTCTCTCCTGTGTAAGACGTCCCGGGTTGGGTCCTACGGGCTCCCAGCAGGACGCGTTGGAGAAATGGGGAACCCGTGTCTGGTGCGTCGATTCTCCTCCCCTTCAATTGGACTTGCTAAGGAGGTAACGAGCTGCCCCTTTTGACCCGCTATTCGGTACGTGTCGCACCTCATGTTCCTACTGCACTGTGCAGTATTGTGTCGCGTTTCGTCGTGTCGCGTCTCCCACAATTTAGCTTCCTCCTTTGTTTTAGAACAGTAATTACTTGGCATCTTTTTTTTTGCATCATGCGTTAGTTCTAAGTCTGTAAAAAGGAAGGTCGATCGAACTTTGTTCCATCGATCTCACTTTGGGTCTCCACTCGCAGAAACCTCCTCGTGGTGAGACCTGGTAATCGGGTGTTACCTTTGAAGAACAACTTCTTCATTATGGGTAACACCGAGCTAATGGCTGCGAATTTAAAACAATATAAATTTGATTTTTAATCGAAATCAAAATTAAATGTTGTCCAATACTTTTTTCTAGGTATTCGTCAGCTCTACTTCTAGAAATAATTTCAATGAGATAAGTTTTACTTTATTTATTTTCAAAAATCGTATTAATAATATACATATGTGTGCTCATACATGGGAATAAAAAAAAAATTTCTTTTTTTTCAATAATTAAAATATGATCAGGAGGTCTTAAAACGTGTATTTCCGTAAAATAAATTTTACAAAATTTTGTTTTCATTATGGGTACTTTGCTTATGTGCGCCTAAAGTACATAGGTCGGAAAGTAAAAATGCCTGGGCAGTCGAGAATCCAAATCGTATGCCGTTGACGGGCGGTCGGATTTCAGTTGTGTGGGAGCGAGAAGGCAAATGTGAGCCTTTTTCTCTCTCGAATTCCACGAAGCGGTCGAAGACGGTGGTTTTCTGGCATCACTGGTTACGTCTCATATGGAGAGGTTTGTTTCGAATTTCGATCGTTCGAATAGTTCTTTTTAATTTCGAGCTACTGATCGTCTCTCAAGCTATGGATGGAGAAACAGTGGAGTGGATAACGACCATAACGTAACGCAGTATCCATCTGGTATCCATCCTGGATGGATAGACGTGAGGCAATACCACAGACGAGGTATTATACGAGTAGACGGTCTGGTCACCAGAGATATTTTTCTTTTGTGTTATCGGTATGTTTCCTATATATACAAGTGAGATCATGTATACTTTTACAAACTAAATATGTAGTAATTATGGTTCGTGTCACGATAGTAAACAAACATGGACAAACTGAAACGTTTAAATTTTCCATTCGTGATTCTGATATGTACGAATTCGCATTCTTTTTTAACAAGCATGCAGTATCTTTAATAGCGATCATAGTAATTACATTACTATTTGAAAAATCAAAAGCATTATATATAAAATTCTTTGCTTCCAATGATAACCTCACATTTTTCCACGTTAAAACTGTTGAAATGTCAGGTCAATGAAAAGATACATTATCTTAACTAAATAATATTTACTTTTTTTTTTTTTCAGAAAAACCTAATTGTTTAAAAGTTTTCTTGTAAAAACTGGAACAACATGTTACTGAGAAAGGTGTTGAATATATTTCGACCTAATAGTCACGTGCAGGCTAGATTGTATAAACAACGTTTTGCCGTAGCATATGCTGTCCTTGGATGGCACGTTTGTGGATTAATATTTTATATGTTGTATAATCAAGGTTTACCCACGGATAAAGAGGAGCGAAGTATTTACCATAAAGTTACCAATTTACTTTGTTTTTTTCCACTTCTTAATCCATTCTATAAAATATAAATGTTTGTAGAAGCTGTACTGTTACAATGTCTGGATCATGGTCAAGATGTACATAAGATACGATTAAGTGGAATGACTATGGTAGATAGAAAAGTTGTAAGAAGTGACGAGGACACTGTATCGCAAGTTCCAGCAAATTAACAACATATAAACTTATAAACGATGTGACGCATCAAAGTAATTTAGTATTTGAAACTTAAACTAATTTATTGATTAATAATTAATAAAATAGATTAAAAAAAATAAAATTCCATCAAGTTTTACTATACACAAATACAGTTATGAGAATAGCTTGGTAAATTTCTTCTGCTCGCATTGTGTGCAGGGCCTCTTCTTGACATGCAAAAAGTACGGTAATTTGAAATGTTTTTATAAAATTTTACTCAAGGAAGAGACTGTCGTAGGGCAATTGCTCCTGACAAGGAACTTGAAGTTTCTGGATTTAATTCCTTCAGCCTTTGTTCCATTTCGCATAATAAAGCTGACCTAAAGAAACAGTATTTGACAGCAATAGACGTTAACGGGAAATTATCACAATAGGATGTAAGAACAAACCTGTATTCTTCGTAGCGCATAACAACTTCCTCCAACTCTTGTTTGTACAGTCTCGTAAGCATGGCATTGAAACAGTCTAGTTCAGGTAAACGGAAAAGCTCCCACCGTAATTTTCGATCTAACGCGACGGATGCTCTGCTATATACATACAACCAATGAGGTATTTCTTCGTTTAAATACGGGTTAGCTGGAACTAAAACGCTATGAGAGTGGAAGTGTGTATGTCGCGGAGGCGCTACAACGCGTACTGCTTGGATTTCATGGGGATAACATGGATGCTCGTACTGGGCTTGTCGTGTAATATGACTGAAAACCATCAAAAATTTTTCACAATCATGCTAATTTACTAAAAACTTTAAACATTTCCCCGTACTTACTTAACGTAATAAACACCATATTCGGGAGACTCTATTCTTTCCCAACCTGTAGGTAAGCCTTCCTTTTCCAGAGGATGAGACCAATGAGTGGTTTTTGTATTATGATCGATATAATATTTCCTGCCTCTTAGAGTAAAGTCGACAGACCACCCAGGCGGTAGAGGAAGTTCTTCCTGTTGTTCGTTCCTAGAACTTGATCTTTCAGAGTGGCATCGACTATATCTTGAAAATATCACAAAGAAGACGTATGCGATATGATAATTTTTGACAAACCTACGGTAATAATAATTTTCTACCCTGTATTTTGACGATACGCAGAATGATTATACTCTTCGTAACCCGAATCGATGTCAAAGGGCTTATAAGGCATCTGCGGTGTTTGAACCCTATCTAAATGATACTCGGATCCGGCATACTGATTAACATAAGTATGAGATATAGCAGGCGAAAGTCTGGAATGATACATCGGAGTCGCTGTACGAGACGGCATCCCATCTCTTGTACTAGTATTGACAGAGAGACTGGCAAATCTGGAGAAATACATTTTAAAGAATTGTTTGGCTTTCAAATAATTGACTAAGGATCTTAAATTCATTTTCATAAATTACCTTTGAGCTAAATCCGGTACAGAACTATTAGGAGTATACTTTCCTTCGTGACTTCCTAGACCTACGGCGCTCATTGTTGTCTTAGTGTTTCCAAATTTCTGTACCATACTGGGTTGTTGCGGAATAGACTATGTAAAAATTAAATTTTTATTCACCTACAAAAATATAATGCGCATCATTGCTAATTACCATAGACGTCGAAATAGTTTGATGGTTATTACGATTCCTTGTTCTTCTGTTCGGTTCTGTGGTCCATACGTTAATAACTAAAAATAAATAGCGCTTTGAAAGGAGGGACCGACTCGAAAAACAACTATTACAATCGTTAGATACGATAAATGGGAAAATAGAAAGATAGAGAAATAGAAAAATGTCCGAAAAATATGCATGAAATGTAATAGAGAAACAATTTACTTGACTGTCAAGCATGTAAAATAAAAAGAAAAACTACGTACTTGGCATTTCAGGCGGAGTTTCCTTCTTCACGTATTTTCCGACAACTCCTTCTTTGATTGTCCTTAAATCTTTATTTTTCCGTGATAACATCGTAACGATAAATATTCGATCAAACGTTAAATCAACAATATTCGATGTTTTATAACTGCTTATAACCTAAATAAACACGATGTTAGAATTTCGGCATCGACACGCTCGTATTTCGTGCACATTCATTTATATAGATAGACGACGATTCTTGTCATTTACATCTTTACGAGACTTTGTTTCGCAAATCTGTCAAATTGTCGAGTATTTTTAAATTATATACCGCGTTTGACGTATGTACGCTCGCATCTTTCTCTTCATGTTGAGAATATTTTATGAATACAAGTAGCCTACTATGTAAGTACCAATATGTAACAGACAGTGCGTCAATTATTTAAACCATTAGAACCTCACAGAAAATTTTCTACCGATTATTTTATCCAATTTCTTACGGACTTTTCAACATTAATCACTTACTACAACATTTAATCGTCAGATCTGTACAATGTTTAAAAAACCAATCAAACGTCGATCATTTATTTAATCCGTCGATTGGTTGTTAATTTCATATGTTTATATTATATTAATTATTCTTTAAAACGAAACAATACTCGTCAATTCAGAAATTAGGACAAGAATTATATTCGTGTATAGTTCGTTTAGTAAATAATTCTTTCAATTGTTTTAGAGCTTTTAGTGGTACGTAACTTTTTCAGAGCCGTCATTTATGCTCGATGCATTTTCCCTTGTTGTTTTATTTCCATACGTATATTATATGTATGTATACGCACGCATAACATCTCTTACTTCCATTCACTGATCATAACCTATCTCAATCATTGATATATGTACATACATGCATTACGAAACTAAAATGTCGATTAATAATACGTGTATCCTTTCTTTATAGGATTTATATACACGCTCTCCCAGAAAATCTATTATAATCCTCTGAAAAATAACAAAAATTAATATTTTCTAATTTTATCAAAGATAACCATACAACGTTATAAAAAAAAACTATTTTAAAATCTCAAGTTACAACTTTAAAATATATTTAACAATTTTTTAAACGATATATTTTTAACAGCATCACTTTCAAATCGATAAGTGTCAATTTCTTCTTAAATGCCTCAATTTGGATGTCATGCAACAATGGTGTAACAATGTTTCTTTTTCAATTTTTAACAGCGGCCAGTAAACTTTAAGAGTCACTTATTTAATTACGCTGCCATTTTTTTTACACGGTTATCGCAACAATTTAACCAACCCTTTCATTGTTCAATAAAATCGGGACAAAATGGTAGGAAAAAAAAAAAAAGAAACATGCGTAGCTTACTAGAGGCACGATTAAAGGTGAGACTCTAAAATCTAATATGTTGTTGATCAAAATTGAGAATAACATTATTTACATTCTATGCATCACCTCAATTTAAACATTATCACTGTTTGAAAATGCATTTTCGGGTAAATCGTTCGATACGTTTTTAAACTTGAAGCTTCAATCTTTAAAATGCTTTTTGCCAGGTCATTGTACGGCTGTTTATAATAAAATTAAAAAATTTTCAATTCCATTATCGTTCAGACGATTGTAAAGCGAACCTTCAATTTTCTTGGCAAGTGTATGCTGTATTATGTTTTTGTGTCAATGAGATTCCACTGAATTGAATATGTTGCATCTAAATAGAATATTAAAGTTTTTTCGTTTTAAGAAATTATTTTCGTAAACCAGACAAAACGGGGACTTTCTTCGTGAAATAGGTCATACAGAAATGAAACATTTAAATACTTATGCTAATATTTAAATAGTAATGATACTGTGGTATTGTTCTTTTTAAATTAAATCTTTTTTTAAAATACTGTTAAAAATATCTATAATAAATAAAATATACGGGGTGGCTCACACAATAGAGCCAAGATATATTTTTAAAATGCTTCTACAGAGAGACAATGTCATAACGCGAAGTTAAATGGTTTACAAAAAAAAGAGCATGTTTTGATAGTAGTTTTATGCGTTTTATTCTATTATTGCAACTAAAACATTCAACTGCATTTATTTTTTATATCGAATTTCGTACGTTTAAATTCTCTGATCTATGCACTTTTTTTCTCCTCTACAGGAAAGTAGAGACAGGGATTTATACCTTAAAACTGCTAATTTAAAAGTTATTGCAATTTCAAGATATCCTTAGTCTTCCGCTACTAACTCGTGACTCGTTCATTGTTGATCACGTGTTAATACTGTATCGTATGCGATTATTAGTTGGTTATAACTTTTAAATTAGTAGTTTAATAATAAGGGCATGAGTTGTTTAATGCTTTCTCATAGAAAAGAGAACAATCCAACGATTAGAGCATTTAAAAGTATGGGGTTCTACATAAAAAGTAGATACAGTTTAGCTTTTTGGTTGTAGTAATGAAAAAACAAAACTGCATAAATCTAATATTAAAACATGCTCCATTCTATACGAGTTAACTTTGCCCCATAACATTTTTCTATTTCTCTAAGGATTTTAAAAATATAGCTTGTCTCCATTCTGTGGAACACTTTGTATGTCATACATATGTATCTTCTTGTAATTGTAATCTTATAAGAATCTTTCTAGCAAGGTGGTTGGTACACCTTTCAGCCACAGTTATTGTAGTGTATATGTATAAATAAAAAAGTAATAATCTTAATCAATTACTGCACTTAAATTTATTATACGAATAGCTAACTATTCTTATGTTTAATATGACAAGGATAAATTAATCAACTTTCATTTATGTTATTCTTTTTACATTCTAAAATCAACTGTACAACTGTTGGTTTCCTAACAGTGATTAATACGAGTATTTGAAGTATATATCTATTAAATCTATATATACATTGAAATCATACTGTCACTATAATTCGGACTAATCGTAACTAAGTTGAGGTTGCTCGATTATAATTTGCACAGAGAGAGGGGGGGAAAAAAAAAAAAAAAAAAAAAAACTGATATAATAATCACAAACAGTTGAGTTTTAACAATAAATACATACGACAGACTATCACAGTGTAGTTCATGTTTGTATCCATAGGATTTCTATTGTTCGAAACTTTTGATTATGTTCCATTTTCTGCAAATTATGGAAGTACTTGTTTGCAAACATATGTTTAATTCTGGTATTGATGATGTTGCGCAAATGCAGTCGTCACGATATAAAAAAATACCAACTCACAAACACACATACACACATACGTATGTGTATGCATGTACGTATATATGTATATTAGTAGAATTCCTTATTATTGTAGACTTGAAATTGTATTAAATGTTAAATTAGCCCAAAACGTAACACTATTGAAATGCTCTATTTGTGTGAAAATGGGGAAAGAGGATATTCATAAATCCAAAAGAAAATAGGCCATAATAAGCAACTAGCAACCTGATGGATGGTGTTACCGATGTTCGCGTGATCAACGCATTTAAAAAGAATTTGAGAGTAGAAATAAATTAGACGTTCGTTTAATAAAGTGTCTATTTATGCGTATAGAACTCTTATGACTTTATCTATGTTGTTCTTCTCGCGTCACATTACAGCATTTACAATAATTATATACTTTAATTTATTTTTTAACTAAGTTTTCATGAAGTGGAGATAAACAGTGTACAAAGTAAACAAAGTGTACTATGAGGTATGAGGTAAAACATATTTGACGGAAAACAAAAGATGGAAAAGTAAAATGTAACAAATATCTTGAATGTCTCAATTACTTCATGAAAATATGAGCAAGCAGTCACTCATTTGTTAACCATCTATTTAGTAAGATCTACTATTGTTTATTACTATTATTATTATTATTATTATTAATTATTAATTATTAATTATTAATTATTAATTATTAATTATTATGCAATGGTAAGAAACTTTAAAAACGATCCCACGTCTTTGCGGTGGCCTGTGGGAGCACAGCTCCGAATAAATCTTATGCATTGTATCTCTATTATTTATTATATTTATAAGCAATGGATATTTTGGTACAATTAATTTTTGTTACTGTATACTTGCCCCTCGTTTCTTTTATTTTTCTTTTTATTTAAAAAACAACATATATTTTTTACGTTTTTCTTTCACTGAATCGAACCTTATTATTCAATGTTATTCTTGATATGCTTATCGCATATCATCATGGCTCTTTTCTTCTTTGAAAAAATTTATTCAATTTGTTGCGGCCATGCAGTCGGCATAATATTAATATTTATAGCACAGCGGTCTGTACGTTACACGTGTTTACCATAGATTGGTGTATTCGTGTATGTGTGAATGTGTGACTCGTTATATCATCAATATTACTATATTTTTATAATATAATGTATTATATATATATATATATATGTATATGTATATGTATATGTATACATGTATACATGTATACATGCATACATGCATACATGCATACATACATACATATATACGTATATACACATATACATACACATATACATGTGTATACATATACATATATATACATACACACACACATACATATATATATACACGCCTAACTTTATTATGTTTTGTTATAGTTATCATTATCATTAATACGAATATATGATACATTTCAAACAACGCTCCTGCTGGCTCCGTTGGAGACGAGAACAGAGTAAGGTGTGTCAGTCATCGGAGAATATTAGCCATTTAGTAACCGAAGCGAATATCACATGCAAAACTCAATGTTATAACAATATACTTTATCTATTTGAATTTACACCTTGATCATTTCCTCCTACCGAGCATAGTTAAATTTTAGTTAAGGGGCTAACATCCTCGTATCATGTGCTGACACCGAGTACATTATACAACTTAAATCATTGCGGTTAAAGAAAAAGGAAAAAGAAAAGTGGGAATTAATGTACACAATAAAAATATTAGAACTCAACAATCATCATCAAGAATGAAATTGTGATTACTGCTTCGTTCATTCGTTTCTTCTTCTTCTCCGTTTCGCCCAACAGGCGTAACTAACGAAAGGAATTACATTACGTCAAGAATGCCATTGTGTGAGACACTTTGCTTCACTAACAACAGTAATTTTTGCATGTAGTGTATGGACAATCGACGTAAACTAAGAACTAATGATTGGGCAGCGTGGTAATGTACTTCCATCTGAAATAAACAATGATTTTAGTAAGCAACTTGTGACTTATGAATTCAAATTTAATTATACATATTTAACCGTTTCGATACGGCAGAATTGAACCGAGAAGCCAAGCATTCCCGCTAGTCGAGCGAATGGAACACGTTTGTCAGGAAATACAACAAATTACAAATTGCCATGTAATTTGAAAATAAATATTTTCACGTATATTTGTTATTTAGAACTTTTCGCTGATCAAAGCCCGTCAAAAATAAAGGATATTTAATTATTCTATCAGAGAGTTCGAGTTATCACTGGACACACACTTTCGATCCGGAGACTGAGAGTATCCTTTTGTACCGAAAGGATCATCAAGAGGAAAGGATATTTATCAGTAAAAAAAATTCTATTTTATTATGGTCACTCACCACCAGCTCAGGGGTGGGCTCGTGTCGCAGGTGTGGTAGTGACAGAAACTAGTGTGTTGGCTGTAGTTGTTAGAGCATTACGCCGTTCTACCTCCAATTCATTCAGTTTCTTCCACAATTCGTCCCTTTCCTTCTCCCTCTTTTTTTCTCTAACATGACAAAATATTTCTATAGATAACGTTAAATTTATCGAAAACTTTTTACCACGTTTTATTTCTAGATGAAAAAATTCAACCGATGGATTTATTTTTCTCTAAAAATGAAATATTACTTACTTTTGCCTTTCGGACTTGTAACTTGCAGTTAATTCATCAAACAGTTTGCTATTCATTTCCATAAATGTCTTAAGAACGTTGTAAACAAGCGCTACGATGGTTTTATTCCAATGTTCTTTGCTAATTCTATACAATGCCGGGAACATAATTCCCATTATTACATGATTGTTTTCTTCAATTAATGACATTATGTACTCATTATTCCAAAAGAAGAGCGCTCTTTCAGCTACCTGTGATAAAAATAGAAATATAATGAGGTTGTATAGTAGATCGAATTAGTATTGAATTTGTATTTAAAGTACCTGAAAATGCGGTGAAGATACACAACGTGCAATTTGCCTGAACAAGGGCTCTTGTATTTTAACAAATTGGCTAGGTTCAATGACGTCCAAAATTTCTTCAATTTCACCAAGGAACATTACCTCCTTCTGGCTACATGTTTTAGGCCAGAATTTAAGGAGACCCCGTATAACTGGTTCTGTTAGAGTTGCATCCTTTTCAAGAAATTGTACCACACAATAAGCTAACTGTGCATGATATAACGATAAACATTTCACCTTATGTAATGGTAGCAGCACCTGCGATGATAAACGATAGATCGAAGAAACATGTATCGTAAATAATAGGTATACATATAGGTATATATGAAAAATATTTACCTTAACCAAGAATTGCTTGTGCTCGATTTTTAAAGGAAGGGCAAATCCGTTGATAATGCTACCCAGAATTTCCAAAAGTTCACCGACTCCGTTGAAATGCTCCGTTTCATATACAAACCTGCGCGGTAAAGAGTGGTAAAGATAATTTTGGTTAAATGTTCATTTCTGTCTAATTAGGAGTATATAAAATTGAAATACCTCAAAAAAATGTTGTTAATTTGTTTGCGTATGAAGGCTCTGAGGCCAAGGAACTTTCCATATATACGATGCAAGACGGTTTTCAACAAATCCCTTTCTCTAGGATCCTCCGAATCAAACAATTCCAGCAACTAGAAAACAATCAATATCAATTATAATAAAAGATCGTAGATAAAGGTATAATAACGCGGTGCGTTAATGGTTGTTTTGCTGGTTGAAAAAATGTTGTACCTGTAAAACAAATTTTTGGTCGATAACTCTTTTGCCAATTGTAGGCTGGAAATCTGAAGATTCAAGAAAACGTAGAAAGAACTCGTAAACTAGCTGAAGGTGGGGCCAGCTCGCCTCCAGTGTTGGATCATCCTCTTCTGGATCGAAATCGGGATTCTCGCTGGGTGGCAATGTGCGAAACAGATTTGCAGAAATCTTCAACAAACGTATTATTTTATATTGAAAATGAAATTTTATTGGAAAGTTATAAGCGCAACTATTACTTTAATTTCGTTTTCAATAGACCTACCATCTTAATAATTTCTGGATAGACAGGCTCGGTGAGAACGCCTCGTCCAACTGTAATATATTCTACCAGCTCATTCAGTGTACTACGTTTAATTTCTTTGCCCTTAAGATCTGCCATTGGATCCATGAAGTCGAAGGTCACACAGCATTGTCGAAGCTTTCTAATGAATAAATCTTCTTGATCCGATGGCATAACATCTGCAACATATCGGTAATCTCATGTTAATTTAATGAAACAAATTCCATATCGATTCGAATAAAATTTACATCGATGTAAAATACACAAGCATTTCTTTTTAACAAAAAATTCATTTGTCACGTATTCATCATCGTTATTATTAACAATTAATAATAATCTTTTTGTACATTTTTTATGTGATCTTGTCCCACAGCTATCGTTGATTTAAGAACCATCTCTGTGACCATTCCAGTAAGTGCAATTCCATTGTAAATGCACAACCCATTGATTAGTATTGTTGTTACGTTGTTCATGATATCAATCACCTGTTGTGCCACATACGAGGTGCGTTGTTCACAGTGTAGTGGAATCAGCAGGTTGCGGAGTGTTATTTTTCGTTCGTCTATGAATTCTGATACAATATCCTCAGGATCGGACTTGGAGCATTTAGGCCAAAGAGAAACCAGGGCACTGCTACCAAGATCTCCTACCAAGCAATTATCAAACACAGGGATATCATCACCAATAGTATTTCATTTTCGTTCTTCTTCTCTTTTTTTATTTTCAGACCCGAAATGTATGAAATAGTATGCTATAGGATATATGTATATTTCATTCGCGTATAGTATGAAAACTGTGTAAAATCCATATTATTAACCCTTGGGCATCTCGTATGAAGAATACGTGCGTGGATCGTGTGTATCGTAACCAAGTTGTTTCGAAAGTCAGAAATAATTTTTAACTTTGTAGAATTACTCGTACCAATGTGTTCAACTATTCGACGCTATAATAGAGTGAGAGAAAAAGAAACAAACGTGAAGAATTATTTATCAAATTAGTTGGATCGGTCGTAAAGTTTTCTTTTCATCCTGTTCACCATTCTATTCATGGTTAATCAGATTTCGTTATCGATGTAGGGGTAAAAAGTGTGACGCGGTGCGTTCTCGTCGGGCAATCTCGATTTTCATCCACGATCAGCGGATGTGTTTCGTTTCATTTCATCGGGCGCGATTTTTCTAGCAAAACTCTAGTCATCGGCGGCGACAATAAGTTTAAATATGCAGAATCACCGATTGTGTTACTTTCACTTTATCGATACATCAGCAACGCGCATTATAATTATCTTCGGGGAACGGACTATCGTGTTTCGAAGTACATAGTTTGCTTTCTACGAGGCTGCAACGTGCCCTCAATGAAATTATCGAATTACGTGAAGCCTCGCCTCTCTCTCGTGCGCGCACGCACCCACGCATACACAATGGATTCTTAGAAATAGCCAAGTTGCATGTTTTGCCTTCAACTACATCAATATTATAATAGATATTATAATTTTTTATTTATTATTGTTCTTCTTACTCATACAATGTGAATTCTACACGCGTAACTCTCAGCTTTTAACAAGCTTATGTGTATAGTGATGATAGTGTTTGAACTGAAACGAATAATGTATGGTAAAAAGAACATACGATTAATAGTAGGTCGAGATATTTGACATTTAACATCACAGTTTAAACGCGTGTTCGTCTCCCGAAGTATGACTTTAGTTTAGAAGAGAGGCTTTAGTTTAGCGTAGTTGGCAGAGCTCTTGCCTGCTGGACCAATATTCTTTTTGGCACAAGTTCAAGCACCGTTCAGTACTTTTTCTCAAATATACGCACACCAAGTTTTCCTTGTTAAGTTTACAGTGTCTCGCGTATTTATTATATTTACATACTTTTCGATTCTAATAATTACCGCGTAAGCTTTGCTGTTTCGAATGTGAAATGTAAACACCCTCTGTACTACTATGTTTGTTTACATCTTGTTGTCAGCTTCGATACCCACTTTGCATGTAGTTGGCAGGATCGCTGCTGCCAAAATATATGTATATCGGTAACGTTAACAAATTTCTAAAAGCGGTGTAATATTTTTGAAATTAGAAAAAAATTCCTTTCAAAGGTTCTCAAATTGTCTATTATACATACTTATGTATATGTACCAGACGAGCGAATAATATTTACGAACATTCGATATACGTGTTTAAATGTTTAACGCGTTAAACGTGATGCCCGCCAATAGAGGGCCGATAGAAAGAAAAAAATTAGAATTAGTCTATAAAACATTACTATTAGATATAGTTCGTGTCCTCGAGGCATATTGTTCTCTATACATAAATGGTCGCGCGAAGATCCATTTATGCAGAGCCGCGTGCGAGCCAAAACTGCACGCGTCAATAGCGGAAGGAAATGCAAGTGTAACCGATCGTCACGATCGAACGTCATTCTCGAATGACGACACTCGTGGCTCGAGAATTGACTCCGTGCCCAGAATTCACGCTTCCAATTCACCCAAAACGTAATTAGAATTTTACTAGTGCCGCCGCATTGGCTGTGAGATAGGCAGTGTCATATGTCGGAAGTGCGATTTTATTATCCGTTGTCGGAGAATCGCGGTTTACATTGCACGAGATCTGGCTCGTGGCACGTGTTTTACCAATGTTTAATCTACAACTTTGCAGGTATGTACTTGGTTACGGCACGAGAAAACATTAGTGTCGATCCATATTTTAAAGGATTAAAAGGCCAACGATCGTTTTTCCTCGGTCCGCCGCGTCGCGTCGCGTCGCGTCGCGTCGCGTCGTATCGTTCGAAGAAAAGAAATTCAACGACACGAGGAAAGACGGGAAAAGGTCGAAGAAGAAGAATCGGTCGGTCGTTGCAAACGATTCCAAAAATAGAATTACGCGCTCGCTTGGTCGTTCGTTCCTGAGTTACGTGCACGATCATCTAGCATGCATGTATTTATAATTTCATTCATAACACGGTCGGTACTTTCACGTACTTACTCTTACCGACACGTAGTGTAACGTAGTTGCAAGGTTGCAAACACATTGCATTTTACGAGGGCCTCGAAACGATCAACGAAACAACATCGAGTATCGCGGATAGAATAAATCGGACAAGTTTATAATGTCCGTTCTCGATAAATCGTCAAACGAGAACTTTCGTTGTTAACTGTGTATCGACATTACGAATTGCAATTTTTTTACCGAATAACGGTGCGCGTTCGAAAAGAAGAACGAACACGATACACATTAAACTCGTACACGTTATTAGAAAATAAATATAAAAATATATCTCTTGTTCCAACTTGACTTAATTTCATTTCATTTTACTATCAAAAGTTATGATATTTTTTATATCAAATTACAATATATACTTGTAACATTAAAAAAAAAGTAATGCGATTATAAAATCGTTTAATAGAATTTTACTCGTACATTTGAAAAATATTTTAAACAGTTTCGTTCGTACCCCTTGATCCTCCAAGTATTGGGACTGTTACCTTAACTCGTGGTTTAGTTAGGGATCAACAGTTGTAACAAGGGTTAGGCAATACACGAAATCTCGGCGAAGAGAAAGAGAACGGCAGAGCATAGAAGAACGAGCGACAGAGGAAACAGAAGAGAAGTTAAAGGAATAGCAGAGAGCGTTCCAGGCAGGCGGTCACCAGCATTCCGGATCAATACTCCCGCCGGCGTTGCTTGCTTCTCTGGGGGTTCGTCGGCTGCCCGGCTTTTTCTCTTTCTTTCCTTTTCCTCTTCCCCACCCCCTCGCTCCATCTCTATTTCTCTCTCACTATGCGCGCGCGCGCACGTGTGTCTCATCTCTTTTCTATCAGTGAATGTGTGCATCGCGAACTCTGTTCAACGTTTTTCAGTGTTTTTCCTTACTTGCGGATTGTTCCCATCTTTCTCAGCATCTGCCCGTTCAATTCTTCGCTGTTTTGTCGAGCGACGCACACGCACACGCACACGCACACGCACACGCACACGCACACGCACACGCACACGCACACGCACTCTCTCTCTCTCAACTGTTATGTGCAGGTACTTTACCCCTCCTCTTTCTTCCCAGAAAAATAATTCGATATTACAAAATATTTTTATTTCGACCTTCATTCTATCTATCGATTTCGATTATTTTGGATATGTTATAGAGGATAAGATTTAAAACAACTTTTTCCTCTGCATGTATATGGCGATTGACCTTAATTTTCAAGATATTTGGAAAATTCTGATAATACTTTTACGTTGAATTGTGATTACATATGCAGATTCGCGGTAGAGATTGCGTGAATATGCGAAGCCAGGCGACTGCCACTTGTCTATTGTTTCTATAAACACACAGACAGTTCATAATCGACTTCATTAGTTATTTGGTAATGCTGAAATTGATCCGAATCGTGTCTTGGAAATATTCTTCAAAAAATAGAATCGAGTGTAAATTTTTCTTCTCCACGAGTTAATCAAGTTGACGTAGGCGAAAGAAAAACTAACCAAACTCTAAACTATTTCGTAAAAACTAATATTACCAAAGCAGTAAAATGTATAAAACTTTTATTTTGTTGGTTTGATGGCTCTGATTAGGCCGCGTATTCACTTGTGCAGCAACGAGCTGCGAGCTGCCAATGTTAACTGTATGTATCTCACTCGTATCGAACGAGTGGCGACTGCGCGGCAAGTGGATACTACGAGCTGTTTTACATCCTAGTCCGAGACACCGTTCCCCGAGTGTCGCTCGCTTCGAATCACCGTTTCAGTCGCCGTCGCGTCGCCACTTGGTGTCATTTTATTATTCGTGTGCGCGTTTGCTTACTCGGTTTATGCATTTACAAACCCTTCTAACTAACAACCGAACCTCTACATTCGAATGTATGCACGTTCGGTTCGCGTTTGTTCTTTGGTGTTCGGCCACCTTTACGTAACTCTCATTAACGGAATGGGTCAACTTAATGCGAGACGGTAGTCCCGAGACCGCGTGTCTTCGCTCGGTGCTCGAAAGTTCAAACGGAGGCCGGCCGGATACATACATCGATGTGTCCTATACCATCGAGTATCTTTGCGAGAGTAATAGTATCGATAGATCAGCGAGACTTTTTCCACAAAAATATTACTAAATTCAACGTCTTTTCAACAATGTTAAATGTTGAAACTACACTTGGTAAATATATTTTCATTTTCAATCGGTTTCAAGAATAA